ATCGACCCCCCTAAAAAAAGACAGCACTGTCCTTATGTGCTGAGAAAAGTATGCAACGACCCCCCTAAAAAAAATTTCTAAGAAACTGCACCTCACACCTGCAACGTGCTAAACGCAGCATTTCTGTCTTCTCTTCTCTCTTTCTCCCTCCCGCTAACACTCGACCCCCCTAAAAGAAGACAGCACTGCCCTCATGTGCTGAGAGAACAACTTAGAAACCACCTTCAACTCTGTACTATTCCACTCGCAGCCAGCAACTCCATTTCTTGCCTAGCCCAACTCGAAACCAACCAGAACAAAACGCTCCCCTTTTGCCTGGCCCTTAAACTAGAGAACCAATGTCAAAATTAATATCAAATCCACATCCTGCATACTCTCCTTTGGCCTGGCCCTTAAACTAGAGAACCAATGTCAAAACAATACTCAATCCACACGAATGCTCTCATGCCTTCAACAATCGACTCAATCCACGTCTCCGAACCTCATGCCGGCAGACCAGCCCTCTGACAATGTACCAATCCATATTTGTGTGGTCCTGGCCATTAAAACCGTACACTCAATCCCGCTCATGACAGCAACTCAGTCCCGCTCATGACAGCAACCACTACTCAACGCACATCTCTGACCTAACCATCTCTCCAGTCCCCTCTGCCCTACTCACGACTCCTCCAACTCACCCTCGACAACCGGCATTTTCTCATTAACAGGAGCACCTAAACTGTAATTTGTCGGCTTCGTCTTTCAGTTGGAGGCTCGATCGACCTCTCTGAACTACTTCTCTTTATCTTGCTTAACTGGGGTGGGGGCTCCTCGTCTTCATCTTCAGACTCATCCATCGCTGGGTTCTCCCGGATGCGGTAGGGGTGGAGCAGCCTTCAAGTTGCTCCGGTTTTCCACTCTTGCTTCCAGGTCTTCTCCCCCACTGGGCTCAATGCGGTATAAACCCGGCCTCGGATTTAGGACCTCAACAATGTGCCATCTCGTATCAAACCAATGGTTTTGGAACTTACACCGGCCTATTTTTACATTGTTCCACAGCAAAACCTCCTGGCCCACTTCCCAGCTACTCTCGTGGGCTTTCTCTTCTCTTTTCCTTCTGTTTATTTCCTTACGTCTCCGCACATTGATCTCCACTGCTTCCTGCAATCTTCGTTGCCGGTCTCGAATCACCATCACCCACTCACCTACCGGCTCTGGGTCTACTTACGGCCTAAGGTCAAACGGCAGGTTTGGTTCTCTCCCGTAAAACAACAGGAATGGGGAAAACCCTGTCGTGGCATGCGGAGTCGCGTTATATTGTGACACCACTGCCTGCAGATGCTCTGGCCACTTATTCTTTTCCTCTTCCTCGAGGGTGGCCAGCAGACCGTGCAGGGTTCGATTGAACCGTTCCACCATACCATTTCCCTGTGGGTGATATGCTGACGTCCTTATTTTCTTCACCCCAAAGGTGGCACACGTTTGTCGGACCAATGCACTGCCAAAATTTCTTCCCTGATCGGTCAACAGTCGCTCAGGGGCACCCACTGCCAGGAAGGTCCGATTCATTAGCAAGTTGCAGGTGTGAGGTGCAGTTTCTTAGAAATTTTTTTTTGGGGGGTCGTTGCATACTTTTCTCAGCACATGAGGACAGTGCTGTGAAAAGTATGCAACGACCCCCCTAAAAAAAATTTCTAAGAAACTGCACCTCACACCTGCAACGTGCTAAACGCAGCATTTCCATCTTCTCTTCTCTCTTTCTCCCTCCCGCTAACATATATATATATATACAGTTGTACCCCGATTTACGCGGTCAATTGAGCCCACAGGGTACCGCGTGAAGTGAAAACCGCGTTAAGTGAACAACAGAACATATGGGATTAATTCTAATAGAGACTGGCCAGACCCCCAAACTCCACTTTTTGACGACACATAACTATGTTGTAGTAAAAATTTTATCTTAACTTTATGATGGTATGAAAAAACAAGTAATATAGAAGAGGTTAGGTTAGGAAAAATAAAGGTTAAGTGGGGAAAACTAAAAGTTATGTTGAACACTTACTTTAGAAGAAGAGATGGGTCGGCATACGGGGATGGAGGCTGGTTCCGAGGCAGAGGGCAGGCTACTGGCCCTCAGGTGAGTCACCATCACTGTCACCCACACTTGTTATGGCCTCCCTGACAAATCCCTCAAAGTCATCTTCACTGTCTCTACCTCTGTCACTATCACTGGCTTGGGCTGGCTGTGGTGGGTTGCGGGCGAAGAACTCGGTTATGCTTTTTTGACGGCTGGTGTTTATGTTGTCTTGATACACCGTGATGTACGGCTCCATAGCCTGCACCAGCCGGGTATGGAAGACTTCATAGCGGTCATCGTCATTGTCGCGGGAAAGGAAGGACTTCATTTTCTCTGCACACTCCATGGCACCCTTAATATCACTATGACTTAAACTGTGTTCTTCGGAGAATGACACACCTTCTTCCTCCTCTTCACTGACGTGATCTTCTTCCAACATCTCGTCGGCAGTCACTTCAGGATCTCTGATCACCTCCAGGATGTCTTCGTTGGTGGTCTCGGAGAAGCCTTCAGCTGTAATATTGAGCGCAGCTTCTCTGGCAATGTCCACTGCTACTGCAACAGTCTGAACCTCACCAGTCACAGGTTCACTCCTCCTTTCACCTGGTATGCCATGCAACACATGTCTCCATGCGTGACGAATCGTAGCAATAGACAGTTGATCCCATGCCTCCACCAAGAAGTCTACAGCTTGTTTGACGTTAAACTTCTTCCAAAATTGTTTGACGAGAACTTCTTGAGTCGCCACCTCTTGTTCCTTGTCCTCGTCGCTTTTACTCTCGCTGTCGGTGTCACCCAGCTTACGCAACTCATCCTTGGTGTTGGTAGAGTCGTTCAGGAGCTTGAACTTCTTTGCAGAGTACGCAGCTTTCACATTGCAGATCAACTCCTGGTCCATGGGCTGGATTAATGATGTAGTGTTGGGAGGAAGGAAGACCATTTTTACGTTGGGGTGACAATCCATAAGTAGGGGCGAGTGTCCAGGTGCGTTGTCAAGGAGCAACAAAATGTTGAATGGAACATTCTGTTGCTCGCATAATTTCTGCACGTCAGGAACAAAACAGTCGTCAAACCAGAAGAGGGACAGAGAAGAGGACATCCACGCCTTACGTGCGGTTAGCCAGTGGACATTAAGCTTGTTCATGTCCATATTCTTGTAGGCGTGCGGCTTGCGGGCTGTGTGAATCACCGATAACTTTGGTTTACAGGTACCGGAGGCATTGGTGGTAAACAGGACGGTGATGCGTTCCTTCTGCATCTTCCGACCCCGAATCTTGCTGGCATTCTTTACAACGAAGGTCTTGGACGGTAGCTTTTACCAGAAAAGACCAGATTCGTCCATGTTAAACACCTGGTCGTCGGTGTACTGTCCTTCCTCCATAATCTCACGTAAGAACGGAGGAAAATCTCTAGCCGCCACACGGTCAGCACTCGCTTCCTCACCACCAATGTTGATGTTGGTGATCTTGTTCCTCTTCTTAAACCTATGCAGCCAACCAGAGGAAGCATTGAAGGGTTTGGGCTCTGCAATTCCCAGCTTACTTGACACTGCTGCGTATAGCTCACGTGCGTACTCCTGCACTGAGCGCGTGTCCACCGCCATGTTGCGTCGCGCCTGACGAATCAAATAACTCACCAGCAAATTTTCCACTTTTGCCAGCACCCTGTTCTGGCAATACCTGATCGTTGAAGCACTTGCAGACTTTGTGATTTTCATGTGCTCTTTGATCTTGGCTGCATCCTTCTTGATAGTGCGAATCGTAGATTCGTTGACGCCATGCTGGCGCGCGAGATCAACTTGCTGTGTTCCTTTCTCCAAATCTTGAATGATCTGGTACTTCACTTTGTAGCTTAGACCACGGCGTGTCTTCTTGGGCTTAGGGTGGCTGGGTCCAGGTAAGGAAAGGTCTCTCTCTGGTGGCGTTGGTGGTCCGGCGGAAGCCATTTCACAGAACAATGGGTTCACGTATACACGGAGTGGCCTGGAGGGATGAAACAGCCACGGCTAGGTCAAGCGTTGTCTTTCCTCCCTCCCTCCCTCCCTCCCCCGGGTGGACACGTCATAATACTTTAAGCCAATTACAGCTAGCAGCAGAGGGGGGGGTAGGGATGCATGGCCAATCACAGTCCGATACGGCATATGACGTCAGTGATAACGTAACAGAGACATGCACTGCGCAACCTTACAGCACGGCTTGCCCAAGCGGAGGGAGGAGGCGGGAGCAAGCGGGTGGGGCGAATCTAAAAATAGCGTCTCGAGCCGGACACTCGCCGCATATACGTGGAAAAAACCCGCGTTAAGTGAAAGTTCGGCTCTGGCGAGGCACCGTGTATACGGTAAAACGCGCTAAGCGAAACCGCGTTAAGCGGGGTATTACTGTACAGTGAAAGTAATAAATAATGAGGAATGGATACAGTGTGACTGAGCACTTACCTTTAATGTAGTCAGCTGAATGCACATGGGGCCCCCATAATTTTCTAATTATACATGGAGACTACATTAACTGGAAACGTTTCGGTATAGAAAATGTGTGTGTCATTTGGGGGAAAAAAAAAAAAAAAAAAAAAATGGTTACAACTGCGGCTGTCATAAGTCCCGACGGTCGTAAGTCGAAGCAGTCGTAAGTCGGGGTCTAGCTGTATATATATATATATATATATGGTAAGCAGCATTTGTTACAAGAATCTCTATATACATGAACAATCGGGGTCAAAAGTCTTGAACACTTGACAGTATTTGGCATGTAATTACCAGAAGATCTTAGGTATTAAGGAGAGTTTTTTTCCCATTTTTTGGTTCAGGCATAATATGTGATGACAAGTATAGTGTTACAATATTAGTATATCCCAATCATATATGTATAATTCACAAGTAGATGCCAGATATTGCTAAGTGTTCAACACTTTTGACCCCAACTGTACAAGGTTCTGGCGTTTAACTTACCCTGGCAATGAAGTTGTCTTTTCGAGGGTTTGGGAATGGGGCAAACTTGCGATATATGTGGCCAATCCTAGAACATGGGGTATCAACCATTGTCCCATGACACTGCCATACTTTGAAAGACAATTCGTACTGTTCTCCACCCCAGATGTCCAGTCCAGGGTCATAACCACCAATTTCCCAAAAGAATTTGGAGCTAATTGCAAACAATCCACCAGCCATGACTGGGCTCCTGTTGAGGTTATGAATGTATTAGTTACCCGGTACTCTCAATATGTAGCTTCTACTCACATTTATTCCTGCTAATGATTGTTGGAATATTATATTCAAGTAAACAGGTTTAAAACTCATATATACAGCAGAACCTCATTACATCAGATTGATCAGGGGAAGGCCAGTCCAATAAACCTGATACCAGAACTTCTGCGAGAGATCATGGACATCGTCTAAATTATCAGATAACAGTCTAAATACAAATATACTTACTTAAACGGTTCCGGCATATTAGCTTCATCTTCTGGTAATACTGGTAACCTCTTGTAATAAAATTCCCAGTCAAAAGACCCTCGACGTCCCTCATCCTGAGCGCGGTATTCAAATGTTTCAAAGTCAATCACATCGATGAAAGGACACACTGCTGTCTTATAGTTGACTGCAATTGGTTCTGAAGAAATAATTAATGGAAAACTTAAACAAGCTTCTGAATAAGGCAAATGGATTTTCAGGATGTACAAAAATATTAACCTTTAAATATATCATCACACCTGCAACACAGGTATACCTCGATATACAGAAGTGCATATTTGAAAAGTGCAACGTTATGTGAACCAAAGTATAGTGAGTAAAAGTTTACCATAATTCTAATAATATAAGCAGGGGTTACATTCCTGGGGGGACAATTCTGGGACAAATGTTCTCTCCAAAATATTAATTAAATACAGTGCCTAAATTAGATTTCCATAATAAAAAATTTATATGTAGGTATAAAATATGCCAAAAAAGATCAAATTTTCCCGAATTGGTTTAGAAAACTGCATATAGAGGCTGGCTGGTGCAAGGAGTAGTGGAGTTATTGAGAAGAAGCTGCAGGGCTGCCTGTCTCTCCAAAAACTGCTGGACAGCATTCTTTTTCTTGTTTATACTGCTCCCTATAGCAATTAATGTCACTAGTTATTAACTTGTTAACATAGCTGCATTCTTGGCTTAGATCACATTTACTGAAGATGGTAGGTAGACCAAGTACACTTGTGATATCAACGGCTTCAAAACACCTTAAAACATATAATTAAACCTCTAGATAATACTTTTTCTTAGTTTTTCCTATCGAGAAGCACAAATATCACTTGCTGGGTATTTTCCACAAAATTTTCAAGATTTTACTAAATGTACACAGCTGAGATCAAATGAATGTGGCAGTAATACATAAACTAACATTCGGAGGGGACATGGCAGAGGAATTGGTTGTTTGGTATTCTAAAGCTATCTAATAAAGTAGTCCACTGATGTTGCATGTGTTTATGTTTGGGTTTTTTTTTGGGAATATTTTTTTTCTCTAAATCATCAAAAATGCATAAGAGAAACAATGTATAGTAAGGCAGCATATAGTGAGGTTTACTTGTACAGCAAAGGGAATTAAGAGTCATATCATCTAATATTGTATAAATAGTCATCAGAAATACCTAATAGTGGTGGCAGCCAGTTGGTTGTACACTCAGTATGTGAATCCAGAAAAATGAGCACGTCTGCAGTTGCGTGCTTTGCTCCTTCCAGTCTGGCACGGATCAAACCCCAGCGAGAAGGAAGGCGAACCACCCGAGCAATGGGTAAATGTTCCTCTAAATAGTCATCTAGTTTCTTTCCGAGAAAATCTGGAAAGATTATTTGAACAATGATTAACACTTTGTAAAACTAGAAAAAACATTTAGTATGTAATTTTTGGATCTTTGCATTTGAAAATTATTTCCTTTTAAACACCTTACCCTTAGGTATCCAACTCATAACTCCAGTTTGCTGGTCTCCCATTTCCAAGATACCTTAGTTAAAAGTTCTTTTTAGTGGAGGTCCTTTTGTGAGAGCACATAATGAGTGAAGACCCATTTATTACTCTGTTACACAGTCTAAAATAACAAAGTATAAATGTATCTAAATACTGTACTGTACAGTGACCCCTCATTTAACGAACGCCTCGGTTAACGAAATTTCGGTTAACGAACTGCCTTCCATAAGGATCTTCAATTCGGTTAACGAACAAAAATTCGGTTAACGAATTTCTTACGAACCGACCTCAACATGTTTTCGCTTGCACTGACCGGGCAACCAGCTTTAGTATCAGTCCGCCAATACACTAATCGGTTCTAGGGCTTAAATTACTTACTATTTTAGTAAATATCAAGAAGTTTATACTATTCAATAATTTCAAAAGTTTAATATTCAATTTTTTAGTCATTTTAACAATTATTGAACATAATTGAAGGTAAAGTGACTAGTTTAATGCGCGGCATCCAGCCTCTTAACACAGCAAACAGGTGTTAGTTTCTCTCTGTTTTCACTGGAGGTAACATCTTGCTTGACTCTCTTCAACTAAATGCTTTTTTTGTGTGTTTCCAAGCAAATTATTGGTCATTTTGAAATATATTTTACATATTGACAATATATAATGCAGTGCAGTGTTGATTTAAAGAAAATAATCTTGAATTACACCAAGAGAGCTTAAATTTTATGGGTGAAATGACGCCATGGGGTGACTTCTCATCCACCCCAATGCCTTCTCTTCTTCCTTCTCCTCCACCCCCATTCTAAATCCCATCATCATCAACATCATCCAGGAGCCTTCTACATACACACCTCAAAGTAAGTGAACTTTTCTACCATTTTTGTTGAATTTAGGAAATTTTCGGTGAGCTGGAACCAATTACCCAAAACCCATTGAAACAATGGTTTCGGTTAACGAACTTTTCGGTTAACGAACGACCTTCTGGAACGGATTGAGTTCGTTAACCGAGGGGTCACTGTACAGTAAAGCCTTGAATAGCGACGTTAATGTGTCCTCCAATATTGAAGTGTAAGGTGAATCATCTTATTGCAAATCATTAATTAACATTAAAATAAAGCAATAATAGTGAGATGTGTTCCCAAGTGTGACCTTTTCATCTCTTTTGTGTGACTTTTTACCCTCTTTTCCCCCAAAAACAATACAATTAATGAAAATTGCAAACTATATTCTTTAAATAATGTTTCTGAATGCACCTTATATAATATAAATTAATAATAATATGGTCACACAAGAGGATATGGGATGCCATTGTTTTCGTTTGTGTTTACAGCCAGGAGTCCGGGACGATAGTTCTACACGAGAAAATGAAGAAAATAAGACCCTGGTTGTAGCTGTAGTAAATTTAATGTCGAAAAATTAATATATATGTTTCAAATAACATTGTTTAATGTTAATAAATGGAACAATCGAAGTAGCTAACCACTAATGGCAAAGAAGAAAAAAAAAAAGAGATGGATTGGGAACGCAAACCATATACGTGCGCATTTAAGGATACCGCATCATTTATCTTAAGAATATGTACAAAAGATTCATTATTGTTTATTACTGAATATGTATTTGATTGAATTAATCTTTATATATGTGAAATGAACAATACAATTCATTAATACATAGAATATTAAAACACACAAGAGGAAAAGAGACGACATTATTCTCAGTGTTTACACCCAATGTATACGTGCGCACTCAAGGAAACATAGTCATTTATCTTAAGAATATGTACAAAAGATTCATTATCGTTTATTACTGAATATGTATTTGATTGAATTAATGTTTATATACAATATGTGAAATGAACAATGCAATTCATTTATAATGCGTAGAATATGAAAACACACAAAAGGAGACAAGACGGCATTGTTTTCGTGAGTGACGATGGTTCTACAGAAACTGAAGAAAATAAGACCCTGCTTGTAGCTGGAGTGAACTTAATTTAAAAAAAAAATTGAATACCTGTATGTATGTTTTAAGTGATGCTATTTGATGTTAATAAATGGAACACTAGGAGTAGCTAACCACTAACAGTAAAGGAATAAGGCGAGACGATTGGGAGCGCCAACATATGAACAGTAAATGCGTACATGTGAAAACATATTGTCATTTCTCTACATACGAATATGAAAGCAACACTTATATACTGTTCATATATGTTTTAAATAATATTTACGAAAGTAAAACTAAAATTCTATTCACCAATGGTGGTAAAGTCTAAAACATAAGGACAGCCAATGAATATTGTGCGAGTTTTTACTCAGATGACGAAGTCATCAGGTTCAACTCTGGCTGAAGCTGTAGGTTCAACTCTGGCTAAAGCTGTAGTTTTCTATAAAGTTGTTGCTGAAACTGTTACTGAACCTGAAGTTGATGTTGAAGCTGCTCATGATGCTGAAGTTGATGGTTTAGGCCTTCGAATAATAAAGCTGTTGAAAGAACCTTGCATAGCTGCCTTCTTTTCTCATTATACATCTTTATGGAGAGGTCATTTGCATTTATTTAAATTTTAATGCTTTGTTCTGTTGCTCATGTTGAATAGGGATGCAAACATGCTGTAAGAAACCTGAGAAAGTTTTTCTCCAGTTCCTGTTCCAGATGCGTGAAAACAAAACGCCCGCCAAGCTCCAACTGTTGTTTACCACTCATTAGCAAGGCAGCTTCTTTGCGCAAGGCACTTTTCATTTTTTTACAGTAATTTTTTTTTTTTTTTTTATAATACATATCGGGATTTAGTTATTATTTATATGAAAATGTAATTTTATTTTATTTTTATTATACAGTATTACCCCACTTTACACGGTTTCACTTTCCGCGATTTCTCATTTACGCGGTACCTTGCCAGAACCGGACTTTCACTTTCCGCAGTGCATCTACTCATATACGCGTGAAGTATAATTTTTTTTTTTTATTTAGCTCATAAAATTCATACAAATTACCTGGCCAGAATATAATTTACATTGCTGGAATTCTTACAATATGATGATCATTTTGAATACAAGTATAAACATCATGGATTTTGCATTAGACATACAAATTTTAGATCTAATGTAATAATTTGGTTTACACAAAGCAAGTATTTTATCTTTTGCGCAAAATATATGAAGTTTACATTCAAAATATTCCCTGACCTACAAGGAATCCAGAAATGTCAATTATATTATCCTAACTTTAGTCTGAGGTATTATTTATTCCTAAACGTTAAAATCTAGTGTTTCACCCAATCATTTCTCAGAGAGGTAGGGGGCCAGTGAGCTGGGAAGAAGGGGTGGGGGGGATTTGAGTCCATTATTTGAATGGACATTAACCTGACGACTGTTTTTCTCTTAAATATTAATTGTGTGAGCATACCATCATAAAATTTAGATGTTATTTTTACTACAACATAGGTATTGTGTCGGAAAAAGTGGAGTTTGGGGGTCGGGCCAGTCTCTATTGGAATTAATCCCATATGTTCTGTTGTTCACTTTACGCGGTTTTCACTTTCCGCGGTACCCTGTGGGTTCAATTGACCGCGTAAATCGGGGTACTACTGTACAGTAATTTTGGTCGTAAATACGAATGAAATAAGGACGTAAATTTAATTGGGTCCTAAATTAACTTGGGTTTAAATATGAAAAGTTGTTGGTCGAACCGTTGTTATCGGAGGCTTTACTGTACGGTATTCCATTTCTGAAAAAAAAAACATTCCTCACATAATTATGTTCCTTAGTACTGCAATGAGAACTAGCATGAATTTTACAAGAATTGATTTTATGTGACTCCTTCAAGAAAATGATGTGGGCAGATAATCGTGTTTAAGTACAGTGATATCCTCATTAGCCGGAACAATTGGTGCAGAGCACTTCCGGGAATGAGAGATTTCCGAGTAACGAGAAGACTCAAAGCCGTAAAAAAATCTCCCTAATCCCCGGAATTTTCCGGGTAATGGAAAAATGTTCCCGGAAGTTCCAGAAATTGCCCATTACATCATCTCTCGAACCCGGAAAAACATTCCCCATCCCCGGAATTTTCCGGGTATCTGGATTTTTTTTTCTGGAAAATGTGCCCCTCAGAAAATCATTCCCAAAGCCGGAATTTTCCAGAAAATTCTGGTTTTGGGAACGATTTTCAGAGAAAATTTCAATTTCAGCTATCGGAGAGTTCCGGGTTTGAGGGAAACCTGCTAAGGGAGATATTACTGTAGTTTGTATAGCTATGATGAATTTCCCTCTTCAGTCCATGTGTAATATCACAGAAAATCTACCTTTGGTACTGGCATCATCTACAAGAATAATTTCCTTCAAAAGGTGTTTTGGTGACCTGTTGTAAGGGAGATATTACTGTAGTTTGTATAGCTATGATGAATTTCCCTCTTCAGTCCATGTGTAATATCACAGAAAATCTACCTTTGGTACTGGCATCATCTACAAGAATGATTTCCTTCAAAAGGTGTTTTGGTGACCTGTTGTAAGCAGAAAATGCAGTGCGAAGAAGAGTGGTCCAGTGTTCATTGTGGAAAGGCACTACCACAGCTGCATTTGGAAGATCTACAAGGTACAGCTTTTTTTTACACCTGTGGAAGCAACATAAAAATATGACAATCTTTCTCAGTTGTGCTTACATAATCTAGCCAGTACAGTAATTTCTTTTATGAAATATGTTCCAAGTGCCTAAAAAGTTTCATGAAAATTCCGAAGCACCTATAAATTTAGGTTTAAAACTACATGTATACAACAAAATTTACAGGTACTGTACAGTATGCAGTAAATTTAATAATAAAAAACACACTACATTCCTGTAATGCAAAACTAAATTTTGCATTCGGTAATAGTACAGCAGATAACTGCTCTGTGGAGACCAATCGTTCATTTTGTGATAAAAGCACGAAACCTGGCACACCTATAGATCTCACCAAGGCGAAAATAGTTAGACCCCGAGGCATCTCAGATTTTGCCCAGGAAGCCTATGGTGGCCATTTTCCAAGATGGCAGCCACTGAAATTTGTTTATGTTAGCACGTAGAACTTAAATTTTAGTATGTACACTTAGGTTTTTGAGGGTAAGAAATTGTTTTTTGCATTTTTTAAGTGATTTGGTGTTCAGAACTGCCATTTTTAAAAATGACAGCCATAAAAACACTACATGACCTAGGCTACTGTATGACAGACAATACTTTATTTTTAATACATTACATTAATTTAGTTACAGATAAATTACAGTTTCCACCACACTTGCACAACTCAGTGTACGACAGGTTATTTTTCTTGCACTTGCAGGTGGTACTCTTGCACCCTTTGCATCCACACTTGAGGAGTTCTCTGCACGGTTTGGATGCTTGTGGCAGGCTGGTCCAGAAAGGCTACAAAAATCAAATTTCTTACCCTCAAAAACCTACATGTACAGTACAGTCAGCAAAAAAAATTTTCTGCACCCCTTGGTCTGATGGCCTCTGCAATGATCACTGACTGAGGCAATGTTAATTTGGTAAGGTTGGTATTTCTGGTTGTGTGATGCCTTGTATAACCAGTATGTACAGTATTTTTAATATCACAGATAGTTAATATAGAGAAATTAACAGGAATCACCTGCATAAATGAGTGTTGTTCAGAATTTTTGGTCAGGTGTGTCATATTGTATAACACCATAAAGATGCATAAAATTTTTTGGTTGACTGTACATACCAAAATTTAGCTCTACCTGCTCTGTTTACTGAGTTACGGACATAAACAGATTTTGGTGGCCGTTAACTTCGATAATGGCCGCCATAGGCTTCCTGGGCAAAATCTGAGATGCCTTGGGATCTAAATATTTTCGCCTTGGTGAGTTCTATAGGTGTGCCAGGTTTCGCACTTTTATCACAAACTGCACGATTGGTTCGGCTATCTGCTGTACTATAACTTGAAGTTTTTGTTCACAAATTAAAGAACGAGACAATTTCTTTTTTTAACTTTAAATTTTCATAAACCAAAGCTTCCTAAATTGGGGTTTACTGCCCCATCTAATATAATTTACCCTAAACCACAGAATAACATCCAGTACTTTCCTGGTGAAAAATCCTTCTCAACTACCATACTACCAGCAGCTCAACCAGTGAGTGATGGAATAGGATTTTTCATTCTTGTCAGTCCTAAATGACTCTTTACATTCTTTGTTTAAACTACAGGTACTGTATTCTGAATTGACTCTTCCTTAATTAAGTCAGTAATAACATACTTGGGATGACGAATGTCACTGAGTGAACGGTTTAATGCAATATCATCAGAAAGTCTAGCATTAAACCCATTCACCTTGTAGAGCTCTTCCTTTTCCTTGTCAAATGCTGGGCTAAGTGATCCACCAATTCCATGTTCACCTGTTGGCAGTAATTCATCATAAAGATACAGTATTCCTTCTCCTCTTTCCTTCAAAAAGCAAAAAGAATCTTCACCATTGTGCACTTTAAAACTGCACTAATTCATTTTAATTTTCATAACTTCACTTATGAAACAAGAACTACATTATTATTTACCAATACTGTACCTGTTCATGTTTTAAAAAATTTCACTTCAATCTTTACAGAGTTCAGTATACTAGTGTACAATGTGGCTATGAAAGCGACCCAACATAATTTTAACACAGAATACAAGTACTGTATACAAATATTGTTTGCTAATATCACCAGAACAGTCAGTTATTTAATAGGTTACTTAATGGAAGCACATTTGCTTCACAGTGACTGATCATATACAGTACCGGTATTCAATTCCTGACCAGAGTAAAGGATTGGGTTTCCACCTTTACACTAACCCTTGTGCAGTCAGCAATAACTGTGTATACAATCAGGAGCACATGCTGGTGGTATAACAACTCCTTGGTCGACTAGCATTCAAAGGTCGATGAGTAACCCACTAGTTGCTGAATGGATTGAAGTCAGCTTTTTATGACAGATGACTTCATAAATTTGCCAACCCCCAGATTTATTTTTTAAGCAACAATTATAAATTTTCTTTGTATAATACAGTAATATGTTCCAAATACGAGATAGGTATGCCCCTGGCTCACAATAAGCACAAGCAAATGCTGTACTGTACCTCTATAATAGCAGCTGGATCACTTACACAAGCCTATCACCATTTTTGGCCTGATGATTCCAGCATTGCTCATACTACTGTTTAAGATTGTAAAAGCATCAATTACAGTACCAGTTGTAAGTAGAAGGGTACAGCACTGTATTATTAAAGATAAGGCGATTGCTTTGTGGTAAATTGCCGAGAAGGTGAAAGACCTCGTCAGTAAAACACACAAGCTCACATTTCCCTTCCCTTCTGTTTTAAAAAAAAATGGTTCCCAGGGTGCAGTTGATGGTATATAAAAGGATGCAGTACCTATACTTTTAACAAACATTCTTACATACAGCCTGTACTGTATTGATTTTTAAGACAAAAGAACAGTAGGGTATTACAAACAAACACCAACATTTTTCATGAGCATAAATAAGCATTAGAAGACAGCTAACAAACAAAGTCAAATGTTTACCTAGGCCAGTCTGCAATACTTCTTTCTTAAGGTACATATAGTCATTGTAGTCCTTCTTCCTCACTCCATCTACTATCACCACACCTTCCTCCTGTAATCCAAAGTAAGAAAAGGTAAGAATCATGTTAGAAGAATATAGAATTTGTAATTATTGACTCTGGATAATCTTGTAGTGATTCACATTTTACATGAGTTAACAGTATACACAGCATCACAGCAGTAAAAAGTTACACTGTCTGTATGTACAGTCACAGACTTTTCCAAGTTGAACACCCAGCCAGATGACCAGAGAGGTAGAATCAGCTGAAGATCTGGTAACAGTGTAAGTGTATGTGCAGGGGTGGGAGGGGGAGGGGGAAAGATGGGGGGAGTTCTTGAGTTCTGTATTGCATAATATAATCATATTTTATTTTGCACATTACAAAGTAATGGAAATACAGTACAAGGGATTATTAAATTTAGGAATATGTTTTTTCCAGTAGTATTACAGTACAATGTTTGATTTTTTGCACTGTAAATGGATATTTTTAATGTAAAGTTCGAGGCCAGAGAAACACATGATCTTAACCTTCCTGCACCAATTCTTAGTAAGAATAGTATGGGTGAACAGGTGCCAGTCAATGGTTGATGTTGACCAAATATTTAGTTATAATATCCATTCTTAAAATAAACTTACTTTTAGAGGATATGAATATTGCAATAAAAAAAGTATGGGAAGTTGTATTATTACAACTTGTCATAACGAAAATAAAATAGTCACCAATTATTAATGAAACAATTAAGTATACAAAATTTTATAAAAATTTTCACTCAAAAGTATGAAACGACCTAGTGAAAGCAAAGCTCATGAGAGGTGGCTAGATTTTTGCTTTCACAAAGGCTGTCCTAATAAGTGACGATATGGGGTTGGACTTGGGCATCAGAAATCATCGACACATGATCACCGTGCCATCAGATTTGTCTTGGTTTGTCGGCATTAGGCACTGGACTTCTGGAAAAGACTTGTTTTCACTGACGTAAATTCTTCACTTTAGTATCCTGTCCACCCACCTTCTTTGTTGATAACTGCATTAAGTCTTTCAGGTATTGATTTAAAAAGGTTGCGGAGGATCTTATGCTTGGCCCTAAATACCTCCCATTCTGCCTTGGTGTGGGCAAACAACTCTGCAGACGTTCTTTCCCTCGCAGGCTCCCATGTGTTCACAATATTCGCCCATAAATTTTCCAAAGGGTTCATGTCAGCCCCCCGACTAGGCCAATCCAGCAGCTGCAAATTCTCAAGGTCAGCAAACAATTGCTGTACAACTCTAGCCATGTATATGAGGCACTGGTCATGAAGGAAAACAATTGATCCAGGGGGAAGGGGAATTTTCTTTCCTGTAGAGAGGGCAAGAAAAAATTCTCCAAAATGTCCAGATACTTCTGCGCTGTAAATCCCCTGTCGATTTGAACCAAGTCCCCCAGACATATAGCCCCACACATTACAGGTGCTGCGTCCTCTACGCCTCCTCATAGCTCACGGTCATACTTGTTAAAAAAAATTCAGCTGTTAATATCATGATGCATTATAATCTGTGTAACGATCAATATTGCTGGAAACCTTTACTTTAATTATCTTCAAATTACTTTGGCTTAATATATAACAAGCAACTTAATGGGTTCCAATTTTTAATTTTATTTAGAATACAGCTGGATAAATAAATACGCACAGTCATTATCGACGTGTACCTACCGAGAGAGCAGAGGTAGCACTGTATTATTTATTTACTCATGTATTAAAGGATTGTATTAGTAGTTTTAGCAGGTCTAAAAAGCAGGATTACTTGATTTACAACCATTGCATATAATTTATATGCAGCAGTTCCTGAAATGTTTCAATAAGTGTAAGAATTCATAAAAGGTCAAACATTTGTGTTAATGCATTTGTTAATTGGTGCTCTGGACAAAATGATGTATCATTGTTATCTAGTGTTGTTGCGCCTCCAATTGTGTATTCTGCCATGATTTGTCGATGCAAAGGTCTTTTCGTCTGGGAGAACAACTCCCAGCAACTCGTTGACATGCTGACAGCAACTGGTCAGCATGTCAACGAGCGAAGGCGAGTCTGGCAGCATGGTGTTCCTCTGCCAGTCGTTCTTTCTTGGGGGGAATCCTGTGGTGGATACCCGCCTTGTGAAGCTGCCCCCGGACAGTTCTAGCGCTCACGTCCAGCTGCAGACCTTCGCACATTGCAACAGCTTTAGTGAAAGGGTTGTCCTCAGCTGCTCTCAAGATCCTTGCATCGTCTTCAGGCATAGTCACTCGTTACCCAGGGATGTCTCTCTCAATCAAAAAGAAAATGCAGATTAAAAAGCCAATAACTTTTTATAATAAGTAAATATAATTGATTGCCTGTATAATCACCAATAACATGTCAGCCTGATCAGTACTTGCCAAGGTCGTTCAAGTTGCCACTCTCCTCCCGTCTTCTAATCCACTTGATTTCAGTAGCGGCTGATATTCCAAGCTCACTGGATATGGCTCGGATAGAGAGTCCAGCTTCTCGTAGGCCCACAATGTTACTTCTTAAAGCTAACTGGGTGTCACGACGGTTCATCTTGAAGTCTAAGAGCTTTATATTGAATTCTATGATTTCTAGGGTCGTGACAATACCTCACATGAGTTTTGATTGGCTGTTGACACTTGTTACGTGATCAAGCAAAATAACATTGTTTTCACTATTTTGTATTGTATTCCATTCAGGGGCGGATGCATTTATATCTTTAAACACTTGTTTTTTTACGTCATATGTCATTATTCATTTCATTGCTTGTGAAAATAAAGGATAAGGAGTGTGTGTGTGTGCTACAGATTGCCCAGTGCCACAAGGTAACTTCCCAACATTACAAAGGATAGCATTACGCACATACACATGATTGGCAACGACTTGTCAGTATCTTTCATAACACCATACCACTAGACTCGCCAATTTAAAATGATACGGGTAAAGAGGTCATTTTGGCTTCATTGGTGCGAGGCTAGGTCAAAATGTTACTTACAACAGCATATGTTTTTATTATACGCTCTTAATGTTTTCATGCAATATTATGTGCATATAAGAGCAGTTGAATCACCTAAAATGTGTATCAGCTTAAAGTTATATGTCGGATTTGGAAAATAATTACCTGTATAACTAAGAAATTGGTTGACATCAATCATTGACTGGCACCTGTTTTCCCATACTGTCCTTACTTGAGGAAGGGTAGCAGTAGTGTGGGGAGTTAAAGGTTACGTGTTTCACTGGCTTTGGAGGCTTAGATTAGAGACAACTGTAAATGCATATTCTTTTACCATAATCACCTCTTCTACTACCATCACTGTTTTGTGTCCAAAATAATATTTGATTTATATTATGCAACACGTAACTCAAGTACTCCCCCATCTTTCCTCCTCCTACCCCTGCACACACACACACTGTTACCAGATCATCAGCAGATTTTACCTCTCTGGTCATCTGGCTGGGTGTTTAAAGTGGAAGAGTCTTCAGCTGTACCTGCATTGTCTCAACACATGCCGAACTGTATACTGTACCTGCATTGTCTAAATATCTGAACGTGCAAAACCAATTGTGAACATTTATGACGATTTTACTTAAACATTATTAGTAACATCTTAAAATTTCAAAAACTCCTACATCAGTGGTAGATGTAGGACTTTTGTATGAGGAGCTAGTGGGGCAGCAGTGGTTCTCAGTTTCTGAACCCAACATAAAAAATATATACAAACCACAATTCAGACATTTAAGGTAGTAATTGTTAAGAGAATATACATTCAATATGTGAGTCTTTTATTTACAGCTTTTTGTAATATACTGGATCTGCCATTGTTTTTCACTACGTCATACTGTATTAGAAGATGTTTTCATTGTACTACTGTACTCATCACTCTAGTCTTTTAATTTCCCATAAAATTTAACTTCAGTGACAATATTTTTAACTCTTCATCACACCATATTCAGCTTTATTTCACCTTATTATCCACTGATGTCATCTTCATATCTCTTTACTGCATTTCCTATCTATATGGTTTAAGATGCTACTGTACACGACAGTTTTTAATGATGCTTAACCACACACCTTCCTCGTTGATCATTTATCATCTTATAGAAGTATCAAGATACAGTACAGTGATCCCTCGGTTAATAAACGCCTCGGTTAACGAATTACCTTCCATACGAATATTCAATTCGGTTAACGAATTCCTTACGAATTTTTCCCAACATGTTTTCACCTGCTTTCGCCTGCTCACCAGCTGTAATATTAGTCCACCAACACATTAATTGGTTTTAGGGCTTATATTCGTTACCATTTGAGTAAATATCAAGAAGGTTGTACTATTCAATAATTTTCCAAGTCTTACATTAAAATTTTTAGTAATTTTAACAATTATTTAACATAATTGAAGTACAGGGAACTAGTTTTTAGCATGCCAAACAGCCACTTGACTCACCCAGAATGGCGCAGTTTGTGTCTCTGCTCAGTGGAGGAAGCATCTTGCTTGAGACTCTCTTGAACATAAACTATTTTTACGTTTTTACAGTACAATTATTGGTCATTCTGAAATTTATTTTACATATGACAATACAGCTAGACCCCGACTTACGGCTGCTTCGACTTACGACCGTCGCAGTTGTGACCATTTTTTTTCTCCAAATGACACACGCATTTTCTATACCGAAACGTTTCCAGTTAATGTAGTCTCCATGTATAATTAGAAAATTATGGGGGCCCCATGTGCATTCAGCTGACTACATTAAAGGTCACACTGTATCCATTCCTCATTATTTATTACTTTCACTGTACTGTATCCATTCCTCATTATGTATTACTTTTACTGTACTGTATTTCATTGTAGATTTTTTATCAATTTTTTTTTTTCTATGTCGGACTTATGACCATTCAGACTTACGACCTGGATTTGGGTCCCTAACCCCGTTGTAAGTCGGGGTCTAACTGTATATAGTGCAGTGCAGTGTTGATTTAAGGAAAATAATCTTGAATTACACCAAGTGAACTTAAAATTTTATGGGTGATATGGCACCATGGGGTGACTTCTCTTCCATCCCACTGCTTTCTCTTCTTCCTTCACCTCCACCCCCACTTCTAATTCTCATCATCATCATCATCAACCAGGAGCCTTCTACATATGCACACCTCAAAGTAAGTGTACTTTACTGCATTTATTTTTAGTTGGCATGTAATTTTTGGTGAGCTGGAACCAATTACCCAAAATCCCATTGAAACAATGGTTTCGGTTAACGAATGACCTTCTGGAACGAATTGTGTTCGTTAACCGAGGGACCACTGTATACAGTATTTGAGTTTTGAGGTATGTGAATACGTACTGTACTGAAACTTGGTAAGATCGGAGAGGTATCTAATACCCATTTCAATTTTTGAAATCAACTCATGGCTACTATACAGTATAGGATTATACAACTTTGGTTATAGTCCTCATGAGTTGTGTGTCTTAACTACACGTAACTACTGGAGGACAATTCGTCATAGAACATGTTTTCTAACCTCATGAAATTGATGAAAAATGTACAAGTAATACATTTTGCATAGTACAGTAATATCCCCGTTAGCCGGAACAATTGGTGCAGAGCACTTCCGGGAATGAGAGAGTTCCAGGTTACGAGATGACTCTCAAAACCGGAAAAAATCACCTCATCCCCGGAATTTTCTAAGTAAGGGAAAAATGTTCTCGAAAGTTTCAGAAATTGCCCATTACATCATCTCTCGAACCCGGAAAAATATCCCTCATCTCTGGAACTTTCTGGGTAACGGAAAAATTTTCTCGGAATTTCTAGAAAATGCACACCTCGGAAAATCGTTCCCAAAGCCGGAATTTTCCGAAAAATTCCGGCTTTGGGGAACAATTTTCTGAGAAAATTTCAATTCTGGTTTTGAGGGATTCCGGCTAATGCAGATATTACTGAACTGTAATAAAATTTGTATAATTATTTCTTGTGAGCACAACTTTACTGGCACTTCCTCTGACTTTCAAGGTGGCCATGACTCTCTTTTCACTTCTCTGAAGGCTGTACAGTTCCTTTCACAGAAATTTTTTTTCTCTTAAGATGATCATAAAAGACAACTCTATCAGTTTACAGTATTTTAGGTTAAGTTTTGTAGGTTTGGTTGGTTAGGTTGCTTTAATATATACATGATATATTATATTGTGACTACCTCTGGCCTGACTAAATGATTCCTTTCATACAGTAGACTGTTTTTTTTTATAGATATGAAAAAATAATGTTTCAGATTAAGTTAGGCTATGATGGTACTGCACTTTTTTTGTTAAATCATTATTTGTATTCAGTTGAGAAAAGCCACACTTCAGGAATCATGCTGCATTCTGACTGTTCTATCAATCTGTTCCAACTGTTTGACATTTTGTCAGACGAGATAAAAATTAAAGACTTCTTATTTGACCTCAATCTTTTACATGCCTTCACTGTGATATGAAAATAATATACTGTAGTACAGAGTATTTGACAGCTGTTGGAGGAGCCACATCTGTTACCTGAACCTGAAAGAAATCACAAAATTTATATCACGTAAAATGTATGGTTCGGACACATCTCATCGTTGTCATGAGGAAAGAAACCATTTATGTTTTATGGTGGAATTTAAAACAAAAGATAAGTAGATATGGGATGCAACTACAGTAATCTGGACTATTACTACAACATATTACATACTGCAGTAGTATAATTGGTTTTCTTGACGAGATCTTTCGGAATGCCAGCTCAGGGCTCAACTTACCTTTCATTGACGTTGTGAGGTCACTGAGTGTAAGCTCATTCAAGACCACACTTGACTATCATTGGCACAGGTACATATACATTCTGGAGACCGTACTGTACATGCCCAATACTTGCCAACAGTGTGTAACAGAGATGTGACTGAACCACCCAAGTTGCTAATGAGCTGATTGGTGGCAGAAGGGAAAAAAGGAAAATTAAAAGCAATGCCAGTCAGTCCTCACCTCTCTCATTACCATGTCACGTATAGGTTTTGGAGGAGCCATGACAACAAAAACAAGAGCCAAGAGGCCTGCTACAAGTATCTTCTCCTTGTGCCGTCCCCATACTCGCCGTAGGCGCATAATCACAAGTTCCACAAAACCCTGGTCATACAAGTTCTGAAAGAGACAAATGGTAGTGAGAATCATAGTAGTACAAGTTAATATCCTACAGGACCAATGTAATGTATGATGTGCTATGCCAGAAATGGCACCAGCCCCAACCCCCTTTTGGAAATTGTTTCATTCATTCCTGGCATACCAGGTTTTAATCTAGATTTCAGCTTTTGAGTACTGTGCTAACAATACTGTACTGTTCTCTGGTATATCATTCACTTATTGCCATAGTCCCTGGGACTAAATAAGTTCTGAAGGTAAATTATCCACACTTAACCTAACCCCAAAAATAGCCTATGGTGGTTAGGTATGTACAGTATTATCATATTTGGCTTGGTTACCGGGTTTTCATTTTAAATAAAAATAATTATTGAAGGAAGAGCATCCATAGTCTGGTACCCTAGCTATTTAAAGCATGAGCTTGTGCAGGCAAGTACAGGTATAGTAAACCCTTGCCCAACGGGAGGTTAGGTTCCTTGAAAACTGCGCATCGGGCAAAATCGCGTTGGGCAAACTTAAGTACTTATGGGAAAAATGGGGTGGCGGGATCTTGACTGCTTATGGATTCATTATCATGTGAAATGCATAATTTTTTAACATTTACATAATGCAAAAATATGATAAAAATAGAACTAACATAACATAATTTTTTTTTAAATATTAATGATAAGTACGTATTATAAAATAATATTATTGTACTCACTGATCCATGGTTAGATGATTGTAGTGTAATTATGATGATGATATCATACATGAAGTGAAGCCTTTTGATAACAGTGATTGATGAACACTTCGATAATGACGAAACTGAAATGATTTTTATTCTTAATCCGCTGGATCATCAGGATCATTGGCTTCAGACTCCAGATCGGCAGATGATGTTAATGGTTGGAGTTCTCATGGGTAAACGTTGATACACGCGCTCCATCACATAACCAATATAAATCTTTATTTTATCGGCTAATGTCATCACTTTTCTACTTTTCTTGGGTGTGCTACCACCACTAGCATCACCTCTGCATTTGGGGGCCATACTGCAAGGGCAAACACACAAAGCAACAAAAAAAAACACATTCCAAAATGGATTTACTTCGATGTTGATGGTACTAGCATGTACAGTCTACAGTCAACCCTCACTTTACGCGGTTAATGTAACCACCCACAGGGTACCGCGGAAAGTGAGAAACGCGTAAAGCGGTTTCTGCATTCAAGGCTACTGCCCCACGCCAGCCTTCCCACCGCCCTGAACACATTCATCCCGCACCTTCTCCGCCAGTCTACCCACCATTGCCACGTAGAGCACCACCTCGCCTTCAACATTTCTGCATACCCTCTTTTTATCCTCAGGTACCTACTGCTCCTGACGACCCCGCAGCTGGCCTTAATGACCCAGATACTCCACCCGGCACCCCTGCACCTGCAGCGAGAGAAGCACCACATTCCTCGCCAGTACAATCTTCTCCTATCCACAACCCTCTTTCTCCCTCTGCTTCTCTCACAGATCTTGTGCCTCCAGACGGAGTCGTCACCCGTAGCGGCCGAGTCGTCCACACCCCTGCCCGTTATGTCTCACATGTGAGATACAACCCTGCCGACAACAAGTCTCCTGCAGCGCCCCAGGGGAGGGGGAGTATTGTAGTGGATCTCTCCCCTACAAACTACATCCGCATTCCAATGCGACAGTATCCTAGCAACCAAACGAGCGGCCCAGGGGGGGGTGGGGCGTCACCAGCTGCTACCATATCCTAGCAACACGGGGGATCGCCACCTGCTACGTCTAGCCTATAAGGGAGTCAAGAAACCAGCGAGTTCCCACGGGTTTACTTCTGGCTGCTGTGTATATACGCTCGAATTCTCTCCACTGAGATTCATTCTCCTCTAATGAAGCTCCTGCACAGATACCTCCTCAAGCACGCTACTCGCTACTCACTGAACGTCTCTCACCACAAGCTTCTCACCGCACGGCATCTCCAGCACCAGACTGTCTTTCATATAATATATTTTATATAAAAGCCACCACCTAGAGTTTCTATCCATCCATCCTGAGTGCTAGACACATAATATCACGAACCCTACACTATCACAACACTCTCTGGCAGATTGTTCCAAGAGTTCACAATTCTCACTCCCAAAAGGATAAAAGAAGATACTTGCCAACAGTGCGTAACAGAGACGTGACCGATCGCCCAAGCGGCTAACTAGCCGATCAGTAGTGAAGAGGATAAAAGTAAAAGTTGTCAATGATTAAAAACGAAAGTATATTTTCATATACTCCCGATGTGAATAATTTAATTTGTCTTCATTATTATCACAGATTATTGTGGAAAAATGAAGGGGTCTACCAGAATGTTTAAGGTTCCCCAAGAGAGAATGGAGTAAAATCAAAGATGCGAACCACTATTGCCTATAATCTCACGTCATCTTTTTGGTACACTACCCCTAACTCGTCCTAATTGCCCAACTTACAGTACATGTTACACTTTGCATTTTCTAAAATAGTGTATTCCTATAAAAAAAAATAAGACAACTAAGGCAGTGGGTAGCATGTGGGGAAATTTGGCACGTTTGTGCGGAATATCCACAACCATTTGCTAACCGTGTCATATTTAACAACTAGGGTAACGATATCTTTAATAAAAACATATATCCTAAATTAGTTCTAAACTGTTAAAAAATTACGCCTTTCTTAGATCACACTTTTAATTTGTTTTCGGAGTACTTACATGTTTCAATGGAACTCCAGTCTCGCTGCTTCAAGGTGTTCAAAACACCCGAGGTAAATGTTGAACAATCACTTCCGAGATACAAATATTGATTTAATTGTCGTGTTTCGTGCTTTATACAACAAAACTTCTGTATATCACGGTAGTGGGTTTAAAGTGGATGTTTGGTGAGAGATTGTTGATTACGTGGCAGAGTGTGAAAGGTGAATGGGTGTTGAGGTGACTGCACCTGTACTCTCCACCCTAACACCGGCCCATCTAAACACCTGTATGACACCTGCTCTTCCCTGCCACAAACACACACATGTGGCTCTGGTCTGAGTTTTATAAATTAATCAATACTTTTTTTATAGTTCTATATGTGATGTGTCCATAGTACTCGAAGAATGAATAATTACTGTGTGAACCTATGGATCCTTAAACTGTGTACCTGCAATAGGAACCTTGAGCACAGAGACAGGTTAAAGCACCACGACCTCATCTGCAAATTTGGTAAGAAGCTTCTACACCATCCTCGACACCGGCTCCTACTACCACCTGAGATCCCTAGCCCGAGAATTGCTGTTCGACACCACAACCGCATCCAGCCCATACGTGCACGAACTGATCGCTATAAGAACAGCCCAGTCCCAACCATTGTAATAATTATCAATAACTTGTAATAAACCAGTGTATTCACTCCCAGTAAACACTACTCCTTGCACTGTCACTATGTTGAAATGAACTGTAGTTTGAGCTTTTCCCCATCTAGTTATTATCTATCTTACTTGTATCACTTATGTTACTTGTATATTATTTGTAATTCGAAACCCATTCCCCAAATATGTAACTGTATATTTTCAGCCTTCTGGCTGCCAAGCTCTTTCAATAAACCGTTAATTATTATTATTATTATTATTATTATTATTATTATTATAAGCATCTTAATTTGCACTCTCTCGAGAGACGTAGAGTGAGGGGCGATATGATAGAGGTGTATAAATGGAAGTCAGGGCTAAACTAAGGGGACATTACAAAGGTACTCAAACTATCCAACCAGGAGCGAACTCTTAAATAGTTTTAAATTAGACAAATTTAGATTTAGGCGCGAAATAGGTAAACATTGATTTGGAAATAGAGTAGTGGACGAGTAGAACAAGTTACCAAATATTTCATCATTAACTCGAATATGCTTCTCCAGGTGATTTCGAAAATACTTTGAAATGATTGCTTCCAGTAATTTGCCTACAATTGATGTTAGACTGATTGGAAGATGTATACCAATTTACCACGTTTATACATCCACTGACTACTTGCCTGCGTTTGTTTTTGTTTTAGGTGCTTCAACTGCTGGGAGTTCACAAACTTTAGCACTGATAATATGCGCTCTAAAAAAATCATTAGGCGATGCATTCTATTTGTTGGTACGTAAGAAGACGAAATAAAAACCACAATAGCCGACTTAAGTGGGCCATAGATAAATCAAATTAATAATATGTAGAGTGAAAATATAGAAACGTCTGAACGTTAAGTATAGTTTTGGTATACTGTACAGTATATTCCCTCGTTTTTACTCGTAAATTATTAAGTGATAGTAAATGACTGAAAATAATTACAATGCAGTACTTCATTTACTGTGAAACCTTTGTGCGTACAATGCAAAATTCTGACTAAGCAGTTAAATTAAAATATGATTGAGTAAAAATACTATGTCGATTGAATTAAGGGTTAAGGCGTTTGGTATACAAGTTGTCTATGGCAGTAAGATTAAATAAGCGAATTAAATAAAGGCAGTCAGTGTAAGTTTACAAGATCAGTGTGTGCGGAGGCAATATACAGAGTGCCTATAAATGATTGATACGTTTATTGAGATACAAAACACATTAATACATCTCAAAGAGATGAAGTGACATAAGTCATCCCCACCCCAGTATAAATGATTACCCTAAAAACAGTATGCTCTTATGTTTTAATGACGAATCTTACATCCGTTTTCTTTTTACAGTTCATTAACTATGTATCAAAACTTTGTAGGTTTACCTACTTAAGCTTAAAACTGTTTTTGATTGCGGGTGTTTATTTAAAAGTCAGCATGCTTTAATCAGGATAATCATTTATGGACACCCTGTCTATTATATGTTAACTGTTTAAGAATAAATCCACAATGGCATAAGAAATGTTTATTCCAAACAGTTTCGACGACAATGGACGAGTTGACGGTTCTGGGTAAACACAAGAAATACACTCTGCCACGTTCGTAGATTGATTGTACTGCGCACATCATTGTCATCCCTAAAAATCCCATCTAATTCATATTACGCTACATAACATTCAAATGCACAGCGCTTGTAGAACCCCAGAAAACGGGAAACATTGAGAAAGGACAACTCACCTACTCAAGGTTCCTAGACCATGTGTGGTATTGTACCCAGGTATAGTTATATCATATCAAGTGTATGTATTCATAGCATTAAGGATCACTCAGGGTAGGCATAAGATGAATGTTAAGTCCAGTTGAGCCGGACTAGGGTACTGTAAGACTAAGTGTGGAGCAGGGTTTGAAGGTCCTACTATTTACGTCTGTGAGCGTGTAGCGAACCTAACCCCAACAGATATCATATGAAAATACATGAGAACAATGATCGGGAAAAAGGGATAAATGTATCAGAACTATGTGAGGTGTTGACAGTGATCTAGAAACTATACTGGAAAGGAAATATCGTGTATGCGTCGGTATGAATTTAATACACCTCGTAGCCTCACGTGACATATACCCACGACAGGTACAGTGATCAGAGAATCTGAGGTCTGTGTTCAAATCGTGCGCTGTGTGAGAGGAGGACCCCTCATTACAGTTTTTAAGTGAAGTTGATACACCCCCGCCATGATCATTCGGCTTTTGTTTCAAGGCGCGTCATGTACCCGCCTCAGATGCCCGTTGATATTAAAATCCCAGGCATTTAACCAAGCACTAGCAAACCAAGACCTGACCTTAGTGTATAAGTTAGGATTAATATATGTGTTTATAAGAAATGAGGGACAATATACCGTAAAGTGTTCAGGGGAGAACCATAAGAAACAAAAATGTAAATTGAGGATTGGAAACTGTAGGCCTATGTGACGAGAAGCGGCGGGAAGCCGGCCTTAGTCTTTCCCGTTCTGCCGTCAACACAGGTCAGTGTCCTAGCGGGCTATATCCCGCCCTACAATTAAGGTTGATAAATAACAGTGACTACAGTTTAAAGCTTTGCCGGATATATAAGTGTGATAGGGATGTGTTAAGGGATGGGATAACCGCCCGTCAGGCATTATTCCTTAGTCTTTCCCGTTCTGCCGTCAACACAGGTGCCACGTGGTTGGGGTATCTTGCCGCCCAGCCGCCATTGTCTCCTGGAGCGCCACACCAGGTGGGGAATTACTCCCCACTATACCAGTCCACTATGAACCGGTGGATTCCCAGCGCACCACTCCACATGAATAGTCACAACTAAGGAGAGCGTGAGAAACTGCGGTCGTCACTTGGAGCGACCTATAATACCAGGCGTAGAAATAGTGCTGGTATGTCTCTAGGTCAAGCCCTCGTCCTTACCCACCGAGGGCGGTGTGCGAACGAGGGGCCCGTGGTGTAGACCTAAAAGTCACAAGGAGTCACATACTTGCAGGTATGGAGTGTAACAGGTGTGTTGCGATGGTGCTACTAGGTATGATAACCGACGGTGCTACAAGCCACACCAGTGGAACAGTCTGATGTGTTAAGGGATATTGTAAGAAGGAACGACCGAGATACGGCGTTCACCGATTGTTGTGCAATAAGTGGGTGGATGACCCGCCAGTAATGTAGGAGTCTGGGGCCCAGCTGGGTAACCAAAATTCCGTTGTTCTTCTGAGGAAGGCCAGTTCATGTATGTTTTTTTTACCAGTGTGTTTTATAAGAAATAAATCAATGAAGACATGTTATGGTTTCACCCTTCTTTACCCTTATCGATCTGATCAATGGAAAACCTAACCCAATGCCTAGTTCACTCTGCCCGCTACCTAACGAGCTACATGCTGTCCAGAGGGGGTCTGGTGGCAGCGACCCTTAGAAATTAAGATTAGAGTTAAGTTATCCCCTTAGATTTAGTGACCCCAGATCTGGCAGTATATGATACGGTATGTATAATTTGTAATAAAAGTTTAAAGTCCTGTTATAATAGCTGGGATAAGTTATTTCTCGAGAAACAGGACCGCCAATTGCAATGACGTCACCACCTACCCTGCAGACGACATACGGATGGAGATACGAGTCAATTGATCCCTTTCATTTAATGATCTTCCCAAACATTATATTGCCGAAAGAAATGATTTTCCTCTTAAAAGATTAGTGTTTGTGGTAAGTGTAGCAGCGTTAATTGAGTTGTAATTATACTTATTCTGAGCAAATTTTAATACTGGTACAGGTGATATATATTTACTTTGTGTACAACGTGAAGTACTAACCTTTATGGTGTTCGTGTGTGTGTGTGTACAGGTGCTCGTAAGACAGCAAAAAATAAGACCGACTGACATTCAGAGAGACTTCTAGCAAGTTCATGAATCGATATGCTTATATGTCGGTGGGAATGTGTTGAATGTTGCTGTTACGTGTGTGTGTGTGCGTGGCAGGGCCAGATTCAGGAGGGCAAAGTGGGCAGCTGCCCAGGGGCCTCCACATATTACAATATTTGATTTATTTGTTTATTCATTTGGATTATTTTTATTTCCATTCTTTAAAATTCATGTTTATCTATTCCATCACATAAAACTATGTTCAGCAATAATAATATATTCTTTTCTGTTAAGTCTCTTGAAAATTTTTGACATGTGCGGTAGTAGCTATATCAGGGCTGGTCGACTTTAAACCACATGAATGACTCCAGTCATGTCTCACTTTTGTGTGTGTGTGTGTTGGGAATTTGTACACTATCAATAAATATACAGTTAATTAAAAATTTCTCAATGTTCTAATTTCCTCAATATAACTGCATATGGCTTCAAAATTCTCCAAAGAAGTGTTCAAATTTCAAAATTTTCCCGGGGGCTTACAGCGCTCCCCGGAACTCCCAGATGTTTAGGCTCGCTTCACTCGCCACCCCACCCTCTTGGGTAGTTATAATGAGGGGGGCCTTCACAAAGAGGCTGCCCATGGGCCTCCACAGGTCTAAATCCGGCACTGTGTGTGTGTGTGTGTGTGTGTGACTGCGAGGGAGGAAGAGAAAGGCTGAGGGTGACAGGGGAGTGGCGGCTGGAGGAAGAGTTGAAGCTCTTGATGACCCTGACTACACCCTCGTCTTCACTACCCTCCTTCGTAAAACATGCCCACCCACCTATCCTCCAGTTCTTCCCCCTCTCCACCAGCCCCCACTCTTTTTCCTCTGTAACAGTCCCAATTCCTTCCCCTTCTTTCATTCCCCACTTTTTCATTTTCATTACTAGCTTCCACTCCCTCTTTTTCTTCATCAGTCCCTCCCCCCTCGTCCAAGTCAACGATTCCTGATGCATCAGTCATGTGATCAGTAAACCGTGCCCCTGTTTCAGAGAGAGAGAGAGAGAGAACAGCCAAAACAGACGTCGGACATGAAGAGATAACACTCGCGATACAATAGATAACACGTGATACAGGAAGGTGTGACACGTGAAACAAGAAGATGACACGTGATACATGAAGGTGTGACTCGTGATACAAGATATGACACGTTATACAGGGAAGATGTGATAAAGGAAGGTGACACATGATACAGGAAGGTGTTACACGTGATGCAAGAAGATGTGCTTGTGATACAGGAAGGTGTGACCTGTGACACAGGGACAATACTTTTAACACGAGTTTCATCATAACCAACGAAGAAAAATCTGAAATATTTAGCTTTGATTCTCACTACTGCCTGGGAAGATATTGGAAGCATAATGTGTTGTTTAATGGTAGACCCTGCTGTGACTAAGTCCCAGGTTGCTGATCTGACTTTCTGCTTCATTTACACACAATTGCAGGGCCTCAATTGTTTCTCTTACTTGAACAACACAACATATATAATGTATACAATTTCTCACTCTTGATTTATTTTTTCGATTTTGTATTTATTTATGGTTATTATTTTTATTTTTATTAATTTGCTATCAATTTTATTAATTGTTGTAATAATAATAATAATAATAATAATAATGATAATAATAGATATTATTATTATTATTATTTATTATTATATTTTCGCCCCCCAGGCCCTGATGTGGGTCATTACCTGTGCCCGGTTGGGCTAATCCCCATAAAAAGAAATACAAGCTATGTAGCTTAAATCCACTGGGCTGTAATTATTTGGGTAGTGAGGTCGTCCTTTTTTGAAAACAGGATTTACAAATGCTAATTTCCAGTCATTGGGATCTTGAATTATTCATCCATACTTCGCAAAATAAAATTATAAGGGACTCTGAATTTAGTAACACTTTTCTGACAGCTACATTATAACGCAACTTTTGTATTTTTGTTCACCTCTTTCTTGGTGAATAATTACCAACGGTAAGGAGGCGCATCACATGTCCCAACGGGACAACGAAACTGTCTTAATAGAGACCGAATGAGCTAATATGGACGAATCTTGTTACTATGATTGACCACTAATATATAATATGAATGTGAAAAGTACCAGGGTGTGTTTGTTGACAATGAACTGAAGCTCTCTTGGCACTGTGAGAAAAAAAGTGAATCAAGCATCTACACTAGTAGGTATTATAAGAAAGTCGTTCTTATATATATATATATATATATATATATATATATATATATATATATATATATATATATATATATATATATATATATATATATATATATATATATATATATATAATTTTTTTTTTTTTTTTCCCATCCTTTTCGCCAATGATCAGCTCGTTAGCCTCTAGGGCGGTCGGTCATGTCTCTGTTACTTACTGTTGGCAAGTATTGGGTATGTATTGATCCCTGAATGTACCTGAACCTATTCCAGTGTTGGTCAAGTCTGGTCTTGAAAGAACTCGACACTCGGTGCCGTCACTCCGAAAAGTTTGCCCACACAGTTTTCTGGACTTGTGGCTTCTTCAACCTTGAGGTGTGACCCCTTGTGGGGCGGGCATTTGCCAGCTCCAGGTATGGACACTCAATTGAGTGGTGCCCTTTGAGAAGTTTATAAACCTCAATTAGGTCACCTCTTGCCCATCTGTAGTATAAGCTAGGCAGTTACAGGCGCTCTAATCTCTGGATAACTGAGGTGTTGGAGTGCAGGTACCAGTCTAGTGGCCCTTTTTTTTTTAACATTTTCAATCAACTGACAGTCTCTAGCATATCTCAGGGACCAGACGGGGTGACAGTACTCCAGGCGGGAAAGCACCTGATTCTTGAAGATCATTACAAGGGACGGTCGATATCTCAACGACCTTCTTATAAGACCTAGTTTACTTTCTTAATTTACCTTCCCACAATGGCCCGAGAACTTCAGTTCATTGTCAACATACACACCCAGGTCCTTTTAGCAGATGTTCCGTCACTATTAACGATCTTCAAGAGTGAGGTGCTTCCCTTTCTGAAGTACTGTCACCTAGTCTGGTCTCCGAGATATGCCACCAGACTGGTGCCTGCACCCCGGCACCTCAGTTATCCAGAGATTAGAGCGCCTGCAACTGTCTAGCTTAAACTACAGACGGGCAAGGAGTGACCTAATTGGAGTGTATAAACATCTCAAAGGGCACTACTCAATCGAGTGTCCATACCTGGAGCTGGCGGACGCCCGCCCGACAAAGGGTCACAGCTCGAGGTTGAAGAAGCCACAAGTATAGAAAACTGTTAGGGCAAACTTTTTCGGAGTGAGACTTGTGAACGCTTGGAACACACTGTTGGAGTGTTGCGACAGCTCCAAGTGTGAGCTCTTTCAAAACCAGACTTGACCTACACTGGTGCAGGTTCAGATACATTCAGGAGCCAGTGCATGCCCAGTACTTGCCAACAGTGAGTACGAGAAATGTGACCGACCGCCCAAGCGGCTAACGAGCCCATCAGTGGCGAAGAGTATAAAGGTAAAAGTACCTAACATTATATGGAAAACGTAAGAATTTTTCTTTTTAATTTATCATTTCACCGCATATCAGCTTACTAGCCGCTCGGGCGGTTGTTTTCTGTTACTAAGTTATGTCAAGTGTTAGTATAGGATGAAACCGGAGTACCTATAGGAAACCTGCCATGTTTGGTATGTCACACTGGATAACGTCCTTCCCAAGTGTGCCTCGTGCCAAGACTCGATTACTCGAACCATGACATACAGTATAGCAAGGTGTGAGCATCGGATACATTATCGCCATTCTCTATTTTGAAGAAAAATAAATCGCGAAAGCCGTATTGACCTTTGGTTATATTTTCATATATCTTTTTCGCCACTGAATATTATTTCTACGTGTATATTAATTTCTTAAAGAATGTATTTGTGGAGTGCTTGCTTACTTCACTGGATTTCCTAGCCGTCAACGACAAAGGTCATTACGGCCTTCACGATTTGTGATAATACGTCTCTGAGGTAGACCGTAAAACTTGACATTCTCAAACATATTGTGTTCCAAATAAGACTTAAAAGAAGATGATATGATAATCAAACAATCAGGTGAGGATGTGGACATATAAGCAGAGCTTTCGTCCTTGTCAACAAAACAAATTAGGGTCAAGTTTAAACACTGGTTGATCACATATAAACATGACGTCACGATACAGCCACCTTGCATCCGAACGAATTATTTTTAATTCCATTTCACTGACTCACTGTTAGATCCACATGTTCATGAATTATTATAAAGTAATGCACTTACTCACAAGACCGTAGATAGCCGATAACTCACAAGAATTATGAAGAGTGAAATGACAATAATCCCACTCGAGCGTACAAGGCGTGTGACTGCGCTTGGCTGTAGTGTTTTGTTGGTCAGAGGGAGGAACAGCTGACAGTCAGTAAACAAACGAGACTGACAACATACCTAGCCTTTATATTCTGGACAAAAGGAAATGTTCTCCGGAAGAAAGGATGATAAAGCCAAGCGGCCACGCAGGAGTGGAGGTCTTGCCCAGGTAAATAACTCTGTCCAGGTAGTAAATATGATTAATTTGGTAGTGATGCAGAATAACAACTTCACACTAGGTCGAATATTAACCACCACGTACTGCTCATTTATGAAAATTCAGAATTTCAGAAAGGTAAATTTGCTTAGTCACCGTTCACTTTTAGAGAGTAAATAATAGTTGTTTCTAGTGTACTTGTGTGTGTTTTGACCGAGTATGACCTTTATTTATGGCGGATATTAGCCTTTTCTTAGCGATTTTTTTTTCGTTTGACGTTTTCCGAAAAAAAGTGGCTAAGCGACCAAAAAATACAGTACACCAAAAACACCAGAAAAACGAAAACCTAACCTAACCTAACTTAACTGACTCTCACCATATGATGGAATCACCTATTTCTTACCTTATTGGCCTGGTTCTTGTTCGTCGTTGGATTCTGGGATTCTTACCCAACGCCACATGTGTTGTTCTTTGAGATATTTACATTTAATCTTGCTCTTAGTACACTTTACTGAGGTTGGGAGAACACCATGCGATCGAAAAATGCTATAGTTTCTGCGTTTTTTTCCAAAAACTCGCAATCAGCTCCACATACTTTAAGTGACATCCACTGCAGACTTCCATGGTCGGAACTGAATTTCAAAATATGAGAGACCCAAAATAAAACTCGAATTTGATTGGGCCAAATATAATGCGAATTAAACCCAAAATCATTTTAATTGGTTCCAAAATCAAAAACGCTTTTGATTAGCCGCGTGACGTGTACGGGAACGCATGCGCGTGATGATTTATGAAGGAGACGCGAGAGAGACGCAGTGTTGGTGGAGAGGCAGACGATAATGGCTGAAGGTTAATGGAAGAAAATAGAGAAAATTTTGGATAAGCTATCTCCGTTATTATACATTTCTGCCGGTAATGTATTAGATGAAAATTATCTTATAATTAGACGACTTATTCGAATATGTTACTAGATTAGTGGTAGGAATGAACGGTGTGTAAAAGCAATAATACCCTCAGAATTAACCATAAAGGTTTCACTATTTCAGAGTAATAGATCATAGGGTAAAATAGGGTGCAAGTGTTAGCGGCCCTCACATACGGAACAATCATCACACCAAGCACCTCAAAAACTCCCCCAAGCTAAGTGTTATATTACTCAAACTCTTTATTTTGATGATTGAATAACAATTCTTTTTATTTCAGCGAACAAAAAGTGTTAGGCAGGGCTTCAAAGGGGAAAAAATGGGTGAAATTCTTGGGGCGGCAGCACCAATAAACCCTCTTTACATGTATTTTAATGTCACACAAATAACGTTTTCGTTAATAACTGCATTTTTCAGGCACCTATTAGACGTTATTGGTGAAAGCCTACTGTAGTAGGCAGCCATCAAACACGGAGGTACTACCGCCTGGGAAGATATTGGAAGCATAATTATTATTATTTTTTTAATATGGGAATAGCCCACCGGAGCACAGGTCATCAACCCACAACGGGGCCTAGGGGGCAAAAAAAATAAAGAGTAGAAAGAAATTAAAAATAGAAAAGGAAAAGGTTATATTAATCTACACCTCAAAGATGCCGGAAAACTAGCTTTTTAAAGTGAGGCAGATTGTATGAGTGTGGAAACACAGAAGAAGGCAGCATTCCACAGTTTCGCTGTGTGAGAAAGAAGGATGTACTATAACCGGTTATTCTAGTGTGATCGACAACCACAGAGAAACGATGGGCACCGCGGGCAAGACGTGTGTTACGAGCCTACGGCCTTACCGGCGGTACACAGGATACCAAATCCACCGAACATTGCCTGTTAAAGTACCTGTAAAAGAGAGAGAGTGAAGCAACATTGCAGCTAAGAGAAAGGGAAGAAAGATTGTCAACTAAAGCAGAAGGGTTAATAAGATGAAATGCCTTTGATTCCACCTTATCTAACAGTTGGACAGAAGAAGAGCCACCCCATATATGAGAGCAGTACTCCAAGTTAGGACGAATGAATCCCTTATACTGTATACTTGAAGCAACTACTTCAGCATTAAAGAGAAAATGCTAGACACTTGCTCATAGTTTAATTTCTGTGGGTGTAGTAATTATATAAACATAATGTATGTAGTTCACTTTTATATAGGTATTATTTTCTGTTAGACATGGGCTTATATAGTACATCCGGATAATTCACGGATTTTTATTTTGCGGTCCTCTATTATTCGCGGATGACACCCTCGATGTACCCAAGAATGTCTGCGGGTAGTTTTAAAGCTGCCGGCATTTTCACGGCTGGGACAGGGAGCCATTCATTCTAGCGACAATAATTTCCTTTACCTGTATTGTATACTGTATACAGTATGTGTGTGTAGATACACACACACACAAAGCAATACAAATACAGTGGTCCCTCGGTTAACGAGATTTCGGTTAACGAGTTACCTTCTATAAGATTCTTAACTTCGGTTAACGAGCAATCCCTCGATTAACGAGTTTCTTACGAGCCAACCAGAACATGTTTTCGCTTGCATTTGGTGGTCCACCAGCTGTAGTATTAGTCCGTCAATACAGTAATCGGTTCTAGGGCTTACCATTTTAGCAAATATCAAGAAGTTTATACTATTCAATAATTTTAAAAGTTTAATATTAAATGTTTTAGTCATTTTAACAATTATTGAACATAATTGAAGATAATGAAACTAGTTTTATGCTCGCCATCCAGCCTCTCAACACACCATACAGGCGTCAGTCTTTGTGTCTTTTCAGTGGAGGTAACATCTTGCTTGAGACTCTCTTCAACTAAACGCTTTTTTTCTGTGTTTGCAAGCAAATTATTGGTCATTTTGAAATTTATTTTACATATTGACAATATATAATGTAGTGCAGTGTTGACTTAAAGAAAATAATCTTGAATTATACCAAGAGAACTAAAATTTTATGGGTGAAATGGCGCCATGGGGTGACTTCTCTTCCACCCCAAGGTCTTCTCTTCTCCCTTCTCCTCCACCCCCATTCTAATTCCCATCATCCTCATCCAGGAGCCTTCTACATACACACCTCAAAGTAAGTAGACTTTTCTACCTTTTTTGTTGAATTTGGGCAATTTTCGGTGAGCTGGAACCAATTACCAAAAACCCTTTGAAACAATGGTTTCTGTTAACGAGCAACCTTCTAGAACGGATTGTGCTCGTTAACTGAGGGACCACTGTAAACAATAATTGGAAAATCCTCTCACAAATAATTAGAAACAGGTGTTGTATTAAAAATGTTGAGTCAACCCTCAAGTCTACACCGTTCATTGTTATTAATAAAGCACGGAGTGGACTTGAGGTAGACTCAACATTTTTAATACTACATTTGTTTCTGTTTATTTGTGAGAGGATTTTCCAATTATTAATTATTTGTACTGTATATGTTTTGTTTTGCGTGTGTATGTCTACACATACACACATACAGTTGTACCCCACTTAACGCGGTCAATAGAACCCAGAGGGGCCCGTGTTAAGTGAAATCCGCGTTAAGTGAACAACAGAACATATGGGATTAATTCCAATAGAAACCGGCCCGACCCCCAAACTCCACTTTTTGAAGACACATAACTATGTTGTAGTAAAAATAACATCTTAATTTTATGATGGTACATGCACACAATTAATACTTAAGAGAAATAGAGAAATACAGTCGCCAAGTTAATGTCCATTCAAATAATGGACTCAACTCCCTCCCCCTCTCACATTACACTGCCGGCTCTTCCCTCTCTGAGAAATTTTTGGGGGAAAACCACTAAATTTTAATAAATAATACCTCAAACTATAGTTAGGATAATACAATTGACATTGCTGGATTCCTTGTAAGACCAGGAATATTTTGAATATAAATGTCATATATTTTGCACAAACGATAACAGTTACCCAGAGAAAAAATTTTATCTAAAATTTGTATGTCTAATGCAAAATATATGATGTTTATATTCAAAATGATCACCAAATTATAAGAATTCCAGCAATGTAAATTATATTCTGACCGGGTAATTTGTATGAATTTTATGAGCTAAAACAAATATCTTCAGTTCATAAAAAAAAAAAAATATTCTTCACAGGGTAACAGATGGTCGGTCGGTCCCTCCCTCCCCCCCACCCCCCACCAACCATCCCAAGGAGATGTGTGGGAAAACCAGAATACTTAACTTTTTTGTAATAAATAATACCTCAAACTAAAGTTAGGATAATATAATTGACATTGCTGGATTCCTTGTAAGACCAGGAATATTTTGAATATAAATGTCATATATTTTGCACAAAAGATAACATAGTTACTCAGAGAAAATTTTTTATCTAAAATTTGTATGTCTAATGCAAAATATATGATGTTTATATTCAAAATGATCACCAAATTATAAGAATTCCAGCAATGTAAATTATATTCTGGCCGGGTAATTTGTATGAATTTTATTAGCTAAAACAGGCAGTCAGGCAGGGTGGCGGGTGGGGCAAATCTAAAAATAGCGTCTCGAGCCGGACACTCACCGCGTATATGTGGAAAAAATCCGTGTTAAGTGAAAGTTCAGCTCTGGCGAGGCACCGCGTATATGATAAAACGCGTTAAGTGAAACCGCGTTAGGCGGGGTAATACTGTATATACAATACAGGTAAAATAAATAATTGTTGTAAGGACAAACACATAAAGGGATTATACATTTCTCTGTACAAAAAATTTGTTGCCATTTTGGTAACTTACACCCCCCCCCCCCTCCTGCAAATTTGTAGGGCATGCTGTACACCAGAATAATTTCCAGGTACCCAGAAAATTCCGGTGATGAGGGAATTTTTTTTCAGCTTTGAGAGGGTTTCTCTCATTATCTGGAAATCTCTTATTCCTGGAAGTGTTCTGCTCCAGTTATTCTGGCTAACGGAGAGATGTGACCGACCTACCGCCCAAACGGCTAACAGGGTAAAAGTGAAAAATAGAGTTTTGACCAATGGAAATATTTGCTGTTCACTAACAGTACCCATGTCAATAAACAGATTTAATTTTTTTTTGCTGAACGATGAAGATCTTGATGAAAAATATTTCTCTTATTATTAACACATGGTACATTGGAATTCAGGGGTAATTTTATTTTTTATTTTGTAAAATAGTTTATTCCAATACAATTGCAGTTTAGTTGAGTGTCTTATAAAATCCAGTACAGAACAGTGTGTAAAGTATTTCTATACCCAGTTTTTATTAGGTTTAGGAGTGGCCGGATGTTGTTTTCATTTGTCGCTAAAAATGTAATGAGGTTGGGGTCAATAAGGTTAGGTCAGATTGGGTGCTCTGGGTTGACCTTTTTCAGTGTCAGGTAAAGTAATTTGGATAACTTGGGAGGATCCAAGCAGATTTGGGGAGGCCTAAGCTACTAATGATGACAAGTAAAATGAACAAACATGAGCTGCTTGGCTATGGGCTCCACTAGAAGACAAGGTCTTATGATGATCAATTCTACCATTTTTCTCTGGACAGCTAGGCCTGATGGATGTACCAGGGATGGATAATTTTCATGATGATGAAGATCATGCTGACTTAGAAGCTGAGTTAGCTGCTCTTACTGGTGGTGGAGGAGGGAATAAGCAACTTAAGAAAGGTAAGGAAACAAACATGATTGTCATTACATATGTGTACTGTACAGTATATTAAAAGAGTTAATACTGAATAGGAAATGTGATGAAGGTTAGCAGATGCAGTCCCCAGATGATGACAGAATGAAATTTATACAAGTGAAAGGAAAGTGATTGTTCCAGGACTTATGATGGGTCAACAAGTAGTCAATTGTTATTTGGGTTAGGTGACTACACCTTGATTTGTGTGTAGGGTAGTTCTCAGCAATTTGTATAGGTGGCTTGAACTTTATTCACTTCACTGATGTTTGCTATTGGTAGCGCAGAATTAAGAGTTATATGTTCATAGAACAATGGTTTAAAATCTTAAAGAATTATTAAAATATGAGAAACAGTGGTGCTCATTTCACTAAATTTATGACTTATAATCTATACTGGTAGGTAAACCTGCAGTGTCTCCAGATGACTTGGCTAAGATGGTTGCTGAGTGTATGCAAGATGACTATGATAATGATCAACTTAATGATGAAGATGACCCAGAGTTACTGGTATGTACAATTCATTTAGGAAACTGCTGTAATTCCCTGCATCAAAAGCTTGATCAGAGCAGAGATCTGCTGTTTTGTCCCATTAGTTTAACACATCTCTTAATGCTGTTTAGAAAGCTAGGAATATAGATGCAGAGTTAAATACCTGTACTTTAGAGAGGAAGGCTAAAACTATTTACATATAGCTATTGTACTTGCGGTATATTGTACTGTACATATCTACCGCACTAAACAACAGATAATACATTTCTAAGTCCAGGTCGTAAGTCGAAAATGCAAAAAATAATACATAGAAAATCTAAAATGAAATACAGTATACAGTAAAAGAAATCAATAATGAAGAGTGAAATAGTGTAACTGTGCACTTACCTTTAATGTAGTCGGCTAAATGCACGCGGGGACCCCATAATTTTTTTATTATACATGGAGACTACATAAACTGGATGAAGCAGAGGAGGAGACAGGGCTGGGTGGGTCATCAATGTCGCTTTCTTCAGACAGGTTAACATACAGGGGAAACTTGCTTGTTGAAGGTATTGGATCATCTTTAGGGATTGAAGAGGCAGCACTGGTAGGGTGTGAGGAGACAGCAATGGGGGACTTCTTAAAATATATGTCCAATTTAGATTGCACAGTTTGCCTTTTTTTTTTTTCATTGTAAATCTTGTAGCAAGCACGTGCATCTTCGATCATTCTGTCAACTTTTGTAAAATGCTCAACATTTTGATCCATTCCATCAAACATTTGCATCCCCTTATTAATTGTAGCAAATGCCTCTGCCATTTGTTTCACTGAAAAATTTTTGGGGGGTGAAGGTTCTTCTTCTACATTTTGACTCTCTTCTTCCTCTGCAATTTTCTGTGCATCCAGTTCAATAAGATCCTCGTTACTTAGCTCTTCTGCTACACTTTCAACCAACTGCTCAACATCTTCATTATCAATTTCTAACTCCAGCTGTTTACCCAACTCCTCTATCTTGTTACTAATCGCAGAAATTACTTCATCTTCATTAAATCCTCTGAAACTGTTCACATATCTTTTCAGGACTTTCTTCCATATTCTATTCATGCACTGACTTGTAACCTCATCCCATGCTGCAGCTATGTTCTTTAGACATTTCAAAATGTTGTTGTCCTTCCAAAACTCTGAGCGTTTTCTCACCTTCAGTAGCAGCAACAGCCTGAGCGAAGGTCTTACGTAAATAATTGGCTTTAAAAGCTGCAATAGCACCTTGATCCATGGGTTGGATGATAGAGGTAGTGTTAGGTGAAATGTAGACTACCTTAACATCAGGGTGCAGGTCGTCCAGGTGTGGTGGGTGTCCTGGAGCATTATCCAAAATTAACAAAATCTTGAATGCAATCCCTCGTTGCAGACAATACTCCTTGGCTCGAGGAATGAAACAATTCATGAACCAATCCTCAAACAGTACTAGGGTCATCCTGGCTTTCTTGCTACTGCGATAAAACACTTGGCAGTGTGTGGTTGCTGACATGATAAAGCTCTTGGGTTCTCTGAATGATACATCATGAAGGGCTTGATCTTCAAACCCCCCCCCCCAACAGAAGTGTGATTTGGTCCTTGAATGCCTTGAGTCCCGGCATTGTTTTCGCCTCTGTGGATGTATGTCCGTTCTAGCATGCGCTTCCATAATAAGCCAGTTTCATCCACATTAAATATTTGCTCAGGCAAATAATTTCCCTCCATGATGACACGATCTAGCTCCTTAAAGCTTTGGTAGCACCCACATCAGCACCTGCTGCCTCTCCACTCACCTTTATACTCTGCAAACTGTAGCGGTTCTTAAACCTTGGGAACCACCCATTACTTGCTGTGCAGTAATACTCCGATTTACGCGGTACCCCACCAGAACCGGAATTCCCACTTTACGCAGTGCATCTACTCATATAAGCGGAGAGCGGCTGGCGGTCCTGCCGCGCCGCCATTTTTGAATTCAAATCTCCCGCTATCTCCTGCCATCCCGCCATGCTTGGGCAAGCGGGCCGAGTAGGTTGCGCAGTGGATGCCTCTGTTGCGTTATCGCTGACGTCATATGACGTATCGGATTGTGATTGGGCCATGCATCCTTACCTCCCTCCGCTGCTAGCTATGATTGGTTTAATGTAATATGACGTGCCTTCCCGCTGGCGGGTAGAAGGCGCTTGACCTAGCCCCGTCAGTTACATCCGTCCCGGCCACACCGTGTATACAGGTATCTATTGTTCCGTAAGAATGGCTGCCGCTGGACCACCACCACCACAGAAGAACCTTGCATTACCTGGACCCAGCCGCCCTAAACCAAAGAAGATACGACGTGCCCTAAGTTATGAGGTGAAGTACAGTATAATGCAAGAATTAGAAAATGGAACAAGACAGGTTGATCTCGCGCGGCAGCATGGTGTTAACGAATCTACAATCCTGACGATCAAGAAGGATGCAGCCAAGATAAAATAACACATGAACATCACAAAGTCTGCAGGGGCTTCAATGATCAAGTATTGCCAGAACAAGGTGCTTCTCAAGACAGAAAATTTACTTGTGTGTTACTTGATTCGTCAGGCAAGACAGAACATGGCGGTCGACACGCGGTCAGTTCAGGAGTACGCACGTGATCTGTACGCAGCAGTGTCACGTAAGGTGGGAATTGCAGAGCCCAAACCCTTCAATGCTTCCTCTGGTTGGCTGCACAGGTTTAAGAAGAGGAACAAGATCACCAACATTAACATTGGTGGTGAAGAAGCGAGTGCTGCCCGTGTTGCGGCTAGGGATTTTCCTCCGTTCTTACGTGAGATTGTGGAGGAAGGACAGTACACCGACGACCAGGTGTTTAACATGGACGAATCTGGTCTTTTTTGGAAAAAGCTACCTTCCAAGACCTTCGTTGTGAAGAATGCCAGCAAGATTCGGGACGGAAGTTGCAGAAGGAGCGCATCACCGTCCTGTTTACCACCAATGCCTCCGGTACCTGTAAGCTCAAGTTATCGGTGATCCACACAGCCCGCAAGCCGCACGCCTACAAGAGCATGGACATGACCAAGCTAAATGTCCACTGGTTGACCGCACGTAAGGCATGGATGTTCTCTACACTGTCCCTCTCCTGGTTTGATGACTGTTTTGTTCCTGATGTAAAGAAATTCTGTGAGCGACAGAATGTGCCATTCAATATTTTGTTGCTGCTGGACAACGCACCAGGACACTCGCCCCTACTGTTAGATCGTCACCCCAATGTAAAAGTGGTCTTCCTTCCTCCCAACACTACGTCTATATTACAGCCCATGGACCAAGAGTTAATCTTTAATGTAAAAGCTGCATTCTCAACAAAAAAATTCCAGCTCCTGAACGACTACACCACCACCAGGGAAGAGTTGCATAACCTGAGTGACACCACCACCGATAGCAAGAGCGAAGAAGATGAGGATCAACAGTTGGAACAGCAAAAAATACTGTTCAAACAATTCTGGAGAGTATTTAACATCAAGAAAGCTGTGGACTTCTTGGTGGAGTCATGGGATCAGCTGTCTATTGCTACAATTCGTCACGCATGGAGACATGTGTTGCATGGAATACCAGGTGAGAGGAGTAGTCAATCTGTGACTGGTGAGGTTCAGAATGTTGCAGTAGCAGTGGACCTTGCCAGAGAAGCTGCGCAGACTGTTACAGTTCCAGGCTTCTCCGAGACCACCAACAACGACATCCTGGAGGTGATCAGAGATCCTGAAGTGACTGCCGACGAGATGTTGGAAGAAGAACACGTCAGTGAAGAGGAGGAAGAAGGTGCGTCATTCTCCGAAGAACACAGTTTAAGTCATAGTGATATTAAGTGTGCCATGGAGTGTGCAGAGAAAATGAAGTCCTTCCTTTCCCGCGACAATGACGATGACCGCTATGAAGTCTTCCATACCCGGCTGGTGCAGGCTATGGAGCCGTACATCAAGGTGTATCACGACAACATCAACACCAGCTGTCAGCAAAGCATAACAGATTTCTTCGCCCGCAACCCACCACAGCCAGCCCAAGCCAGTGATAGTGACAGTGAAGATGACTTTGAGGGATTTGTCAGGGAAGCCCTGACAACTGTAAGTGACAGTGATGGTGATTCACCTAGTAATGGTGATTCACCTGAGGGCCAGTAATCTGCCCTCTGCCTCGGAACCAGCCTCCATCCCTGTATGCCGACCCATCTCTTCTACTACCGTAAGTGTTCCACCTAACTTTTAGTTTTTCTAACCTAACCTCTATTTTTCCTATGTTAACCTTTATTTTTCCTAACCTAACCTCTTCTATATTACTTGTTTTTTCATACCATCATAAAGTTAAGATAAAATTTTTACTACAACATAGTTGTGTGTTGTCAAAAAGTGGAGTTTGGGGATCGGCCTGGACTCCATTTCAATTAATCCCATATGTTATGTTATTCACTTTACGCGTTTCTCACTTTACGCGGGACCCTCCGGGTTACATTAACCGCGTAAAGTGAGGGTTAACTGTATAGTGTATATATATAATATATATATATATATATATATATATATATATATATATATATATATATATATATATATATATATATATATATATATATATATATATATATATATATATATATATAAAAGAGAAAACTAAATATTTAGCATTTAAAGTGTACTGTACAGTGTTGTGGCTTGGCGCGGGGTTATGCAGTGTTTACAGTTCACGTTCGACATCACATGTTCAATTGATTTATGTGTTTTGTTTGTGAACAATTGCAGAAATAATTTATTAAATATTTATGTATACAGTATACCTGTACAGTATATGTAAATTGTAAAATTTTAAATAAAAGAGAAAATCAAAATATGTAGCGTTTTACACCCGCGCTCTGTTTACATCACACACAGTGTTTACAGTTCACGTTCGACATCACATGTTCAATTGATTTATGTGTTTTGTTTGGGAACAATTGCAGAAATTATTTATTTAATATTTATGTATATAGTATACCTGTACAGTATATGTAAATTGTAAAATTTTAAATGAGAGAAAAACAAAATACGTAGCATTTTAGACCCGCGCGCTCTGTTTACACCACACCTTCAGTCTGAAACACGTGTGAAGTTTTTAAGCGTCCTCAGTGTTTCTGATTACTGTTTCTCCAATTTCGTGATTATGGAAAAGAAGAATATCTCCGGGAAGCGTTCTGGTGATCGCATTTCCGGTGGTGATCGTAAAAGAAAAGCTATAACACTTGAAGAAAAGCTTGATGTTGTCAATTGCTTTGAAAATAAGGAAAAAACATGTGATACTGTGCATGCAACAGGAATACAGGAGTCTACTTTACGCACCATTAGAGACAATGCAGCAAAGATTAAAGCAAGCTGTATTGCTGGAAAAACCTTGAGTGCTAGCAAAAGTGTGAGATCACTGCCAAAGGAACTTGAGGAGATGGAACGGCCTCTAAGTGTTTGGATAGAAGATCAAACGTAAAAGCGATCTGGGACCCGCTTCCTCACCATTAAAGAGAAAGCCTTATCAACATATGAGGACCTAAAGAAAAACTGCACCTGATAATGATGATACTGATGATGACAATGACAACTGTCAAATCCTGTCTGCATGACTCCTCCCCCATCAACCTTCTCCCCCATCAAATTATATTCATATTTTTTCAAGGTAAAGTGTAACATTTACTGTATGATTTCATTATTACCGGTAGATATGAATGTAACATTTATTTAGACTGTGCTATCCTTTGTGTTAGGCTAACTACGAAACTTTTTTCGATTTGGAGTAATCTGCACCTAACCCTATTTTCTCCATAAGCCCTGTTATTTCTAATATGCGAATTTTTATAACACGATGTTTTACAAGAACACAACTATCGCGTTATAGCAGAACTGACTGTACGTATTAGTCATAACACTTTCTCCCATGACTTTTCAGTCTGTGACTCTTGGGGAAATGTGGATTGACCTGTCTTTTTTCCTCTTTAATATGGCTGCAGTTTAAGCATTAGTCTGTACCATGATGGTCTTACTTTTAAGAAAAGTAAGAATATTGCTGTGAATAATTGTAAAGATGTACGGTACCTGTTTAAAATTTGAAATTTAAGTTTCTGAACAATGTTTTCACTTTCCTTTTTTCACTGAACTTCTGTAGTGTGTTGCCTTTGGGCAGAGGGAGACAGCGGGGGATTTTGTGGTTAGTGGGTTACAAGTCAAAACTAGTAAAGTAGTGCTACAAGCATAAATTCAGCTTTCACATGTTAGTGTCATTCTGCACAGTTATTCATGGAATTTTAGTGGTACATTTCTCTTGAGTAGAGAAAGAAGCCAAATTTTTTGGGGGGGGTGTTCAGGTTAGCTATTGGTTACATAAATATAAATTCATTTGTCATAGGTCTATGAAGGAGACTTATTATGTGCTGTTCCTAGAATTCTTATTTTAACAATGATTATTATCTTAAACCAGGTTGTTGATATATTTGTCACTACAGTATTTTATTTGAAATTTGCAGGCTGAATTATCTGCTCTCAGTGCAACAGATGATGATGATGGAAGTATTCCTCCAGCTCCAATCAGGCCAGCTCCAACTATTCCAAATTGTCCATCTCCAGTCAGTGACTACCGTAATCCTGAGCCAAGAGCTCCCAGGAATGCACCAATGGCTGGTGGAAATAGCATTGTTACCTTGCTTGCTGAGAGAATTTCTTTGTATGAGCAGGCAGAGGCAAATGCAAAGGCATCTGGGGAGACTTCAAGGGCTCGAAGGTTTGTGTTTGTGTGATACATTTTACAGTTGGTGTTAGTCATGTTATTGCATTCCCTTGATATGTGTAGGTAAAGTAAATTTCTTCATCCATTAACGTCTGGTGTGCATTCCACAACTTTTGAACTGCTGAGAATTAAAAAAATTACTGTATACCATTAATAGATAGTGTCGCTCTCACAACATACTTTTCCTCACATGTAAGTGAAGGTCACACATGACAAAGATGCAATAATACATATTGTCCTTCCCATTCATAAGGGATATGTTTCTTGCCAACACCATGGTTTCCTGTGCTGCCGACGATTGAAGGCGTAGTAAACTTTACAATTTCATAAGCTGATTGATTGTCTAAAAAATGATAAATTAAAGTCATATTTAATGGTCTTCTTACACTAAGGGTCACAGCCTCAAGTGAAAAAACTCACAAGTATAGGAAGTTCTCAGGGCTAACTTCTCTATATGAACAGTAATAACCTGGTAGGGAATGTTGTGACATTAAGAGCTATGAATAAAAGGTACAGTAATACTTTAGATGTTTGACTCAGAAGAAGGATAAACTTTAACAAAATATTCTATAGACAAAAACTTGTTTCTTACACATGCAAATGGCCTTCATGAGGCAACCATACATATATATATTGTGTCAATGTATTTGATAATAACAGTTCCCAACTCTTATTGTCACAACATTTTCTGGCACATTATTACTGTTTACAACTTTTAGTGAAACAACATTCTCTAGCACATTACAGTATTACAACAGTTCACAACTCTTACTGTCACAACATTCTTCCTGTTATATATTATTAAAGACAATTTCTTTCAGACCTCAAAAAATCTAAAATCAAGTGAAAGAACTGCAATTTTTTCCTTTTGTTTTTACATAGTTTTTCTTTTGCTAGATAATGGACGTATAGTATATCCACCTCGTCTATCCAAAGCCATTTTTGCGCTTGATATGTTGTGGGCATACAGATACACTGAGTGCTACATTACAGTAAATTATTTATTCGAAATAAGATGAACAAAATTAACCTAGCTACAGTATTTTAAACCCTTACGCCCTGGGCGACGTTCCAGAATGCTCGCCTTTTCCCGCCACTGTTTAATTGCCCAGCGCGGGTTATCAGGTTCCAGTGTGACTATTTGCCTGTCATGCCACACCCTCGGCCACAGGGAAGCTTCCTGAACGTAATTGCTTACTTTTGTTTGTTTTATTTTCATTGTTTGTCCATTGTATCATGTTGTGTCAAAGTAATATTGCAAAAACTAGTGTACAGTAGTTGTATTGTAGTGTAGTATTACTGGAAAATAATACTATGATTATGTTATTTGTGGAATTATTATTCCGGTATTTATTTTATGCATTAATTGCTCTACCAAACACAAAGACAGCCAGACCGACTGCGAGTGTGTTGCTGAGCACTTTTTATGAAAAATAATGCAAATAAAATATTCTAAATGAATTATTTATAGGAAATATATCTTATGATCAGTAAATATATACATCCCGGACACAAAGGCAAGCTAAAAAGTAGCTTCTAAATGTGTAGGTGACCACAAGCACTCGCTGTCATAACAAGCTGTCCCCTTATCTCCCTCCCCCTCCCTCCTTCCACACTGCCAGGGAAGTTTCTAGAGGGTCAATATATAGTTTTTCTTACTTCTTTTTTATTGTTTTATCATTTAAAAGGGTTACAAAGTATTTTGGGAAAAGTTGATTTTTATTGATTTACCCTAGCGTGGGGGTACAGCCAGCGGCACCCTAACCCGGGGCTCAAGTGTTAACCCAAATTAATTATGCTACATCATCATTAGGTTAGGTTTGGTATGTTAAGTTGGTTCATGTTACTTCATAAATCATGTACAGTATATTGTTTGTTATGAAAATGAAGTTAAGCACTGGAAGGCTTTATTCAACTTAATACAACATCCATAGATCTGTAATAAACAGAATAACAGGAATCACAAATTACTAATGACTAAGCTTCAAGTAACAGAATTGGCTTAACACAAATAAACATAACATAAGAAATATAAGAGAACTTCAAACAATATAATCTAGAGCACTTAACCAACTAAACATAACACATCACTGTTGTTATCACTGGAAGCTTTCATGTGCCAACAACACACCAGTTGTAGTATCAGAAGGATGTAGATTATTTTCAGAAAGAAATACAATAGAAAAACAAGAATACAAAAATTTCAAATTCCTTCTTGATATATGTCTTTCACAAAGAAAGGAAGAAGTTGACTTCAGTGCAATATTAGTAAAAAAAATACTGTAGATGTCTTAGGTGCAAAGGACTCATCACATACAATACTGTATTACCTATTTTGTACAATTTGCATATTATATACCACTGTTATACATTATACACATGTCATGTCATAATATTTCATGGTGTTTCTCATTGCTTGTTCAAGAACCTAAAAACACTTTATACAAAGTTTCCTTGTTTTCTAGATTTAATCGTGGCCTGAAAACTTTGATACAAATGCAGAAGGCTGTTAAGGCTGGTCATCCTATTGAAGAGGATGAGATTCCTCCTGCTGTTGTCGTCAAGTTAAGTGGTGGCAGTAAAGGAGGATCAGCTGACACAACCTCTACCTCTTCTCCTGCTGCTTTATCACCATCTGAGGAACGGCCTGGACCAGTTACTACCCATAGTAACCCACTTGGTCCACCGGCGTCTATACCGCATGAAGTTGTTTTCCAAGACACAGGCAAGCCTAGACCACAGCCCCCACCAAGGTCAAGTCTAGAGAAATGGGTAAGAATTTCAGAAATTTGTAATTTAAAAAAACAAACAATGTTGTCAATTCATGTGTCCAAGAAAAGCATATACCTGTACTGTAATAAACCATAGTACCTGTACAGGGAATGACCATTATACGATGGATCTATTTATGCTTTTATGTTGTTAAAAATTAGCACCATTAACCGCCATGCGATGGCTAAAAATCAGTCTTACGATGGTCGCTGCCCGAATGTTTTTCCTGCATTGTCACTGCTATGAAAAAGTGATGTGCAGTAACTCACAATATTATGAGATGTGATGAGGCAGTCTCGGAATGGCATAACATGTGCGACCCACACGGAATGCTGGGAGACAGCCCATCCTCAGTGACTGCCAGGCTAAGCTGTTGAATTGTGTCATGTCGCCCAGAAAGTGGTTTGTATGTGGAAGAAACTTTTTTGTACAAAAAATAATATACTCTGTACCATTAAATATGAAGAATAAAAAAAAAATAGTAAATAAAAAAAATAAGAAATAATTCATTGCCTTTTGGCAATCTTTTCACTGCACACACAAGACAGTAGAGCTGTGAGGGAAAGCTGCTCCCTCACTCTCTGTGCTAGCTCCCACACCTAATAAATCTTTAATCTCTTTTATGTTTTTAACCCTATGAAAATTATAGTTTGTTTTTGTACGTTCTGTATGAACAATTGTTTGTGTGTGTAGCAGAGTAAAAAAATAAATAAATTCTGAAGAAACTTACGGTATGTATATCTACCAGAAATTGCAAGTTAAAAAATAACAATAATGCAGCTAGCAGTTTGGCTGAAGGTTGAGATACCGACAACTCTCTCCCTTCCTGCTTCCATGATCCACACTCGGTTATGGGGACATAAAAAATTATTATTCTGTATTTTTTTTACTGTACAGTATTATAATAATTTCTTTTTTTTTTCACATTCTCTATGAACGATTATGTGTGCATGTAACTAAAAAAAAGGAAAGAAGAAAATTACTGTATTTATGGCATAAGATGCACTTTTTTGTCTGAAAAATGGCTAAAAAAAATTGTCCTGCTTCCTATATGTGAAGTTCCGGTCCCATAGCCTAATGAATCTCCTGGTTGCTGTCTCCAGTAGGCTAAATTCCACTTAACACAACTCCAGAATTAAAAATATGTTATTGCTTACAGTATACACTGGTCCCTCGGTTAACGAACACAATTCGTTCCACAGAGTCGTTCATTAACCGAAAATTTTGTTAACCGAATCCATTGTTTTAATGGGATATTGGGTAATTGGTTCCAGCTCACAGAAAAGTACATACAAAGTAAAAAAAAAAATGCAATAAAAGTACACTTACTTTGAGGTGTGTATGTAGAAGGTTCCTGGATGATGATGATGATGATGGGAATTAGAAGTGGGGGTGGAGCAGAAGGGGGAAGAGAAGGAAGTGGGGATGGAGTAGAAATCACCTTTCAGGGGATCCATGCTTGATGCATTAGTTTCACCAATAAAATTTTAAGTTCACTAGGTGTAATCCAAAATTATTTTATTTAAATCAACACTGCACTGCGCTATATATTATCAATATGTTAACTAAATTTCAGAATGACCAATAATTTTAATGTAAAATTGCAAAAATATTCAAGACGCCAACAAAATTGATGCTCACTCCACTGTCAACAAAGCCAAACTGACGCCTGGTGGGTGAGTCAAGCGGCTGATGGGCGCACAAAAAACTATTTCCCTGTACTGCATATACTGTACTGTATTATCAATATGTTAACTAAATTTTAAAATGACTAATAATTGTAATATAAAAAATGCACAAATATTAAAGAGTACAACTTTCTTGATATTTACTCCACTGGAAACGAATGTAAACATAGAACAGATTACTGAATTGACAGACTAGCCCATCAGCTGATGCTCACAACAAAACGTGTTTTTCGTAAGGATTTTGTTAATAGAAAGGTTTGTTCAATAACCGAATGGAAGATCCTTATGGGAGGTAATTCATTAATCGAAATTTCGTTAATCGAACCGTTTGTTAACCGAGGGACCACCATACTCTCAATTTAACGGAATCCGATGTAACGAACTCTTGATTTATTGGAAGGAATTTTTTCCGTTATTATTCACTCGATTTGGTGAACTAGTTAGCTAAATCAAGATTAATTCCGCTTATACGCTCATGCACCTACGCAAACACATGGTATGAACAGTTGGGGTCAAAAGTGTTGAACACTTGACAGTAAGTACCCGAAGATCTTAAGTATTAAGGAGAGTTTTATCCCATTTTTTGGTTCAGGCATAATATGTGATGACAAGTATAGTGTTACAATATTAGTATATCCCAATCATATATGTATAATTCACACGTAGATGCCAGATATTGCTAAGTGTTCAACACTTTTGACCCCGACTGTACAGTGCATAGAAACAATATTCTTGTCTTACCTTAAACTATGGGGGTTCTGTGTTTGTTTTAAATTTTTTGTATTCCCAACTTTTTTGCAATTGATAACCACACTCTTTTGACTTTCTCCCCAACACCACTTCCTTTCTGAGGCTTCTGAGAGACTTTTGACTGAATTTAACGGAATTACGCTCTATTTATTTAACTTTAGTTTGCTAAATCGAGCAAAAAGAACAAATTCGATTTTATGGAAATTTTTATTTAACGGAAAGGGGTGGCTCGAATTAGTTTGCTAAATCGAAAAATACTGTATGTACTTAAATACATTATTATTTTTTTAATTAGTTGAACAATAATTATTGTAAATATAAAAACTGGATTTATAATTACTGTACTGTACTTACAGTATGATAATAATCCAAGACGATTAACGTCCATACGGTAGACACCCAACTCTTCAGAGGTAGCTAAGCAGTAATCATTTCAGAATTCTCACATGTATTACTATCTATTAGTGTCATACTGTACCTGCAACATTTAATTTTAAATCTAGAAATACCTAATACAAATGAAGATTTACAGATAACTTTCTTTTTACATTTGTGTCTATCAACATAGTTGGCGACATTGTAGCAAAGTTAGACTTGTCACTACCACCAGGCTACTGGGCCAAGCTGTGAGGTGTTTTGGTAATTTTTCAACTCGTATTTTTGTGTAGATATATGGAACATTCTTGATTTATTTTTACTCACTTATATGCGCACACCATCCTACATACATATTGCAAAAAAGTTTAAAAGAAATAATTGTCATAAGGGCAAACACATACAGGGAATATAAATTCCTTTGCGAGGGAGACGGTGGAGGTAGCGTCCCTGCTGATCTGCGTTGCTATGGCGAAGCACGGAGTGTATGCAAATGGCGATTGTGTTAATCTATAATAAGAGTTTTATTTACTGGTTTTAGCTGCATTTTTTATGTAAATTGTATAAAAATTTTGTTTGAAGTAGCACAATTGTTAAATAACATAAGCAAGGTAGGTAGTATAGTTTATGAATACTGGGAAAGGAGGTACAGGGAGTTGGGAGTTTGCTTCAGCCTTTTGGGTTATCATGTAGGCCGTTACTTTACATCAGTGGTAATATTCCTTACTTTGCTAATTTTTAATTTTTTTTTATTGAGAATTTATATCAGTTTTGTACTTGTGATAGTAAAACAAGGATTGTCACTTTAGCAACATCCCCCTAGCCTTGCCCTACCACTCCAGGCCAAGCTGTGAGCTATGTTATGGTTGTTTTTCAGCTCCTAATTTCAGGTAGATACATATAAATTTCTTAATTTTTTTTGAGATTTTACATGCACTCTCAATCTTACATACAGAATATACAAAAAAATAAGATAATTAATTATTAAAAAGTAAAAAACATAAAAGAGAATAAACTTTGTGCGTGTGTTAAGAGGAGTGAGGGATCTCGGCTATTCTGAGCCATCTCCCGTGTGTAGTGAAACGACAGTTCAGGGGGGCCCCCAAATTCGTGGGTTAGGTTCTCAAAATAACATTTGCTGACCAGGGGGGGGAGGGGGGGTACATTTTTACTTGTGTACAAAGAAATGTATATTCCCTTTGTGTGTTTGCCCTTAGGACAATTAATTCTTTTACCTTTATTGCAGATATGTGTGTGTGTAGATACACACATACAAATAAATAATAATGGAATAATCCTCTCACAAATAATCAGAAAAAATATTATTAAAAATGTGACAGTCCATGCTTTATTAATAAAATAATAAAGCACAGCCATCTATGTCTAATTTTTCGTAATTTACTCTTCTGCTTTATGTGGAAAATAAGATAAATGAAATTATTATACAGTCGGCCCTTAACATTCGCAGGGGTTAGGTAACAGAGATACCCGTGAATGTTAAAAATCCGTGTACTTTTGCTGCCCCCCCCTAAAAAAACCCTGGCCCCCCATGTCCCTATTTGCCCTATATACCTGTGTGTAGTTCGAGTTTTTAAGACCAAATTATTTGGCAAAAAATTGGGGGTCGACCACTAAACGGGTCATAGTTTTGTTAGGTTGAAAAATATTTACCAGTTACTACCAGTAAACAATGGAAACGATGCACCAACGCACCACCAGCTGCGAGTGTCAGTACAGCTGCCAGGGCAGATCTCTTGCGTCATCATATCAAGCCCAAAGTAGCCAAATGCATAGTATGGTATGCACAGTACGATGTAAAACATAAAGTATTCATTTTTTAAAGTTTATTTATAGATACTGAACATAAATTTTTGTTCATTACATTTGAAACATCAAACTTTGTTTATTACATTTGAAACAAAAGAAACCTACGATACGGTATTTCTAAATACCGGGTATTTTCATTAAAATATTACATCACAAGTATATTTTACCTTAACTGTGACTGAATGAATATATTCTCAGAAATAAATATGGAAATGTAATATTTTTGCTGAAATGACGTACGTATTACAGTGGAAAGTGGGATAAAATCATGACGAAAACAATGACTTTCGCTTTCTTTTGTTGTTCAAAAGATTTTACCGTGGAACAAACCTGTACTGTACATGTACTAAATGATTACGGTACTTAAATTGTTATGTCTATTGCAAATATAGATTGTTTATACAGGTATTCAAATAAATCACTATCTTGCAAGAATCCCAGCAATGTAAGTTATAATCACCCAGGTCGTTTGGGTGGCAAATTATGAGAAGAGCTTAGTTATTCTTAAGTAATGATAAATAAACACGTAGGCCTTCAGCGCCAACTGTCACATCTTATCTCAAATAAATAAACAAACACCACACTCTGTCACCTCACCTCCTCCCCCCCCCCATGCTCGCTGGCTACCTCCCTCCTTGTGTTCCCAGACAAAAGATTGGTGATAACTTTATTCTTTAAGGTGTTTATTTTATATAATATCTCAGACTAAAGTTAGGAGATTATAATTTGCATTGCTGGAATCCTTGCAAGACAGCCAATAATTTGAATAAAAACTTCATATATTTTGCTCAAGATATAAAAATGTAGTACATTAGTGTACAATACTGTGTAGTACATTTTATAATACAGTATAAAGTTTTCAACTGTATTTTTGGGTAGATTTACATAAATTTCTTCATTTATTTTCATCCATTTACATGCACACACCGTACTAAAAGAAATAAATGACCTTAGTGCAAAGCTGGAGTGCACATGTACTAATTTCATTATGGTACTAAAATTGTTATGTCTAGTGCAAATTAGAGCATGTTGCTATTCAAATTAATCAGTGTCTTACAAGAATCCCAGCAATGTTAATTATATTCTCCCAGGTCATTTCACTGGCATTTTAAAATGGGAGAAGCATAGTAGGACTGTTAAATAAACACACAGAGACCTTCGCCTCAAACTGTCAAACATATTACCTCAACCCCCCCTCCCACCCCTCGCTGGTTGGCTGGCTCCTTCCCTCCCTCCCTCATCTGCTCAGCCAGGGGTTTATTTAGGCTTACAGTTTTTATCTTATATAATATCTCAGACTGAAGTTAGGAGATTATAATTTGCATTGCTGGAATCCTTGCAAGACAGCCAATAATTTGAATATAAATGTCATATATTTTGCTCGAGTTAAAATTGTTGTATATTAGTGTACAGTACTGGTTTTCAGTTAAAAAACTGTTGTATTACAATAATATTCCCTCCTAATTGACTTGAATAAATACTTGAATGGAAATATACAATATTTTTGTTGAAACTACCCGCGTTTCAGTGTAAAGTGGCGTAATAACAAATGGTAAACAATTTGCTTTTGGCACTGTTTCAGGCACGGCGAGCCTCAGTTTATAGGACGTAGAGCGTTTTTAGTGAAGGTTTTGTTGTTCCAAAACCCTCAAAAACTTGGGTCGACCTATAAACAAGGAATATCATAAATTAACGATTTTTTTGTCAAAAAATCAGGGTCGACATACAATGCTGATGTCAACACAAGCGTGGTTACAGAGAGACTGACTGAGTGAGGGAGCGCAGGGTGGCGTGACGTGTGTGTGGGGTGGTGTGTGGTGCCGCGCGCGATTTGAATGGCGTGCGATTTGAATGTACTTCAATGTACAGAATATTCCTCCGGTGGGGCAATCCGCGTATTTGCGAATCCGTGTATGCTAAACCTGCATATGTGAAGGGCCGACTGTATATCCTAAAATTTCATGTTAATTAGTCATTTGTAGTATTATAATAGAAGGTGTGGAATATGAAAGTGAAGAAAATTTTTTGAAGGTGTGGAGATGGCTGATAATACATGGGAAAGGATACAATATTGTAACTCCAGGGGTTAAGTGTAGGCGAATGAAGAACGGAAATTTAGACTGCTCACGTATTCTGTAAAATTTAGAATTATTTCTTAAATTAGATTTTTGGTTGACACATACTGTTTTTTTTGTATTTTATTTTTTTACTGCTGAGACCTGATCACATTTCTGGGATGGTTGTTTCAAAGTGGAACTCACACATCAAAACTGTTATACTGTGCTATACATGTAGTATCTTCCATTTGTGAAAGGGTTCACTTCCTGTAAAACCTTTCATATATGGTAATGTATCAGATCTCATTTTCTCATAGCCTCCCATTATAAAAGCGGAGACCAAATAATCCCCAGAACATGATTTAATTCAAATTTTTTGTGTACATAATGAATGTAAGCCAATAATAAACACAATTCATGCAGCACAGTTGTAATTTTATGAGTACAAGAAATTGTAGTGCATAAAACTTACTGAGAAACTGTGCCACTAGTTATGATGCAGTGCAAGACTGTTAGGCCTCGCCAAGACATACATTTTTAATTTGAAAGTGATGCACCAACCATGAGTCTACTTCACTGTATGTACTGTACATGTACTTAATACTGTATACATTTTGAGAAGTTTTCTTTTCACAGAATTTGATTTTCGATGAAGTTTTATCTGAAGAACATTTAACATTTTACTCTTTCCATTGCATCAGATCAAACTCTGATATACTACTAAACATATCAGCATTTCCACAGTCAAAATACCATGAGTCAGCATCTTGCCTCTTTTTTATGTAGTGATCCTGTGAGCAATGATAACTAAAGCACAACATGTATGTTATTTTTAGGTTAGTTAACCACTTTTTAATACAGTACAATACATGCCTTGTATGTTGTTTTAATAAACTGACATTTTGAGTACAGGAAGCCCTGATATGCCTTTGCCAATACCTTAGCATCTTCCTATGCTGTGAAAAAAAAATCATTACTTCAGATTTTCCTCATTTAATTGAAACCTGGGACATTTTTCTTTTTTATAACTTTGGACTTTCATAAACTGGATCTTGTAAATTTCGGACTGCGTGTAATGTACAGTATATATTTATCTATGTATTTGTTACCTTCAATAGGAATGAAAGAATATGATTTCTTCCCAATAGGACTTACCTTCTAGACCACCTATTGAACAAAGCAACTCATTATCAGGAGAGCCTTTACAAAGAAACTCATCATCTGGACCACCACTCCAACAAATTACCTCATCATCTGACCCTGCCAGTATTGTTCGCAATCGCCACAGCGAGTATAAGATGGCAGCGTTGTCATCCAAGAAGAGTGGCAATAAAGAACAAGCTATTCAGTTCATGAGGATAATGAAACAAATGGAGCCAATGCTTAGAGCTGCTGAGAATGATCAGGCTGTTGACCTTACCACTTTACCTGGACCCCCAGGTACTCCCACTGCTAGACAACCAAAGCCTGAGATGAATACTTGTGGTGCACTGTCTGCTACTAATGAACCCATGAGAATAATAAGTGAGTTAAGTTTTTCTTTTATACATCCACATTATTGAAATTGTTACAACACACTCAATAATACATTATAAGCATAACACCATTCCATTTTTCATAAAATATCAATAAGATATTCATGTATATCATAAAATCACAATAATATGGATAATCCCCTCCCTCTCCTCTGATGTTTTATGCAGTATATATCATCATCATCATTACAGTATTCATGATTATATTGGTGATGATATTAACATTCCCCCATCTCCACCCTAGCTTCGGCAAAAATGTCTAAAACATTTATGGATGTATATTCACATGACAAAATCCTATAGGTTATAGACAAGCCTGGTTCTTTGTCAACATTAGCTGATCTTTTTGTGATTGATACTGATGTTGAAACAGTTTATTTAGCCAGAAAAATACAGAGTGGACAACAATAAAAATATTGACATGGCTGTGCCAATTGAGAGCCTGAGTGCTCTTAGTGCAACGTCAAACTTGTTTTGTTAAATCATTGCCATCATATTCTATGCTTTGTAAACTGTGATTCTGAAGAGCCATTCAGTAAGGTGACAGCTCCTGTAGTTTGACAACCAAGTTCATCCCATTATGCTGTACTCCTTTCCACCATCTTTCCAGTTGTTCTCCAGTTTTTCCTTGACAATTATCACAAAATCTAATCTGTCTGTGTTGACTGAAAATCATCTTTGACCAAACCTCTGTTAAAAGAGTGCAGACAGCTGTAACCTACAATTTGGTACCAGAAGATACGTCGACAAAAGATTGACTAGACTTATATGCTGCAGCTGAAGCTCGAAAATTACTGATGTTTGAATTTGTTAATGTAAAGATATTGTGCATGTTACTAGAGGTCTGCACAACTGAGCATGAAAAGATTGCACTCAAATAAACAGACACTGGATTGTAAACTGTGTTTTCATGATGTTCAATTTTGTTACAATACAGTACTCAGTAGCACACCCAGGGGGGGTTTCTTGGTTGCCCAGAAACTCCCCTGAGCATCCAGGAGAGTTTTATAGCGTTAGTGATCTGTAGTATACTACGTCGGCTCTTCACCCTGCTCAAATATTTTGAAACCCCCTAACCAATTTCTAGGTGTGCCCCTGGTACTTGTAAACAGAGGACACTAAGTTTCCCACTTGTGCCATCTGCATGTACAGCAGGAGGTTGATTGGGAGAACAGCATCACCATATTCATTGTCTTATTAGAATCCAGCAAAAACACTTTGATGTGATTACAAGAAAGGACCTCCGTGTTAATCTAAAACTGCGATATTCCATGAAGAATATCAGCACAATGTTTTGTTTTGGTCAACTTTTTACCAAGTACAGGCATCTCCTGGGTTATGGAAGGGTTAAATTCCGTTAAATCTTCCCATAGCGCGAAATTATGTAATGTGAAACCATTCTTCCCATTGTCTTCATTTATAAAAATTTAGGTGCATTCCTGCCGAAAATTTTGAGACCCAAAAGTGCAACACAAGCACATATTTGTATGAAATCAGATAGTTTTAACCACATACAACTAGTCATTCATGATGTAACATGATAACAAATGAACAACACTCAATTTTTACTCACCAAAAATGATGTTACTGGGAGGAAGATGGTGGCTCTCCGTCCTGGCCGTGAAAATGCTGTGTTCTTTAAAACTACCTGCAAACATTCTTGAGTATATCCAGGGTGTCATCTGTGAATTAAAAATCCACGAATTGTAAGGGCATGCTGTACAGTACAGTACAGTACAATATACGTAGTGGCTGTAATCACTTATTATGTCTTAGCACTGCTTTAATGGCATTCTTAACTGATTATATCCTGGTATTGCACAACACACATCATATGCAAACACAGCAGTGAACGAGTGAATAAGTTTGTCTAATGGGAGCAGACAGTGAAGTAAGAGTCATAATACTAGACTTGAGGAGATAGGCTGAGAGATACATCAGCTAATCATAGGTATCCCATACAGTCACATGACATTAGTAGCCAATCGTAGCTCACAAGCACCCTGAGCCTATCCACACATGCACTCACATGGCTGGATCCCCCCTTTTCATAAAAAAATTCCAATACTTTTTCTTTAATGCAGTATTGTACTCAGGCATTTTTGTATAGTAAAAGTAATTACTATTGACCTGAGAATATATCCTAATACCAAGTGCACATGGCCTCAAAATGCCCATTATATTGGTCAGATTTCAAAAAAATTTCTTGGGGGAAGAGGGGCTTACTGCACCCCTTCCCAACCACCCCACAAAACCCCCATCTGGATGGGCTTGCTGTGGTTGCTATGTTCTCTTACCCACAACTTCTTGAATACAGCCCTTTTGATATTCCTGGATCTGCTCCTGACTCGGCATGTGTAAGTACATAATGCAATCTCTCAGAAATTCATTCGAATGCCTGGAATGGAGAGGTATTTATTGGAATTTCTCAGATTTCTCAAAAAAATTCTGGGTTATGGAAATTTCTAGAGGTAGAAGATTCCAGCTAGCGGGAAGATTATTGTAGTATTATATTTTCTTGTGCCTTTAATGAGAGGCTAAATCTTGAAAACAAATCCCTTATTAGGTTAGGTGTGGGAGGTTAGTTTTAAATGGAGCCTTATTAGTGTAATGTGGCTCATGAGCATCTGGAATTTAGGAATGAAATTTGTCTTAAAATAAAGCTGTTGCACAAATATAAAATTCCCTACATAGCTTCACTTATTTTTATGGTAGAAAATGCTATAACCTACCTCAGCCATTTCTAGCAAAGTCAGCACAATCCCAGTTCAACAACAGCAACCTCTGCCATATACCAAAGTATATAGGGTAGCTGCTTGTGTGATTAGTGTCTTGGTGTGGATGGTACATAATGGTAACACACACCTTATGCCTCATAGTAAAACATTCATTATCACTACTGTAGTTTTATATATTGATGATGTGTCTTTGCCTTTATTTGTGTATAGTATATTTATTACATACAGATAACATTTGAAAGCACTCTTGCCACTTAATATTGGCATTGCATTTGCATTGTAGGGGGTGCCATGGTAAGCCACGAAAGAACAGCAAAGTTTACCAAGTCAGTACGATGTACATGCAGGGTGAATGGTAGTGTAAAGTAGGAGGGACGGAGTATTGAATGTTTAAATAATAAGGACTTTATGTAGTCGTACTTTAATTGCACTTTCTTTCATTTTAGCCACAGAATTTATTTTTATGCTAATTTTCTGGATGCTTCATACGATAATGTTTGATAACAAATGGGGAATACGTACGTAATTTTATTTGGTGTAGTGTAAGTTGTACCCTGCAATTTTTTCTATATCCCACTAAATATTGGGTCATTTTGTGTTGTATAACATCATCTCATATTCCAAGGTTCCACCATCTGAATCTCCAAGTAGCACTGCGGTAGAATCAGTTGATCCTTTGGGAAACACCGACCCTGCAACAGGAGAACCACCGTCCCCATCCGCAGTGCTGGAGGCTCTTGAACAACGACTAGCAAAATATGTGGAACAACGAGATAAGGCAAAGGTGAGTCACTGTTTTCCTGGTTTAGCATTATTAAGGCTGAATATTCATGTGAAATATTGTAACAGTATCATAGTGATTTAAGGGAGGTAAATTGCTCTTGCTTAAAAGTACTTCCTCATTCAAATGGTTGCAATATTGTATTTAGCAGGTTTATCCATCATACACTGTGAGCACCTCTTACGACCTCCAGTGCTGCATGTCAGTAAATCCTAAACCTAGAACTGGACAGAGGCCATTGTAATGTGGCTAGGCTAATTGAGATGCATAGTTAGAATAGTGAGGACTATATGAGGGAGAGTATTGGATGAAACATAATATGGAGGTTGCATGACCTCTCAAAGAAAATTAATTTTTAGAACAACTTTATAAATGTATGAAAGTGAGGAACTGATGTAAATATCTAAGAAGTATGGAAATAGAAGGACAGTGTAAGTAAAATATATTCTGATATAGGAATCTACTGAATTATGTGGAAAATGGTTCTGATTTGTGTGTGCGCGTGCATGCGTCCATCCATCCAGCTATCCATCTGTCTGTCCATCCCCCCAAAGAGAATGTGTACAAACTGTCCCAATAGAGGGATCTAGTGAAATATAGAGGTTCTGGAACAATGGTAGGAGTCATTCATAATTAAGATGCAGTAAATGACTGTAGTCGTAAGGAAAGTGCAGAAGTGAGTTAGAAGGAGCATTGAGAGAATATTTGGATGTGAAAACTGAATAAACAGGTACCTGTACAATATGCCGAACTTGCACATCAAGAAAACAGTATTTAATACAATACAAGTTGATAAGAATACAGTACTGTAAAGACATTACCTGATTTATGAAAGGGTTTCAATCCTGAAAAACCTTTTGTGCATTAGATTACAGTTTCCCATAAACTACCATTATAAGAATTGAGATATTCCTGAGTAAAGAAAAACATTTCCAGAAAACATCTTAAAATGCTGATTGACATATTTTTAATGACAACTTTTGGTGTACTGTACAGTGATTATTAGTCAATAATAAACCTAATAAGTACAGTACTGTATATGACTGTATGTGCAGTAAAGGACATTTAAACTGTGCCACAGGTTGTGGTTCATTTTGAGACTACGAGGTCCAACAACCAGGACAAATGGTTTTAATTTGGTAGTAATGCAGTAAGTTTACTACCCTGTATGTACATATAGTACAGGTATATACATTTTGAGAATTTATATTTTCATATACAGGGTAATTTGATTTTTGATGAGGTCTTATGCAAAGAAGAAATGTTAACTTATCACTTTAGCATTGTATTCTTTCTTTTGATGCCAGCTCAAAATCTAGGATACTTAATTCATCTTGCATCAGTGTCTTGCCACTGCATCACATAACAGTGTTGTGGAATACAATAATTAAAACATTGCTGTACATGTATTTTATTTTTAGCTTACAAGTTAACCCACTCTTAATCAATACTGTATTGTATGTTTATTTCAGTCTTTGTAAACTGATCAGGTCTGGTACAAGAAGCCTTGAGATATCTGTGTCAGCACCTCACCATCTTATAATGTATTGGGAAACAATTATAACTTTAGAGTTATGTAAATTGAAACATGAGACTTGATTTTGTAAACCAAATTTTCATAAATCAAGAACTGCATGTACAGTAATATAATAATTGCTGAAATGTCAAGTCTCTGTAGTATAGACATCAGTTTTTGTACATAGGTATTACTAAATGTTTCTTTGCATTTAAGTATCAATCTTATTTCATATTTTTCTGAATACAGTCTAGATTTTTAATGAAGTGAGTATGGTTTTTGGCAAGAAACCACCAATTTCAAGTTTCCCCAAAGATAAAATTTAAGTGGCATCAAATGTGGCCTATAAGAGGCCGTTTTATTAGTCCACACTGCTCTATAATGGTATCCAGTAATACTTCAGTTTACGCGGTTCTCGTTTACGCGTATCCACATTTACTGGTACCCCGCCAGAACCGGAATGCCCACTTTACGCGGTGCATCTACTCATATATGCGGGAAGCGGCGCGGGTAGGGTCGACAAAATTAGCCCAGTCATCAAAACATTACCAAGTTCTTCACCTCCACCCACCACAGCAGCCCAAGTCAGTGGTAGTGATAGTGAGGATATGGACTTATATGGACTTTGAGGGGTTTTGACAAAGAGGCCCTGCAGGCCTCTGTGGTGATAGTGATACAATTGATACAAGTGATACAGGTAAGGGCCAATAATCTGCCCCGCCACAGAACCAACCCCCCATCCCAGTGTGCCCAGCCATCTTTTCCACTAATGTAAGTACCTAATATTATTGATATTTCTCTTAATTATTAATTGTGTGTGCATACCATCATAAAATGAAGATGTTATTTTTACTACAACGTAGGTATTGTGTCTGAAAAAGTGGAGTTTGGGAGTCGGCCCAGTCTCTATTTCAATTAATCCCATATGCTCTGTTATTACATTTACGTGTTTCTCGTTTACGCCGCGCGTTCAATTGACCGCAGAACGAGGTATTACTGTACCTCTGTTTACCATGTGGATGGGTCCAGATAAAAAAATCATAATAAATTTTCCATTTATTACCATTAAAAATTGGGAGATATTCTTAAAAAAAAAAAGACAATAAAACTTTGTAATAAAACTTTGAATACTGTATTTCCATGTTTAAAAACTGAAAATGTAGAAGGAACATTAGTAATTGAATGAAAAAAGTCTACCATTGGCTGTTGTCTTTTCACCAGTCTTATCACCTCCAACTTAACTTAAAAATTTTTGGCTTTGTGGGGTCTCTTATTACTAAGGATATTGCTGATGCTCATTTTACCTGCTGGTTTTTTTTCTGTCATCTTTGAAAGGCTAAATTGCTTGAAAAGCAAAATACAAATTTTGAGAGGTCTGTCAAAGCCTGGACCTGGATTTGAAAGATTCTACTGCCTTGCTAACAAAGTTATGATATGCTGCAGTCAGTCAAACTCCTTGGAACATATGTAATGTTTATTTTCTTTAAATATAAAGGGTAATAGATGTTTTCCACCTTCCAAAAAATAGATCTAAATTAAGTGATATCATAACACTGTACTGTATACAGTAACTAGAAATAGGTGTGCAAATTATTTAATATCATATAATTGATAAATAATATATTTATCATAAATGGAGGTATACCTGTACAGTATACCTTAAAGGCATTGTCTCATCCTAAAAGTAAAATAATAAAAGTAATTACAATGATTCCCAGCTTTTGAATCACCCTGTGTGTTGGATATATCTACACAAAATAGTATTACCTTTCTATAATGGGTTTGATTTGTAACTTTTTTATTGCTTACCAGAAAGAAGAGAATGCTCGTAAAGAGAGGATGAACCAACGTATTATGAAGCAGTATGAAGACGCTATCAAGAAACACAAAGTTGGAAAACCTGTAGACTTTGATGAACTTCCCACACCTCCTGGTAAAATAGCTCTGGTTTTATAATTCTTGTTGGTTTTCTGTACAGAAGGGTTGGGATATATCGCGAGATAAGGTCCAACGATGATCGCTATATACTAAATCGCGATATATAGTTACATGTAATCAATGTGGAAAATAGGGTTACGTCCTGGAGGCCCAAAAAAGTGACTAAACTTGACTTAACGAGTTCACTTTCTTACTAACTAAAGCACCAATGAACACTAGACTCGGGAACAACAGGCTATTTCAATATCAATATCGAGGAACACCAGACTCAGGAACATTAGACTCGGCAGATGACGCACCATCCTGGGAACACCAGACTCGGTAGTAGACGCCACACTGCCACCCTCTCTTGACAATCCCACACCTACATAAACGAACACCAAAAATATTAGTTACAGTATTAAATCTTTCCCATTAAAGCTTTCCATTATCTTCACTTCACTTTTCACGTCACCCATTTACACTTCCTTTAGATATTGAAATCTGCACCAGACTCGCAGCTGATGCACCATCCCGAGAACAACAGGCGACACTGCCACCCTCATTTAACAATCATAAATGAATAAACGAAAAATATTAGTTACAGCATTAAATAATTGTTATTAATCTTTCCATTATCCTCACTTCACTTTACACGTCACTAGCAACCCATTTACACTCACCTTAGAAGTTGTAATCTGCAGCAGAGTCAGCTGCTTTCTCGTCACACACTCGGAAAAACTGAGTGGGCGAGCATGAGTGAATAACCCACGGTGGCGCCTCTTGTGAGCAAATAACGTGTTGTTTGCCATGGCGGTACATTTGAAGTATTTCATGCTCGATTTCGCCGAATTGAAAAAAATTGCACTATATATCAGAAAATGTCGATAATTTTGGTAGCCGTGATATAAAAAAAACGTCGTTATACTGTATAGTCGTGATATATCCTGACCCTACTGCACAAGTATTCAAGACCGTATCCAGGGACTTTTTAAGGCCATGTGTAATGAATGTTAGGACATATTCTAGGGTTAGAATTATGAACAGTATTTCATCCCATTGGCTTATGATTCAATCACTCAAACTTTTTTCTAATTATTTTTCTAATGATCATGTTACATGTACACACGGTAAAAAAATGTATCTGTTCAGCTGGGTCCAATGACTTTCAGAATGAGCAATATGACTCGTTTTGTCTCAATAGGATTGTCAAAGTTCCTCGTCCGTGTTGACATATCTTTTCACAAAGTTTTTTACTGTTTGTACAGTTAAAGACAAAAGTATGGTTCTGGAATTTGGTGTAATCATTTAGTGAACAGTGAACATTTCAGTGCACAGTTCCTTAAATCATATGAACATTTCGTCTGAGAATCCTGAAATAAGTTGCCAGTTCCTTCTTTATTTAGATTCTATACAAAGCTTCCCTCTCTAACATGCTTGCAGTCCAATGAAACTTTGCCAGTTCCCATGAGTCCTCTGTCTATTAAGTTCATTGTTCTTAAATTAAAGATATGCTACTCATGTCATGCTGTGTATTTCATAACATGTCTTGTTAGCAGTATGATTCAACATATTATGATGTGGTCGCTAACTCTCAGATATGAGGACAGTACTATGATTGATTGATTGTTATGGTAATAGAAAAGCTAACAATATATCAAGGGTAACTAATTAAACATCACTTGACGTGACAAAATATTAATCGTTCATTCAAATACTGGTTCAAATAGTGACCCGGTTCACATGACATTCTAATTTTAAACTTCATTAAGCTTACTGTATTGTAGTTGGATCATGGATGGAAATAATTATCAAATACGGTAACACACAAATATTGGATCACTAAAGCTAAGGATAGATCATTAATTTATTGCATTATAGTACATGATGCTGCACAAGTACCGGTTAATTGATGTGGGCCCCATTTGCTGCATTGATTTGTTGGAGCCTTCTACAGTAGGCATTGACTTGACAAACGTGTTTGGTAAGCTGAGGGTGTAGGCAAGGTTTTCCCCACAACTCTCTCACGTTGTTGAATAAGTCCCTCTGATTCCGTCTTTCACATTCATTCCAATGTTTACTCATAGGGGTAGGCAGAAGCAGCGTAGCTGTGTTACTGAGCGTCAAAGCTAAGCATCTAACGTTCCGGAGACTACAATGCAGTGGACAAAAACTTGTATAATTTTGCTTTTTATTTTTTCATTATTGCTATTAATATGCTTTCATTATTGATTATATGCCTACAATTTAAGTTTGGATGTTACAATTAAAGCTGCTTTTAGGAGTAAATTTATAAAAATGTATAAATAGCAGGAATTCGGTTTAAGAATAGGTAACACTGTTCATAGTCTCAATTGTTGTGGTGGTGATCAGGATGAAGACTCACTGGTGAGAATCTGGTGTCTTGCTACAATATATGTCTAGGGTTATCTCTAGTATTTCTCAAAAGCTAGGGTTTGGTTATACAGGAGGTATGTGAAAAAATTATTCATGAGATAGGAAAATGGGTCTGGTGCAGTTCAGTAAATAAGTTGTGAAATGTAACTCTAATTTTTACAGTCATATACAGTACAGTTTTAGCGAATGCAAACTTTCAAGTTAAGAATTTCAGAAAATAACCAAATTATAGCAAATTACAAATTACGGATCTTTTAGTGAAGGTACAGTTTGTTTGTTTTTTTCAGTAAATTTATAAGATATACATCTAAATAGAAATTTAGTGGTACAGTACATTATACAATTTAAAACTAATATCCCTCCAAAATTACTGGAATATGGCATTCACCCTGATGAAGGCTGAATGATAAATGTCCTCTACACTCCTGGACTCCCTCCATATGGTGTTGACAAGTATATATTTTCTTTGCAACTTTTAAATAAAAGAGAATGCAGTTATTTCATATTTATGACAAGTACCGGGTAACCTTTTCTAAACTGCTTTCCTTACTATACAGTAGGTGACAAATTCAATTTAAGAAACTTAACTTGTTTTTATGATTGATCATAACTAGCAGCCGTGTTCCCTCTGGTAATGGTTTGGCTGCCTCTTCCATTTTGCTGCTAATTTTTATTTTTCATTTTATTTTATTTTTTTATGTAGAAAGAGTTTTCTTTTTGTAACAAAGAATGCCTAATGTGGGATTTCACCAAGCCAGTCACTAGGTTATGTAGGTGGGCCTCTCTACCTGTTAAAAATGCTAAACTAGACAAGCTAACCGTGTTGAGTTGTATAATTGCCATAGTGTTTTGAAAAAGCTTTGGATATAATAATACAACTCTGAATTATAAACAGGTACTGATTACTATAGTTATTATAAACCTATAAACCCTACATGCACATAGACTGTCTACATGACAGGCATTGTGAGGATCTACATAGACTGTCTACATGACAGGCACAGGAGGATCTACATAGACTGCTCACATGTGGCATTGTGAGGATCTACATAGACTGCCCAAGCATGACAGGCATTGTGAGGATTCACATAGACTGTCTACATGAGGCATTGTAGACTGCAGACTGCTCCACATGACAGGCATTGTGAGGATTCACATAGACTGTCTACATGACAGGCATTGTGAGGATCTACAGATCACTCTACATGACAGGCATGTGGGAGATCTACATAATTGCTCCACATGACAGGCATTGTGGAGGATTCACATAGACTGTCTACATGACAGGCATTGTGAGATTCACATATAGACTGTTCACATGACAGGCATTGTGGGAGATCTACATACACCGTCTACATGACAGGCATTGTGAGGATCTACATAGACTGCTCAAATACAGCTGCAGGATTCCATATAGACTGTCTACATGACAGCATTGTGGGAGATCTACATAGACTGCCCATACGACAGGCATTGTGAGGATCTACATAGGTGACTGTCTACACGTGACAGGCATTGTGAGGACTACATAGACTGCTCACATGCTGACAGGCATTGCAGGGAGTGCAGGATCTGCATAGACTGGTTCACATGATAGGCATTGTGAGGACTACATGACTGCTCATATGACAGGCATTGCAGGACTGCTGACTGTCTAGCAAGTGACAGTACGAGGATTCACAGACTGTCAGCCATTGCGGCATTGTGAGGATTCCAGACCTTCAGTCTACATGACAGTACTGTGAGGATCTACATAGATCGGGTTCACATGATAGCATTGTGAGGATCTATATAGACTGTCTACATGACAGGCATTGTGAGGATCTATAGACTGTCTACATGACAGGCATTGTGAGGATTCTACATAGACTGTCTTTCACATGCGACAGGCATTGTGAGGATCTACATACATCGGGGTCTACATGGACAGGTGGCCAGGAGTGATTCATAGACTGTCTACATGATAAGCATTGTGAGGATCTACATAGACTGCTCCACATGACAGTAACAGGAGACCTTACATAGACTGTCTACATGATAGGCATTGTGAGGATCTGACTGCTCCACATGACAGGCATTGTGAGGATCTACATAGACTGTCTACATGATAGGCATTGTGAGGATCTACATAGACTGTCTACATGATAGGCATTGTGAGGATCTACATAGACTGTCTACATGACAGGCATTGTGAGGATCTACATAGACTGTCTACATGATAGGCATTGTGAGGATCTACATAGACTGTCTACATGACAGGCATTGTGAGGATCTACATAGACTGTCTACATGATAGGCATTGTGAGGATCTACATAGACTGTCTACATGACAGGCATTGTGAGGATCTACATAGACTGTCTACATGACAGGCATTGTGAGGATCTACATAGACGGTCTACATGACGGGCATTGTGAGGATCTCATAGACTGTCTACATGACAGGCATTGTGAGGATCATACATATTGTGAGGATCTACATAGACTGTCTACATGATAGGCATTGTGAGGATCTACATAGACTGTCTACATGATAGGCATTGTGAGGATCTACATAGACTGTCTGCATGACAGGCATTGTGAGGATCTACATAGACTGTCTGCATGACAGGCATTGTGAAGATCTACATAGACTGTCTGCATGACAGGCATTGTGAGGATCTACATAGACTGTCTGCATGACAGGCATTGTGAGGATCTACATAGACTGTCTACATGACAGGCATTGTGAGGATCTACATAGACTGTCTACATGACAGGCATTGTGAGGATCTACATAGACTGTCTACATGACAGGCATTGTGAGGATCTACATAGACTGTCTACATGATAGGCATTGTGAGGATCTACATAGACTGTCTACATGATAGGCATTGTGAGGATCTACATAGACTGTCTACATGACAGGCATTGTGAGGATCTACATAGACTGTCTACATGATAGGCATTGTGAGGATCTACATAGACTGTCTACATGATAGGCATTGTGAGGATCTACATAGACTGTCTACATGATAGGCATTGTGAGGATCTACATAGACTGTCTACATGACAGGCATTGTGAGGATCTACATAGACTGTCTACATGACAGGCATTGTGAGGATCTACATTGTGAGGATCTACATAGACTGTCTATGACAGGCATTGTGAGGATCTACATAGACTGTCTGCATGACAGGCATTGTGAGGATCTACATAGACTGTCTACATGATAGGCATTGTGAGGATCTACATAGACTGTCTACATGATAGGCATTGTGAGGATCTACATAGACTGTCTGCATGACAGGCATTGTGAGGATCTACATAGACTGTCTGCATGACAGGCATTGTGAAGATCTACATAGACTGTCTGCATGACAGGCATTGTGAGGATCTACATAGACTGTCTGCATGACAGGCATTGTGAGGATCTACATAGACTGTCTGCATGACAGGCATTGTGAAGATCTACATAGACTGTCTACATGACAGGCATTGTGAGGATCTACATAGACTGTCTACATGCATTGTGACTACATGACAGCAATTGTGAGACAGATTATCTACATAGACTGTCTGCATGACAGGCATTGTGAGGATCTACATAGACTGTCTACATGATAGGCATTGTGAGGATCTACATAGACTGTCTACATGACAGGCATTGTGAGGATCTACATAGACTGTCTACATGACAGGCATTGTGAGATCTACATAGACTGTCTGCATGACAGGCATTGTGAGGATCTACATAGACTGTCTACATGACAGGACATGACAGGCATTGTGAGGATCTACATAGACTGTCTACATGATAGGCATTGTGAGGATCTACATAGACTGTCTACATGATAGGCATTGTGAGGATCTACATAGACTGTCTGCATGACAGGCATTGTGAGGATCTACATAGACTGTCTGCATGACAGGCATTGTGAAGATCTACATAGACTGTCTGCATGACAGGCATTGTGAGGATCTACATAGACTGTCTGCATGACAGGCATTGTGAGGATCTACATAGACTGTCTGCATGACAGGCATTGTGAAGATCTACATAGACTGTCTACATGACAGGCATTGTGAGGATCTACATAGACTGTCTACATGACAGGCATTGTGAGGATCTACATAGACTGTCTACATGACAGGCATTGTGAGGATCTACATAGACTGTCTACATGACAGGCATTGTGAGGATCTACATAGACTGTCTACATGACAGGCATTGTGAGGATCTACATAGACTGTCTACATGACAGGCATTGTGAGGATCTACATAGACTGTCTACATGACAGGCATTGTGAGGATCTACATAGACTGTCTACATGACAGGCATTGTGAGGATCTACATAGACTGACAGGCATTGTGAGGATCTACATAGACTGTCTACATGACAGGCATTGTGAGGATCTACATAGACTGTCTACATGACAGGCATTGTGAGGATCTACATAGACTGTCTACATGACAGGCATTGTGAGGATCTACATAGACTGTCTACATGACAGGCATTGTGAGGATCTACATAGACTGTCTACATGACAGGCATTGTGAGGATCTACATAGACTGTCTACATGACAGGCATTGTGAGGATCTACATAGACTGTCTACATGACAGGCATTGTGAGGATCTACATAGACTGTCTACATGACAGGCATTGTGTGGATCTACATAGACTGTCTACATGACAGGCATTGTGTGGATCTACATAGACTGTCTACATGACAGGCATTGTGAGGATCTACATAGACTGTCTACATGACAGGCATTGTGAGGATCTACATAGACTGTCTGCTTGACAGGCATTGTGGGGTTCTACATAGACTGTCTACATGACAGGCATTGTGAGGATCTACATAGACTGTCTACATGACAGGCATTGTGAGGATCTACATAGACTGTCTACATGACAGGCATTGTGTGGATCTACATAGACTGTCTACATGACAGGCATTGTGAGGATCTACATAGACTGTCTACATGACAGGCATTGTGAGGATCTACATAGACTGTCTACATGACAGGCATTGTGAGGATCTACATAGACTGTCTACATGACAGGCATTGTGAGGATCTACATAGACTGTCTACATGACAGGCATTGTGAGGATCTACATAGACTGTCTACATGACAGGCATTGTGAGGATCTACATAGACTGTCTACATGACAGGCATTGTGAGGATCTACATAGACTGTCTACATGACAGGCATTGTGAGGATCTACATAGACTGTCTACATGACAGGCATTGTGAGGATCTACATAGACTGTCTACATGACAGGCATTGTGAGGATCTACATAGACTGTCTACATGACAGGCATTGTGAGGATCTACATAGACTGTCTACATGACAGGCATTGTGAGGATCTACATAGACTGTCTACATGACAGGCATTGTGAGGATCTACATAGACTGTCTACATGACAGGCATTGTGAGGATCTACATAGACTGTCTACATGACAGGCATTGTGAGGATCTACATAGACGGTCTACATGACAGGCATTGTGAGGATCTACATAGACTGTCTACATGACAGGCATTGTGAGGATCTACATAGACTGTCTGCATGATAGGTATTGTGAGGATCTACAGTACAGGGCTGTCTGCATGATAGGTATTGTGAAGATCTGCGTAGATCAGTAGGTGTGTTGGTGGTGAAGGATTAGTATTGTATTTGTAATTTTAAATAATAAATGAAAGATATGTCTTGTCATTTTTCCTGAGGCCATGTTTAAATTTTCTAGGATTTCTTCCAATCCCTGTTGGTGCAAGTAAACCACCTGCTGCTCCTGCTGCAGAAAGTATCCAAGGAGATAAAGCAGTTCCAAAGCAACCAAGGGCAGCAGCACCACAGGCACCTCCTGCTGCTCCTAAACCAGCTCCTACTACTAATGGTGAGTGTATGATTTTTTAAGGAACCATTTGTCAATGGGAATTATGATATTCTTCTTTTATGCCTTCAGAATGGCACTGAACTATTCCTTGTTTTAGCAAAATTACTTTTTGTTGTGGGTGATGTCCAGCTTATTAAGAGTATAAAAGCGTAATTTTTGGCAAACCATGAAATTGATTTGTGAAGGAAGATGAAATAGTAAATAACATTAATGCACAGGAATATTATAGGTAACATGTTCAACACTGTTAGATAATAATCTATGTTTTTCTACTCTTTTATCAACATTATACTGATGGCTTATGTTTTAACATTCTAGTGAGACAGGCTCCACAGTCACGAGTGGAAAAACAGCTTGCATTCCTTACTAAACGACAAACACAGTTTAAGCAAGCAGCTCTTGAAGCCAAGAAGAGAGGAGAGATAGAGCAAGCAAAGGAATACTTGAGAATGTGCAAAGGCTTTGACCAACTCATTGAGGCAACTCGAGGTGGACTTCCTGTGGATATGAACACTGTATGTATGATGAATGCACTCCTGAAAATTATTCATGTTTTCTTAGTTCTCTGAACCATATTATCCAGAAAAATAATGGGAATTACCGTTAAAGACCCTCAAAACTGGGTCTCGGAAAACCAAAATACTGAACATTTTCTTTCTGTGATTAGGATTAATTTTCTTTCCTTTCTAAATCAAGGTTTGCTTCCACACACTCACAAAAACTTGGTTGACCATCTATTTTACTTTTTAAATGACAAAATAAAGAAAATATTGTTACGTTTATACTGTAAATATAAAAGAATACATTACACTTGTCAAATAGGCCATGTGACACCAAGTGGTATTTGGCATAAATTAACTTGGTTATATGTTTTTATGCCTACAATTTTAAGTTTCATGTTAAATTTGACAGTTAAAGCTATTTTAGGGGTGAATCTAATGATTTGAACAGAGGTTTCTCAGTCAGTTACTGAGGTTTACTGTATATTTAGTAAATTTTCGGCATGGTGCTCCAAATTCTGGAAAAAATCCTTTATCTGGTAATTCCCAGGTCCTAAGCATGCCCCAGTATATTATTTCCAGGGGCGGATCAAGGAATATCAAAAGGGGTAGTCCAAGACGTTGTGGGTGGGGAAACATGGCGAGTTCAGCGAGCCCACCCAGCTTGGGTTTTTTGGGGGAGGGGGGCTGTATATACAGTGGTCCCTCGATTAACGAACGGTCCAAATAACGAAATTTTGGTTAACGAATTAGCTCCCAAAAGGATTTTCAGTTCGATTAACGAACAAAATCTCGATTAACGAAAGCCTTACGAGAAACACATTATGTTGTGCGCATCAGCTGATCGGCCAGTCCGCCAATACAGTAATCATTTCTATGTTTTCATTCGTTTTCAGTGGAGTAAATATCACGAAAGTTAGTCTCATGAATATTTCTGCATTTTTTATATTAAAATTATTGATCATTCTGAAATTTAGTTAACATATTGATAATATAGACAGTGCAGGGAACAGTTTTTGTGTGCCCATCAGCTGATTGTGTGCCCTGAATTAATGAACACAATTGTGTTCGTTAATCGAGGGACCACTGTATATATACAGCGGGCTTATTGGCCCATACTGGGCACTCCCGGTTACTTCCAACCCCTATCGCTCATCTATCCGTCCAACCTATATTTGAAGCTATGCAGTGTATTCTATTTAATGGTGATGTTTGGCAATTTGTTCCCTCATACACTATGTAATCATAAAAATTGGGATGTCTCTTTACACTTTCTGTTTTTTAGGGTGGTTGCTAAGTAAACAGGAGGTTGAATATTGTTGAGCTTCCTCTCCAAAGTGTAAATTCTCCAGTTGTGTGCACACAAGACACTTTGCTGACTAGTATGACATGGGAAGAAAAGCTTTAGAAGAAAATTTATTTGTTTGACATGCCTTATTCTTAAAAATAATTTTCTGGACTAAAGCTCAGTTATAAGATGATTATAATAATGTATAGACACAACTGATAAGATTTTATAATACTGTATCTTTGTTACACTGCACCTAGTTGTAGAAGTACCTTTACTGTAATTAACAACATTAATTATTTTTGTACCACAGGTACCTGTCCCACCACAAGAACAGATTCCTCATGGTGGCACAGACTTTGAGCTCGTGAGTGCCGAAGACTGTGTGATTGCGCCGCCCAACACCAGTGTTGATGTTACTATCATGTACGCAAAACTTGAAGAGGATCTTGTTGCTCAGATTAAGGTGAGGAAATTATCAGATTAATACTGAATAAAAATTTAGTTTTTTTTTTTTTTTAAGAATACAGTGGTCCCTCGGTTAACGAACACAATTCGTTCCAGAAGGTCGTTCGTTAACCAAAAATTTTGCTAACCGAAACCATTGTTTCAATGGGAATTGGGGTAATTGGTTCCAGCTCACCGAAAATTACATACAAACTAAAAATAAATGCAGTAAAGTACACTTACTTTGAGGTGTGCATGTAGAAGGCTCCTGGTTGATGATGATGGGAATTAGAAGTGGGGGTGGAGGAGAAGGGAGAAGAGAAGGCAGTGGGGTGGAAGAGAAATCACCCCATGCTTCATGCCGCCATTTCACCCATAAAATTTTAAGTTCACTTGGTGTAATTCAAGATGATTTTCTTTAAATCAACACTGCACTGCACTATATATTGTCAATGTGTAAAATAAATTTCAGAATGACCAATAATTGTACTGTAAAAATAGTTTATGTTCAAGAGAGTCTCAAGCAAGATGCTTCCTCCACTGAGCAGAGGCACAAACTGACGCCATTCTGGGTGAGTCAAGTGGTTGTTTGGAGCACTACAAACTAGTTCCCTTTACTTCAATTATGTTAAATAATTGTTAAGATGACTAAAAAATTTAATATAAGACTTGGAAAATTATTGAATAGTACAACCTTCTTGATATTTACTCAAATGGTAACGAATTTAAGCCCTAAAACCGATTACTGTATTGGCGGACTAACACTACAGCTGGTGAGCAGGCGAAAGCAGGCGAAAACATGTTTACACGATTTCGTACAAATTTCGTTAACCAAATTTTTTTCGTCAACCGAATTGAAGATTCTTGTGGAAGGTAATTCGTTAACCGAAATTTCGTTAACCGAGGGATCACTGTACATTTATGCAAACCAAGGATTATGATGGCATGCCAAACAAAACAAAAAACTATTTTTTGAGAGAGAACACTGGCTGAGAATTATAATTATATAAGCCCTGTATAGTGAGTGCTCAAAATAATTTGAAGGGACAGGCTGTTGAGATGGAAGAATTGAGGCTAATGAATTTTAGACATGTTTGAATGAATGTTGGTTATAATTGAGATAAATATAACAAACAGTGTTTTAGGAGAAGAGCAATACAGTAAGTATGGGTTCAGATGTTTGTACAGTACCAAATATTTACATTAGTGGAATGTTTCTGTAGAAGAAATATTTGTTTGAGATTTTTTTATTCATAAAAGCATTTGTTTGATTATGTACTTGTAGGTAGAAAAATTGTGTGAGAAGTACACATGATTGTATAGATATGTAAATACCAAGATATGTGAACACGCCTGACGCCAAGACTCTGTTACCATTCATTGTACCATTTATTCACATGTCTGTATTACTACATATTATTATAGCATGTTTGATATCTATGCTTATGTCTAATGCCTATGTTCACTTACTATGTCCCGATATACTATGTCTGTACCGCGCTAGTCGAGTAATTAGAAGACCTCATTTATTGTCCTAGTAATGTCTAGCAACTCCCCTTGCCTAGCCAGCTAACTTCCCTCAGATCGGTCTCGGCCTACCTACGGTCCGGGGTCCCTTGTGCTCGCTTCTGTATCGGTCGGCTGTCCCGCCAAGTCTTGTACCACTTATTGAATATATCTACTGTTCGTGCTCTGGAGTTTGAAGAACCTTGTCTAGGATTTCATCACACCACAATGATGATACATGATGATAGGTTAGTTTAGTATTGAAAGTACAGTATTGTTAGTTATGCATAAAGGTACAGTATAGTCTGCATTTACGCGGGTTTTGTTTACGTGTTTGGTCATTTACGCGGTGCCTTGCCAGAATGTAAATGCTTTAATTACACGGTAAATTTGGTCATTTACACGGAGAGTGGCTGGAGGTCCAGACGCTCCATGCCATTTTTCATTCAAGCGGTCCATTCTCAACCATATGCGGGAAGTGGCGCAGTGAGGGGTGCGCATTAGGTCGCTGTTGCGTTATCGCTGACGTCATATGACGTATCGGAATGTGATTGGGCCATGCATCCTTACCACCCACGCATTCCCTCAGCCGCTAGCTGTGATTGGTCTAATGTTATATGACGTGGCCTGGCACGGGAGGGAGCGTCTGACCTAGCCGCGTCAGTCTCATTGTTCTCAGGCGCCGCGTATACTGTTCTCTATTGTGCTCGCTAATCTGTTCAACGGTGGCATCCGCTGGTCCCCCACCACCCCAGAAAAACCTTGATTTACCTGGACCCAGCCGCCCCAAGCCCAAGATGATACAACGTGCCCTAAGTTACAAAGTTAAGTTCAAGATCGTGCAAGATTTAGAGAAAGGAACGAGACAAGTTGATTTGGCGCGCCAGCATGGCGTAAACGAATCTACAATCCGGACGATCAAGAAGGATGCCGCCAAGATTAAAGAACACATGAGCATCACAAAGTCTGCAGGTGCTTCAATGGTGAAGTACTGTCAGAATAAGGTGCTGCTCAAGACTGAGAACTTGCTGGTGAGCTACTTAATTCGTCAGGCAAGACGTAACATGGCGGTCGAAACGAGGGTAGTGCAGGACTACGCACGTGAACTGTACGCATCAGTGGCGCGCAAGATGGAAATTGCAGAGCCCAAATCCTTCACTGCTTCCTCTGGGTGGCTGCAAGGGTTTAAGAAAAGGAACAAGATAACCAACATTAACATTGTTGGTGAAGGAGCGAGTGCTGACCGTGCTGCCGCCATGGATTTTCCTCCATTCTCACGAGAAGTTATGGAGGAAGGACAGTACACCGACGACCAGGTGTTCAACATGGATGAATCCGGTCTGTTTTGGAAAAAATTACCTTCCAAGACCTTCGTTGTCCAGTCTGACAGCAAGTGTCGGGGCCGGAAATTGCAGAAGGAGCGCATCACTGTCCTGTTTACCACCAATGCCTCCGGTACCTGTAAGCTCAAGCTATCGGTGATCCACACAGCCTGCAAGCCGCACGCCTACAAGAACATGGACATGACTAAGCTAATTGTCCACTGGCTAACCTCACGTAAGGCATGGATGTTCACTGGTCTGTCCCTCTCCTGATTTAATGACTGTTTCTTTCTTGACGTCAAGAAATTCTGTGCGCAAAATAATGTGCCATTCAACATTTTGTTGCTGCTTGACAACTCACCAGGACACTCGCCCCTACTGTTGGATCGTCACCCCAATGTAAAAGTGGTCGTCCTTCCTCCCAACATTACATCGTTAATCCTGCCCATGGACAAGGAGTTGATATGCAACGTTAAGGCTGCATTCTCTGCAAAGACGTTTAAGCTCCTGATCAACTGTACCAACACCGAGGATGAGTTGTGTTACCTTCTGAGTGGCACATAGCGAGAGCGACGACAACTAGGATGCAGAACAAGAGTTGGCGGAGCATGAAGTGCGAGTTAAACAGTTTTGGAAAATGTTTAACGTAAAGAAAGCTGTTGATTTCTTGGTGGAGGCATGGGGGCAGCTGTCTGTGGCAACGATTCGTCACGCGTGGCGGCATGTGTTGCAGGGTATCCCAGGTGGGAGGCAGAGTCAACCTATGGCTGGTGAGGTTCAGTCTGTTGCAGTGGTAGTGGACCTTGCAAGAGAAGCTGCACAGAGTGTTACAGCTGCAGGCTTTTCCGAGACCACCAACGACAACATCATGGAAGTAATCAGGGATCCTGAGGTGACTGCCAACGAGATGTTAGAAGACGATGACGTCAGTGAGGAGGCAGGTGGTGCGGCAGCAAGAGAACAGAAGTTAACTCATGGTGATGTAAAGGATGCCATCGAGTTTGCCGAGAAACTAAAGCTCAACCCTTTCAAAAGACCATGTCAATCACCGGTATGAAGTCTTCAATAACCTTCTAGATCAAATTATGGAGCAGTACATACAGATGTATCACGACCACATCAACACTAGCCGTCAGCGTAGCATCACAGACTTCTTCGCCCGCAACCCACCACAGTCAGCCCAAGCCAGTGATAGTGACAGTGATGGTGACTTTGAGGGGTTTGTCAGGGAGGCCCTGACAACTATGGTGGATAGTGATGGTGATTCACCTGAGGGCCAGTAATCTGCCCTCTGCCTCGGAACCAGCCCCCATCCTCGTATGCCGACCCATCTCTTCTACTAACATAAGTGTTAAACCTTGATTTTTCTTTTACCTGGTACAGTATATTATTCTCTTATTGATATTTCTCTTCTATATTATTTGTGTGTGCATGCCATCATAAAATTAAGATACTATTTTTACTACAACGTACGTATTGTGTCGCAAAAAGTGGAGTTTGGGGGTCGGCCCAGTCTCTATTTCAATTAATCCCATATGTTCTGTTATTTCATTTACACGTTTCTCGTTTTATGCGGTACTCCACGGGTTCAATTGACCGCGTAAATGCAGACTATACTGTATGTTAAGATGGTTTGGGTGTGTGGAGAAAATAGAAGAGACCAATTTGGTCAATAGGTGTTGAAGTCTAAATGTGAAATGGAGGAAGCCAGGGGCAGGCCAAGAATAACATAGGAAGAGGTTTTATGAAATGATATTAGAGTTATGAACATGACAAGAGAGATTGTGCAGCATGGAGAGCAGCATAATGTTGATGATGAGTTCTTTATTGTAGTTCTGCTACATCAAGCTAACCATGAAAACAGGCTGTGCAGATTATGTGGAACATTTACTTGTCTCGGACAAGTCCTTGACTTGTGAAATTTACTTTACTGGATATTTTTCTTACTTGCCTTGACCAATTTTTTAGGAAATCTGCTGCCCGATCTTTTTCTGGGAAAAGTTAAATAAATATATAAAACATTCAACCAGATTGTGTGTATGAACTCATGGGTCACTAGTGTCTATCACTCTATCTAAACACCTAAATACCTGGTCAATTTTCCTTGCTTCTTTTTCATGTTGATGTTTTCACTTCAAGTGGTAGCATAACTCTGCTTATGCAGCAAACAATGAGAGCTTTTACACAGACTTTCAGGTGAGATCATTAGACCAATAGAAATAGGAGGGATCAACTCAGCTGTGATGTCACAATTTGGTATCAGGTGAAGAATAGACACAAAGGCCCCTTCCCCACTGGTTAATGGACGTCACTGGGGAGGTGGAGTCATGCATCACATGACAAATTCTCATCTGGATACCGGGTATCTTTCTCTTAAAATATTAACATGTCCACTGAGCACATGGATTTTAAAAATTACTTGACCAGGCTGCCAGGCATTGATAATCTTCACAGCCTACATGAAAAATTTTCTTTAAACCTTTATAACTTTCACCATTAAGTCAGGAAAGGGAGTTCAAGGATTAACAATCTATTTGTAGAATGGTAATTTTTTATTGCTTTGACAGATGTGTGCTCAAACTCGTGAACACTTTAAGGCCACCGGAGATGTAACAAGTTCAAATCGGTTTGAACAGCTTATACTGCATACTAAAAAGGACTTGGATGCGGTGCGAGCAGCCTTTAAAAGGGGGTGTACGCCACCACGTTTTCACTATGAAAATAGATCTTTTAATATTATTCAGTAAGTTACTGGTCATTTTCTTATTTAATTTTTTTGCTATCTTATGGATAGTATGGAGATGCATTATCATTTAATTTTCAATGAAGGTGATATTCTCCATTTTCAATAATTTAGATCTGTACTCTAATCACTGTATGAGTTCTATATGTATTGGGCATTGGTGTTGATGACTTACTTGTCAGTATTCATGTTAGTTCAAAAGCTTATCAAGTTATCCAAAATGTTTTATTTATTTGTCTGTGAATTTTCTACTGATGATACAAAACATATCCCATTAAGTATTCTTTTAGTAGAATTATTAATGATTATTGTGGTAAAAGAAGACAAGAGTCGACCTTTTTCTAGGCTTTATTGTTCACATAACTGACCAAGGGCAGTATGGCATCTGGAAGAAAACAAAAGAATATTCTAGTAAGTGAAGGGAACAATGAAAATTACTAATATAATATAACCTCAAACAAAGCAAAACCCAATGATAAGAAACATAACATATGTACATACACACATAACAAGATAGAAGACACGGGTTCAAGTGTACAAGTGTAGCATAACTTTATTACAATTATTATCAGTACAGGCAGTCCCCACCTTATGACAGGGATACTTTCGTGGACCCTGATTATAAGTCAATTTGTTGGTGAGTCAGAACTGTGTTAATTCCATAGTTTAGGTTACATTAAACACAACCCTGCCTATACAAAACAATAATATCCCATATATTAACAAATAATGTAAATACAGTAGACTTGCAACTTACTCGTATTTTTATTATGCGGTTTCAACCATACGCGGATTACCCCGGGGTGTTAGGTTACAATTTCCAATTTCAAACTCAAAATTTTCAAAATGGGTCATAAGCGCGCCAAACGCTAGCCCGCCAAAGCTCCACCCCCGCCATCCCACCTCTCTGTCTTAAGTTGCCACGTGGGTATTGTCGGAGTATCACCTGCCTCTCGTGTGTCAATTTAGTGCAATTAAACCTCTCATACTCGTTCATAATGCCCAAACACAGGCCAACCTCTGCCTCTGGTTCTCCAGCAAAGAAACAACGTTCTGTGATGACCTTCGAAGAAAAAGTGGCTGTTTTAGACTTAATAAACGGCAGGATGTCAGTCGCTGCTGTGGCACGGAGGTACGGCGCAACGAATCAAGTGTGTGGTCCATTAAGATTCGGGAGAAGGAAATTCATGAAACCATGTCTAAAAGTGCCTCATTTACTGCTAAGGTGACTAGCCAGGCTAGAGATGTAACTCCAGTAAAGGTGGAGAAGGCATTAAACATCTGGGTAGAAGATATGAACCTGAAACGTGTCCCCATCAATGGCAACATGCTCAGGGAGAAGTCACTGAGTCTTTATGACCAGTTTAAATCTGAGGTTCCTCAGGGTGAAGCATCCACCAGCTCTGAGAAGAATTTCAAAGCCAGTGCAGGTTGGCGCAACAGTTTCAGAAAGCATTTCAACCTGAAAAATACAGCTACTCCCCAACTTACGACGGGGTTAGGGACCCAAATCCAGGTCGTAAGTCGAATTGGTCGTAAATCGAAAATGCAAAAAATGATACATATAAAATCTAAAATGAAATACAGTACAGTAAAAGTAATCAATAATGAAGAATGGATACAGTGTTACTATGCACTTACCTTTAATGTAGTCAGCTGAATGCACACAGGGCCCCCATAATTTTCTAATTATACATGGAGATTACATTAACTGACCACCTGGACATACAACCGCCTCGGTCGTACCAAAATTTTTTCTAATTACAGTTGTACCCCGCTTAACGAGGTTTCACTTAACGCGATTTCTCATATACGCGGTGCCTCGCCAGAACCGAACTTTCACTTAACGCGGTTCATCTACTCATATACGCGGGAAGCGGCGCGGGCACGAGGTGCACAAGGTCGCCCAGTCATCAAAACATTACCGAGTTCTTCACCCGCCACCCACCACAGCCGGCCCAAGTCAGTGATAGTGATAATTATAGTGAGGATATGGACTTATATGGACTTTGAGGGGTTTGACAAAGAGGCCCTGCAAGCCTCTGTGGTGGATAGTGATACAATTGATACAAGTGATACAGGTGAGGGCCAATAATCTGCCCTCTGCCTCGGAACCAACCCCCCATCCCCGTGTGCCCAGCCATCTTTTCTACTAATGTAAGTGTTAAAAAACCTAATATTGTAGGTTATGTATATAAGCTACTGTGCCGAGTAGCATTTATATATATCATCACGTGGCAACACTGCACGTTATGTGGCAACATTGCTCCGAGGCTGCCATATGGCAAGGCAGCCTCAGTCTGACTGTGTGAGCCGTGCATGGCACACGCGAGTCACCACTTGTATTTCTCTCATCCATAATAAACGGACTCAGTGTTACACGGTGTTTCCCTACCCATCACTGCAGTCCTCAGGGAACACTTGTAACCACCAAATATTATTGATATTTCTCTTAATTATTAATTGTGTGTGCATACCATCATAAAGTTAAGATAATATTTTACTACAACATAGTTGTGTGTCGTCAAAAAGTGGAGTTTGGGGGTCGGGCCAGTCTCTATTGGAATTAATCCCATATGTTCTGTTGTTCACTTAACGCGGTACCCTGTGGGTTCAATTGACCGCGTTAAGCGGGGTACAACTGTACGTATTTTCGAGTCCCGACGTTAGTGATTGCGCTGTGTACTGACAAAATTTTTATTTGTAATTCCCTTTAAAATGGCTGGCAAGCTTAAAAGTGAGAGTTTTGTGGTGCTGAGAAGAAAAAGAGACACCCATTTTAGATTTTCTATGTATTATTTAAGCATTTTCGACTTACAACCAATTCGACTTACGTCCTGGATTTGGGTCCCTAACCCCGTCGTAAGTCGGGGAGCAGCTGTGTGTGTGTGTATATTGTTTTAAGGACGATTTATGGGATTTTTTAGGAGTGTTTCTGACTTTACACATTTTTTGGCTTTACGCGAGGTTCCAGGAACGTAACCCTCGCGTAAGTTGCGAATCTACTGTACTGTAAATAAAGTGATGTTAAACAATATATGAGAGTCATTCAGTAAGTAACAAGACAAGTCAATATTACTTCAGAAGTAATGATTTATTTTTAATAATCACATACTTATTTTTCCAGTCTCCCTCTACAGCTATGCACCTGTCCCATCTTTTACGAGTTTTCTTATTCCTGTGGTAAAATCTTCTATCGGTGGCTCCGTAACCAATTTTGGATTTCTTTCTTCACCTCTTCATTATTTGAAAAATGTTTTCCACGTAAAGCTTTTTTGTGAATGAACCAAACATGTGGTAGACTGAGGGTGCGAGATTTGTACTGTATGCAGGGTGCATTTGTTTTCCAGAATTTTCTGCTCAATGTTTTGGTGTCATATGGGTGTTGAAACTTTGACAGGTTGTCCAGCATGATCTTCGTCCACATTGCTTGTTCAACATTTTATGAATTGTTCAACCCTTTTGTTAATATTTAGTCGACCGATGCAATTCCTTCCGAAGTAAAGTGACATTCTGCGAGGAATTTCACTTTGTTTTACCACTTTCTAATTTAAAAAACGAATAACAGATCGTTGCTCTTCCAAAGTACAAAATTCAAGCGCATCGCTCGTTGTTAATGCAACACTTACTTGAAACTAATCGAATGAACCGACTAAACAAACAGTTGAAGATGTAGCTTATGCATGTCTAAACATGTCATAACATGTTCAATGCGCTTTCCCCTCTACATCCAAAAGTCTCGTTATGTATTGAATGACGCTCGTAGAATAATGAATCTAATGTAAAGAATGTGATTTTAAATTCAAATTTTTGCAATGAATGTACAGTATTGGGATCCCATTCTTAAGTGTGGGTATTTGTAATTCAAACTGTCGTAACTCGGGGGCTGCCTGTATACTATATCACCTTAGCTATCTTGTATGGTGTATTTATACACCTCGGTCATATCGCCCCTCACTCTGTGTCTCTTGAGGTAGTGCAGATCAAGATGCTTTAATCTGTCTCTATACTCAAGGTTCCTAATGCCCGGGATTAGTTTTGTCATCCTCCTATGAATGCTTTCTAGGGATTCTATATCCATTCTGTAGTACAGTGACCAGGACTGAAGCATGTAATCCAAGTACAATATATTGCATAACCAAACTATCCTTTATCATCGGTTGTATCCCACCTCCATGCTTAATATTTAATTTCTTTTCAAATTATGTTTTCCCTACAATGAATCTTCTTTCAGCATATACGTTTATCAATTTCTTTCCATTTTATTTAATCGGGCATTTTATATTTCCCCATAATCTCCTCCACATCCCTTTCACTTACTCTTACCGATTTTCCCAAAACCTTTGTCTTTTCTCCACTCTCTTCTTCTCATTCTTTTGTTTTATATGTACTCAGTATAACCTACTTTTCTCTCCCTAACTTTAATCTGATACACATCACAGCACTAACCTCCCTTATAGTGTTACTCAATTCCACATTTCATTGCAGCTTATGCTTTTATTCTCTTGGACACTCCTAACTTGACTCTTCTTCTGTCTGCTGCTCATTTTTTCTTCATGCCCTTCAGTTTTGTTGCACATAAACAAGGGAATTTTAACTTCTCTCATTGTATTTTAAAATGCTCTTTCCTTATCACTGCTTCCACACACATTCAAACATCCTCCTTTTTTTAGTAACTGTACAAGAAGGTGGGGTTACTACTGTGCTGCTGGACTGATGTGTGGGTGTTTGTGTCCATCTCCAAGTAGATACAGTGGGTTATCACTTATGCAATTAGTTGAAATGTGACTACAGTATAGAATAGCTTATACGGAAAGCCATGGGTAGCAGTATAGCATTAATTTAGTGATCCTTTGCTTATTTAGTTTAATTTGACAAAAAATGGGCTCTGGGTCACTCAAATTACCAAAAAAAAACCTGGTGCTTGAGATTTTTTTTTTGGTGGGGGGAAGGGGGGCACAGGTCACTGACCCACATCAGGGCCTTGGGGACGAAAATGTAATAATACTAATAATAATTCATATTAAATAAAATTTATAATAAAAATACAAAATTAAAAATAAAATAATATTGATAACAATAATAATAATGATAAAGAACCATAAAGAAATGAAAAAATCACTAGTGAGAAACAATATACTGTATATATGTTGTGTTGTCAAAGTAAGAGAAACAATTGAGACCCTGCAATTGTGTGTAAATGAGGCAGAAAGTCAGATCAGCAACCTGGGACTTAGTAAATTTTTGTGATGCCATATAGCAGCAGGGTCTACCATTAAACAACACATTATGCTCCCAATATCTTCCTAGGCAGTAGTACCTCCCTGTTTGGTAGCTGCCTACTACTGACAAGTGCTACTGGTGAATGCTGGCAAAATTGTTAGGTAGAGCTGGAATGATTAGCTGATACCGCTTTGTACTGTAAACAAAAGAACACAATAGCTCATCTGGGATTGAGTGTTGGATTATTTGGGGAAATTTTATTATTTTTCAATGATGTTTTATAAACCTGGCAACAAATGAACCTAAATAATTTGGGAATTATGGTGAAATTGCATGCTGTCGTTATAAAAGGATTACAGGCTGCCGAGCAGGAGGTGGTGAGTTGTCTTCCCTCCCTCCCTCCTTAGCCACCCTTCACCTACGCACTCAAACATAGTTTTGTATCTTAATATAATTCATATTTTATTCCTATAATTCATTCATCATAATTTAATTCATAATATACAGTATGCCTATACTAAGAATAATCAATTTTTTGGAACCATGTGGTTATTTCACATTCATTCCAAATTCAAATTATTTATTAATTTTTGAAAAAATAAAAATAAAAATCTGAAATAAGGAGGGTACAGTGTACTGTATATTACTTTTGTCTTTATTCAAGACATCTTCAGGTCATGAGACCCACTAATTTCCCACCCTGACAATGCATCAGGTCAGTAATATGAGACCACTAATCCCTCACTGAAAATGAGAGCAAAGTTTATATACAATGGGTGACCTGATATTGCATCAGGTCAGGTCAGTAACATGAGAGAATGAGGAAAAATTTGCTTTAATTACTCTATTTCTTTGTCTCTATTTTTGTTATATCTTTACATGATTTCTCATATCTTATCTCTTATTCTTGTTCTTATTTACTTAAACAATTTTGGAAGGTATGAGATGGAAGGTGGAGTAGAGAGTGGTAGAGGCAGGGAAGGTTGATATGGTAAACCCCCCCCCCCTCCACCCGCCCACAAGGGTTGCTTGTCTTTTCCCCCTTGTCTGCAGTTGAGTTTGAAGGCTTTGAATCCAATTAGCCTTCACCCCCTGCCTTGGACCCCCATCGTATCCCAAAGCTTCCCACACCTCCACTATTTGGTGGAGATGGGGGAGTATCACATAATTAACTTCCTGGGCTTTCTTAAAATATTTATTAAATAATGAATATGCAGTTTGCGACATTATGTCATTTTTGGAAGGTTAAGTTGATTACCCAAAGTCGTTCTAGAGTAAAGGTCTGGCTAGTCCAGTACAATAAAATGATTTTTAACACATGTTAACAGGCACCACTTAGACGAATTTCCAATGCATGGAAATGTACCAGTACGATATACTACCCGCGCAAAATGAGACCTCACTGTACTGTGCTGTGTTCCATGTAACCACTTGACTAGTGTTTGTAAAATATTGTTGTTTGTTATTTTGATGCTTTCACATATAGAGCACAATTTTTGGGGTCTATGGCTTATGCAATCATAGAGTAATGAAAAAATTATGTTTGCTTAAGCACATTTTTCCTTCAAATATGGGAGACTAATATATTTGCTTGCACATGCAGTTTATACTTTGTGTATTTTTTTATTGACATACTGTATTTTCATTTCAGATGCAACACAGATCTAAATGATTCAGACTGTGAAATTAGCATTGTACGAGGTATAAACTTTAATGTGCAGAATCCAAGTGATGTTGACACTTATGTAAAGATAGAGTTTCCTTATCCAACTGTAAGTATTCATGATATTGTTTTTAATGGCAATGCAAATTAATTAATTAATCAGTATTTCTTCTAGAATCATCAAAGTTGATTTTTTTATACATGAAGTTAGTCAAACCGTTTATTCAGGCATTTCACAAAATGACTAACCTAACTAATGTAATGTAATATAATATAAGGTAACGTTATGTTGGGTTATGTTACCCTAAGTTAGGTTAGGTTTGCACCTAACCTAACCCAACCCAATTGAAACATTTATTTCGCTATTTGACAAAAAGAAAATCGGTCATTTCATGAAATGCCTGTTTACTCTGTTTGACTGTTACATATATACCATTACTAATATTTGTAAATATATAGTGTACCATTCCTAGTACGGAGAGTTAGCTTCAAGCAATTATGGCTAACTACGGTACAAAAGTAATGGGCCATAAAATAGTGATGATGATGAAGACGTATTGGGCAACTGATGTTTTAGTCAGTGCATTAATAGCTAAGTGTTGTTGGGCAACTTTTCCTTCCCACCATGGATGGTGTATGCTGATCAGAAACACAGCTCCAGACAACAATTGTTATGATAGGGTGAAAAGGGTGATCACTATATCCAAACTGGATTAATCAATGAAAAGTATATCAACATTTTCATCATAAAAATTATGAAAGAGTAATTAAATGCCTTACCTTCAGGAAAATACAAATACTGTACAGTATAGTCTGCATTTACGCGGTCATTTGAACCCGTGGAGGTCCGCGTAAAACGAGAAACGCGTAAACAAAATAACAGAACATATAGGATTAATTGAAGTAGAGACTGGGCCAACCCCCAAACTACACTTTTTCAGACATATGTTGTAGTAAAAATAACATCTTAACTTTATGATGGTATGCACACACAATTAATATTTAAGAGAAATACAGTTGCCAGTTAATGTCCATTCAAATAATGGAATCAACTCCTCTCCCCCTTCCCACGCTCGCTGGCTCCTCCCTCTCGAGAAATGTTTGGGGAAAAACAGTATGCTTACATTTTTAGTAATAAATAATACTTCTGACTAAAGTCAGGATAATATAATTGACATTGCTGGATTCCTTGCAAGACAGGGAATATTTTGAATATAAACGTCATATATTTTGCACAAAAGATAAAATTTTTGCTCTTTCTAATAAATTTCTCAAATTAGATCTAAAATTTGTATGTCTAATGCAAATTTTATGATGTTTATATTTAAGATAATCACAATCTTATAAGAATTCCAGCAATGTAAATTATATTCTTGCTGGGTAAATAAACAAATTATACTTCACCCACGTAAATGATGAAATTTACCGCGTAATTAAAACATTTCATTCTGGCAAGGTGCCATGTAAAAACCGTGTAAATCCAGACTATTGTATACTGTAGTGTATTTCTGTCACAATCATTGTGAATAAGGATGGAAAATTAACCAACAAGCACCTGATGCTACAGCTAAAAGTGGTTGGGTCTGGTGTTGATGTGGTGATCCAGGACTCATTCTCCTTGTTTTTTTATAGCAATTGTTATTTCCTTGGAGTACCTGACAGGGATATGGTTATGGCTATGAGTAGCGGTTTAACATCTCTTTGTTGCCTTACTGAGGTGTTCGATATGTTGTGATGCCATAGATTGAGTACACTGCTTTAAACACGAGTTGCCCACAGGGTTTATAATCATGAAAGATACGAATGATATCTTACCAATATATGTTTTTTTTTTTTTTTTTTTTTTACTTTACTAGGATAACCCCCCCCAGGATCGCAGCTATGTGGTAAAAGACACTAATAATCCTGAGTATGATCACAAGATTGTCTTCAGCATAGATCGAAAATCTCGGGCTCTGGCTCGTGTCTTCAAAAGACATGCTGTTAAGGTGCAAGTTTATGCAAAGGGGTGAGTAGATGATGATATTATTTAGTGATGTTTTCTCTTTTTGACCAAGTGATTACAATTAAAACCTTACATTTGTAGGTCTTACTTCCCACCTTTCTTATACTATACAGTACACTACCTATACAGTACTTGCTTATCATTTTATTTAACAAATAAAAGCACACAGAGACCAAAACAAGTTTTATTTTCAAATCCATTTACCAAGGTATTTTATCTCCTTTCCACTGGAAGGGAAATGCACAGTGTTCAGTCAATCAATAAAACCGCCATCCCCGTGCCTTAGGGTTGACAACCACAGTCCTCCATTCTTAAATGTCTTTACTAATCCTCGTAGGTTTTGCATCTCGTTGGACACAGCTTTTAATTTCATTTATCCATCCCAGTCTCTTGTTTTTCATGGCCTTTTTACCCTCAGCCTTACTTATCAATATTTTTAATATCCATTCCATCCTAATTATATGACTCAAGTGCTTTACTTCATTTATCTTCATCTATAAATTTTCAGTATTTCTCTCATTGATTTTGCCAATCTTAGCATCACTCCCTCAAAAAATATAAATATAACTCTTCTTTAGCATTCTCCTATAGCACCACATTTCAGAGGTCTCAAACCTCCTCCTGATGTGTCGTGAAATTGTTCACACTTCTGACCCATACAATAGTACAGTACTGACCATACATTGCATTTCAGCATCCTTTTTCATATATGAAAGGAAAGTCACTATTTAGCAGGTCTCTACAGTTATTAAATGCTGGTTTTGCTTGGCCTCTTCATATATTAATTTCCTTTGCACATCTGCCATCACAACTTATGCTTTCATCTCTGTGAGATTGTGAGATGGAGTACCATCGTACGATATGTTTTCCCATGTGTGGAGGTGGAAGTTTGTCTGTGGCAGCGCTGGGTTGCCAGTCACTGTCTGACACTGTAAGAGTAAAGTGTGCAAGAACCTGGTCTATTATTCAAACCTCTCACAATCTCCAAAACTCAAAGTTTCTAAATTTCTTAATTTCCCTTTTACCTATTATAATTTGTATTTGAGGATGTATGGATGTATGTTAAATTCTGTAATACAGTAACTGTTTTGAGCAATGCTGCAAATTTTTCATTACTGTACTTAAATTATGGAGTATTTTAAGTTGCTGCTATGTTTATATTGCTTCGTGCACAAGAAAGAGATGTTGCCCATAGAAACAAAGTATCAGGTATAAAATTTTAATTTTTGCAGGGGTTGGTTTCATCGTGACACAGTCTTAGGAGTAGTGAAGGTTCCATTGGTGACCTTAGAAACCAAATGTACCCTACATGAGTCCTATGATGTAAGTAAATTTCAGTTATTTGTATTCTATAGTGTGATAAATACAATACAGTACTGTGTGTATATAGCACGCAGACTTCCATATACAAACGATACCTCACTAGTCGGGAATTGAACCTTGGACCTCTGCATATGAACAGGGATCACTACCACTGTGTCACAAGGACAACAAAAGCAATATTAAGCATTGTTATATTCCACACATAGTTGGCATGGGCAATCCCCAATGAAGTTCACGGTGCTTAACAAGCACATTGAACAGGCTTTATGTGGAATAGGACAAGTCCCAGGATAGCTTTTGTTGTCCTTGTGGCGCGGTGGTAGTGATCCCTGTTCACAGTGGTCCCTTAATTAACGAGCAGTTCAATTTGCGAGATTTAGGTTAACGAATTAGCTCCCATAAGGATTTTCAGTTCTATTAACGAGTACAACTTGTATTAACGACAGCCTTACAAGACTAGTCCGCCAATACAGTAATCGGTTCGATGTTTACATTTTTTTCCAGTGGAGTAAATATCCAGAAAGTTGTGCTCTTGAATATTTTTGCATTTTTTATATTAAAATTATTGGTCATTCTGAAATTTAGTTAACATGTTGATAATATATACAGTACAGAGAACAGTTTTGTGTGCCCATCATCTGATCGAATCGCCTACCAACGCTTCTCAGTTTCACTTTGTTTAAAGTGGAGTGAATATCGAGTTTGTTGGTCTTGAATATTTTTTCATTTTTACATTAAAATTATTGGTCATTCTGAAATTTAGTTAACATATTGATAATATACAGTGCAGAAATTATTATGAAACATGAAGAAGGCATTATAATCAATGCACTCTGTAAAGAATATGGCATGTCATCATCGATTGCCTCTACAATCAGCTGTTTGCCATAAAAACAAAGCCGCCAGGAATACGACACACCTAAAACTAAGTTAAAATACAGTATTCTACTGTTTTTTATTTATTGTACAGTACTGCATTTAGTTTATATTTAATGTTTTGTTAATCCTATTACCAGTATGCATTACTTTGTATGTACTTTTTCTGTCAGTTGGAACCAATTACCCAATATCCCATTGAACTAATAGATTCAGTTTACAAAATTTTCAGTTAACAACTGACTCTGTGAAACAAATTGTGCTCGTTAATCAAGGGACCACAGAGTCGTTCGTTAACTGAAATTTTTTTAACCAAATCCATTATTTCAATGGGATATTGGGTAATTGGTTCCAACTCACAGAAAAGTAGATACAAAGTAAAGCCAAAAACCACATAAAGTCAGAAACACTCCTAAAATATATCTATATAATATATATATATGCAAGTAAATCACTGTAGTTGCGCGTGATCTAGGTATATGCTGATAACCACAAGGAAAGAAGAAAACACGAAGTTCCCAAGCGCTTTCGTGTAATTCACATGTTTAGGGGTGAGTATAGACTAAGGAGAAGTACAAAACAAGGTGTATATATACAGAGGAGGGTGAGATCAGGTCCACAATGGTCAGGTATTAGGTAATGACCCAACTAATCTTTAAAAAAAGCACCGCAACGGTCGGTAGTCAGGTCAGAGGGTAAGGTGACCCAACCTTCTCACCTGGTTACAAATCTTCTTAATTACAAAATTGTCTAGTTTGTACATGCCCACCCATGACCATAAGAATCTCTTAGTATTACCATTTCACAAAAATTTCTCTCAAATTCCTTTACAACTAAAAACCTGGAACGTCAATGTGGCATTTAAAAACTCATGCACTGTTAAACAAATGTTAATCAAGAACTCCCCCCAACAACACAATTGGTTGCATTTATAAAGTTGCTTGCAAGGAATGTAATATGTTTTACTTAGGCCAGACAGGTTAAGATCTTGTAACTAGACTTAAACAACATAAATATAGTGTTAGAACAGGCCAGGAATCCAATGCTCTGTTTGTTCATCTGAGGGATAATAAGCATTGCATTGTCTGGGATAATGCCTCCTCAATATTACCTTGTAATTCAATTGACAGTAAGAACATTATAGAATCTAGTCTCATTAAACATACCGAAGCAGTCAACATGAATTTGAGTAATGGCATGTACAAACTGGACAATTTTGTAATTAAGAAGATTTGTAACCAGGTGAGAAGGTTGGATCACCTTACCCTCTGACCTGACTACCGACTGTTGCGGTGCTTTTTTTTTTTTAAAGATTAGTAGGGTCATTACCTAATACCTGACCATTGTGGACCTGATCTCACCCTCCTCTGTATATATACACCTTGTTTTGTACTTCTCCTTAGTCTGTACTCACCCCTGAAGATGTGAATTACACGAAAGCGCTTGGGAACTTCGTGTTTTCTCCTTTCCTTGTGGTTATCAGCAACATAACATATGGGATTAATTGAAATGGAGTCCAGGCCGATCCCCAAACTCCACTTTTTGACGACACACAACTATGTCGTAGTAAAAATTTTATCTTAACTTTATGATGGTATGAAAAAACAAGTAATATAGAAGAGGTTAGGTTAGGAAAGATAAAGGTTAACATAGGAAAAATAAAGAATAGGTTAAAAAACTAAAAATTTGGTGTAACACTTACGGTAGTAGAAGAGATGGGTCGGCATACGGGGATGGAGGCTGGTTCCGAGGCAGAGGGCAGATTACTGGCCCTCAGGTGAATCACCATTACTAGGTGAATCATCATCACTGTCACTTACAGTTGTCAGGGCTTCCCTGACAAATCCCTCAAAGTCAACTTCACTGTCACTATCACTGGCTTGGGCTGGCTGTGGTGGGTTGCGGGTGAAGAAATCTGTTATGCTTTGCTGACGGCTGGCGTTAATGTTGTCGTGATACACTGTGATGTACGGCTCCATAGCCTGCACCAGCCGGTTATGGAAGACTTCATAGCGGTCATCGTCATTGTCGCGGGAAAGGACGGACTTAATTTTCTCTGCAAACTCCATGGCACACTTAATATCACTATGACTTAAACTGTGTTCTTCGGAGACTGACGCACCTTCTTCCTCCTCTTCACTGACGTGTTCTTCTTCCATCATCTCGTCGGCAGTCACTTCAGGATCTCTGATCACCTCCAGGATGTCGTCGTTGGTGGTCTCGGAGAAGCCTGGAACTGTAACAGTCTGCGCAGCTTCTCTGGCAAGGTCCACTGCTACTGCAACATTCTGAACCTCACCAGTCACAGATTGACTCCTCCTCTCACCTGGTATTCCATGCAACACATGTCTCCATGCGTGACGAATTGTAGCAATAGACAGCTGATCCCATGACTCCACCAAGATGTCCACAGCTTTCTTGATGTTAAATATTCTCCAGAATTGTTTGAAGAGTATTTTTTGCTGTTCTAACCGTTGTTCCTCATCTTCGTCGCTCTTGCTATCGGTGGTGGTGTCACTCAGGTCACGCAACTCTTCCCTGGTGTTGGTGTAGTCGTTCAGGAGCTGGAATTTTTTTGTTGAGAATGCAGCTTTCACATTGCAAATCAACTCCTGGTCCATGGGCTGTAATATAGACGTAGTGTTGGGAGGAAGGAAGACCACTTTTACGTTGGGGTGACGATCTAACAGTAGGGGCGAGTGTCCTGGTGCGTTGTCCAGCAGCAACAAAATATTAAATGGGACATTCTGTTGCTCACAGAATTTCTTTACATCGGGAACAAAACAGTCATCAAACCAGGAGAGGGACAGTGTAGAGAACATCCATGCCTTACGTGCTGTCAGCCAGTGGACATTTAGCTTGGTCATGTCCATGGTTTTGTAGGCGTGCGGCTTGCGGGCTGTGTGGATCACCGATAACTTGAGCTTACAGGTACCGGAGGCATTGGTGGCAAACAGGACGGTGATGCGTTCCTTCTGCATTTTCCGGCCCCGAATCCTGCTGGCATTCTTCACAATGTAGGACTTGGAAGGTAGTTTTCTCCAGAAAAGACCAGATTCGTCCATGTTAAACACCTGGTCGTCGGTGTACTGTCCTTCCTCCATAATCTCACGTAAAAACGGAGGAAATTCCCGAGCCGCAGCACGATCAGCACTCGCTTCTTCACCACCAATGTTTATATTGGTGATCTTGTTCCGGATCTTAAACCTCTGTAACCACCCAGAGGAAGCAGTAAAGGGTTTGGGCTCTGTAATTCCCATCTTTCGTGCCACTGCCATGTACAGTTCACGTGCGTTGTCCTTCACAGAGCGCGTGTCGACCGCCATGTTCCGTCGCGCCTGACGCACCAAGTACCTCACAAGTAACTTTTCTGTCTTGAGAAGCACCCGGTTGTGAAAATACTTGATCATAGAAGCACCTGTAGACTTTGTGATCTTCATGTGCTCCTTTATCTTGGCTGAATCCTTCTTTATAGTCCGGATCGTAGATTCGTTGACGCCATGCTGGCGCGCGAGATCAACTTGCCGTGTTCCTTTCTCCAAATCTTGAATAATTTGGTACTTCACCTCGTAGCTTAAGGAGCGTCGTGTCCTCTTTGGCTTAGTGCCGCTGGGTCCAGGTAAGGAAAGGTTTTTCTCTGGGGGTGGTGGTCCGGCGGAAGCCATTTTACGGAACAATGGATGCGCGTTAACACGGAGTGGCCTTGAGGGATGAGACTGTCGCGGCTAGGTCAAGCGTCGTCTCTCCTCCCTCCCTCCCTGTCCCGGGTGGACACGTCATAATACTTTAAGCCAATTACAGCTAGCAGCAGAGGAGGGTAGGGATGCATGGCCAATCACAGGTCTGATACGTCATATGACGTCAGTGATAACGCAACAAAGACACACTGCGCAACCTTACCGTGCCGCTTGCCCAAGCGGAGGGAGGAGGAGGGAGGAGGAGGGAGAGGCAGGCAGGCGGGCAGGCGGGTGGCGCGTGGGGAAAATCTAAAAATAGCGTCGCGCCGGACACTCTAGGTGCGCGTGATCTAGGTATATGCTGATAACCACTAGGAAAGAAGAAAACACGAAGTTCCCAAGCGCTTTCGTGTAATTCACATCTTCAGGGGTGAGTACAGACTAGAGAGAGAAATACAAATCAAGGTGTATATATACAGAGGAGGGTGAGACCAGGTCCACAATGGTCAGGTATTAGGTAATGACCCTACTAATCTTTAAATAGCACACAACGGTTGGTGGTCAGGTCAGATGGTCAAGTGACCCGGCCTTCTCACCTGATCACAAATCTTCTTAATTACAAAATTGTCCAGCTTGTACATGCCGTTACTCAAATTCTAACCTGCATTAGAGTATTGTAATGATTTTCCACAACTTTTTTAGCACTACTGTTGACTTTTAGTAGTTGTGGATCATATCCCAATTTTCCCCATAAGATTAAATATACCCCCAATGCGGATTCCCATTATGCTGTGTTGTAGCAGAATGCAACCATAGCATAAAGTAGATTAACAGAAAAAGCAAAGAGAAAAGTGTATATTAAAGGCTTACTGAAACCGTCGTGAACCATCGAACCCGCTGAACTATATGGTCCTGGATTAGCGGGGTCCAGTGTGTGTGTGTGTGTGTGTGTGTGTGTGTGTGTGTGTGTGTGTGTGTGTGTGTGTGCGCGTGCGTGCGTGCGTGCGTGTGTGTGTGTGTGTGTGTGTTCTTCCTTTTGAGGTTTAAATGAAATAATAACTTAATGTACTCTTACAGCTGGCAGATGAGCGTAAGCGTATTGTAGGAGGAAAACTGGAAGTGAAAATTCGGGTGAGGAATCCCATCGTCACAAAGCAGCTTGAAAAGGTCACAGAGAAATGGTTGGTTATTGATGGTTTTTGAAAATTAAGAATTAAACTTGTGAACAGAAAATTTTGCAATGCATTATATATGATTAAAACTGGAGATTCTTCATAAAAAAAATGATTTTGCTTTGCCATGACTATCACTGTGTACAGTATTGAATACAAAATACTGACGATTGTGAGTGAACTATGTTAAAGAACTATGCCATAGGACTTTATTTAATAAAGTAGACTTGAACCCTCTAATTTGGACTTTGTGGTATATCAGTAATTTTTTGTGATGTTGAATGACTTGGCATTTTTTTACAATGAGCCCCAAATATTAAAAGTACACTGCAAGTTGTCAAATTTATCCCACATGTCTGATAAGTCTTTTACTTGTGGTTCCACATAAAATAACACCACCTCAGGCCTAGTGCAATAGGGATGCTTTGTCTGAATGTCCTTGTTCAGGTGGGAGTTAAACTATGTGCATAAATCTTCATTTTGTACAGCATTACTACTAAATTCTGTATAATTCCCTAAGTACCATTCATCTTTTATGTGGAAAATTGCAGTGTTCCCCTTTAGAGCAAACATCATTTTACCCTGCACAAACACATATAAAGGCAGCAGTTGCTTGAGTTTCCGAAAAAGCTACATAATCTTGACAATGACTCTGAATAATTAGGACCCTTTTGGTAATTCAACAAGAGAAAACCCAAAGCTGTCGAATTAGAAGAGTTTGAGTGTATAATGTTTCAGAGCTTAATTTTATAGCCATTGTTAAGTTCTCTGTTGGTGTATTTTCACAAAATGGGCCAGGAAAATGACACTGTGATCTGTCCAATATATTTTAGGCATCATATTAATATTATATTATTAAGTGCTAATCAAATACAGTAGACCCTCGATATACTGCGATTCGATACTATACTTTTGAGATAGTGCATCACCCAAAATTACTCCTATTTTTCATCATTGCACTGTGAAACTCTAATAATGTGCAGAGGTAATCTCAGAAAAAAATAACAAAATAATAATGACACAAGACTCGTCACTATAGCCACATCTCCCTAACCCTTAAGGCCAAGTTGTGAGCTATGTCATGGTTATTATTCAACTCGCATTTTTGGGTAGATACCTGTACTGTATACATGTACATATTTATTTTTTATTATGTCACATGCACACAATATTACATACAGTGAGTTCTGCTATAACGCGTGTTTTGATAACGCGAATTTGCTCTAACGCGATTTATGAATTCGGAACAATATTTGTATAACGCGATCGCTTGTTTGCTATAACGCGATTTTTGCTTACTATTTCTCCAATTTTGTGGTATTAACTGTGAATATGGTAAAGAAGAATATCTCCAAAAAGCATTCTGATGATAGAATTCCCGGTGATTATCGTAAAAGAAAGGATATAACACTTGAAGAGAAGCTTGATGTTATCAACCTCAAAATCACCCTTCTCCCCCATCAAGTTACATTCATATTTTTTCAAGGTAAAGTGTTAAATTTACTGTATGATTTCATTATTAGATATGAATGTAACATTTATTTAGACTGTGCTATCCTTTGTGTTAGGCTAACTACTAAATTTTTTCGATTTCGAGTAAACTGCACCTAACCCTATTTTCTCCATAAGCCCTGTTATTTCTATTACGCGATTTTCTATAACACGATATTTTACAAGAACACAATTATCGCGTTATAGCAGAACTACCTGTACATAATGTGCAAAAAAAAAGTCATTGTCATAAGGTAAAAACAGAAAAGGGAATACATTTCTTTGTGTGTTCAGAGTTCATGCTAAACAGGGAAGGGGGGAGGAGTGAGAGATCTCCGCTGTCTCTCGTGTGCAGTGAAACAATTGAAAAATTTCATCATCCAGCAGCCAAATAGGAATAGAGGATTTTTTGTTTTATTTTATTTATTAGATTTATTTTGATTTAGTCATCACATTTATTGTTACAGTAGAACATCGATATAAAGCTATTTAATTTAAGATTATTGATTTAAAGCGACACCCACAATTAAGGACAATGTTTTAATTTAAAGCTTTTCTTTCATATTTTGCGCGAGTCAATTTTGCGCCTAATGTTTCCCACCAGACGCGTCTCTGGGCACGCTACACGGATGCCCACCACCCTCTCACACCCTCACACATCCTCAATTCTCGCACTGACGCTCAAGTGAACGGACATATTGTGTGACACTATTCCCTTCTACTACGTGCATCAACCATCGCCACTATGTCCATGAGGCCTGCTACTACTTCATTAGCTTCCCCAAAGACCAAGAAATCCAGTCAAGCAATTACACTGGAGCAGAAAAATAAGGTGCTGGAGGCACTGCACCGTGGAAATGGTGTTTCCCGTGTGTCAGATGCGTCCACATCCACAGCACTAGACAGTGATGTGGATGATGAGCTGGTCGAGTTGGGCTCTGCATCTTCAGAGAATGAATTGCCTAACTAAAGTTGAGTGAAAATCTATTTTTGATAGCATAAAATAACTAAAAAATAAATTGAGAAGAAAGTGAGAGCTGGATGAGTCAGGTGGGTGGTGAGTGGCACAGTATATATATATATATATATATATATATATATATATATATATATATATATATATATATATATATATATATATATATATATATATATATATATATATATATATATATATATATATATATATATATATATATATATATATATATATATATATATATAAATATATATATATAATATATATATATATATATATATATATATATATATATATATATATATATATAAATATATATATATATATATATATATATATATATATATATATATATATATATATATATATATATATATATATATATATATATATATATATATATATATATATATATATATATATACATACAGAGAATAATAACTTACCTTTTTGTAGTACTGTATAGACCTAAAATTCAGATAAGAATAGTTTATGCTTGTCCTTTTTATTTTGAAAATAACGGACAAATGGGTCTCAAAAAGGGACATGCTGTCCTTAAAAGACAGACTTGGCAACCCTTCGCAGCGGCGCCATACGACCCTCTCATTTCAGCTGATCGCTAGTACACAGACCATTTCACATCCCATAATTTTAGCTGTATTGATTTATGAGTGTTTGTTTTAGCATAATAGTACAAATAAAACAATGTTTTGTTTATTCTAGGAGTTGGACTGAGGTGCATCTGGGTAGACTCTCAGCCTTTTTGGTATTTTGTGTTTCTCTCGAGTACAAAACTAAATTATTCCATTGAAACAACACTTCGATTTAGTGCGAATTAGGTTTAAAGCGACTTCTCTTGGAACGTATCTTGTGTTATATCGACGTTCTACTGTATACAGTAAACCCTTGCCATTCGTGGGTTTGTGATTCATGGTAAGCAGATGGTGGCCAGCAGCGCAACAAGTCACCCCATGCGCTCGCAGCATCTCCTCTCCCCATGTTCGCGCTTGGCTTTTGCCCATGATGCAGCATCTCGTGTTGTACTCTCAAAACTTTAGTTTTTCTGTGTAAAAATGGCCTCTAAAAGACTGCCTAGTGTCAGTGCTGGTGAAGCTAGTGGAGTGAAACATAAAAGGCAGAAGTCAGTAAAAACCCTGACAAAGAAAGTTGAATTATTAGACAAGATATGTAGACCCAATCAGTCACTGGTTTTGTAAGCTTTAACATAAACAATGCCAGCCGTCTCGTCTCCTCGTGTGTATTATATTCCACGTATTATTAATAAATTGTATTGTTAATTTTGCACACACAAACATTAATTCAATAAAAACAAATTCAGAAACATTAATTAAAATATATATGAACAGTAAATAAGTGTTGCTTTCATGTTCTTATGTAAAGTAATGACGATATGTTTTCACGTGTGCGCACTTACATACGCGATCTCTCTTTTTTCTTTACCATTATCGTTAGCTACTTCTATTGTTCCATTTATTAACATTAAATAACATTACTTAAAACAACCATATTAATTTTACTACAGCTACAACCAAGGTCTTATTTTCTTCAGTTTTAAATGTAGAACCAGTCAGTCACTGGTTTTGTAATCAACGAAAACAATGTAGTGTCATTTCCTCGTGTGTTTTAATATTCTACGTATTATTAATGAATTGTATTGCTCATTTTGCACACAAACATTAATTCAATAAAAAAGACATTCAGTAATAAACAATAATGAATCTTTTGTGCATAAGAGAAATGACGCTGTTTACACGTTTATGCACGTCGTCTGCACGTTAGCGGGCCGTTCAAAGCCGTCGAAATTCAAGTTTCCGCCGTCAAAATTGTTATTTATTTTTTGTGTGTGTGTGTTCCAATAAAATACGTTGAATTAGAAACTCGCGAAATTTGAGAAGCTACTACAGTGACCCCTTGTTTAACGAACGCCTCGGTTAACGAAATTTCGGTTAACGAACTGCCTTCCATAAGGATCTTCAATTCGGTTAACGAACAAAAATTCGGTTAACGAATTTCTTACGAACCGACCTCAACATGTTTTCGCTTGCACTGACCGGGCAACCAGCTTTAGTATCAGTCCGCCAATACATTAATCGGTTCTAGGGCTTAAATTCCTTACTATTTTAGTAAATATCAAAAAGTTTATACTATTCAATAATTTTAAAAGTTTAATATTCAATTTTTTAGTCATTTTAACAATTATTGAACATAATTGAAGGTAAAGTGAATAGTTTAATGCGCGGCATCCAGCCTCTTAACACAGCAAACAGGCGTTAGTCTCTCTCTGTTTTCACTGGAGGTAACATCTTGTTTGAGACTCTCTTCAACTAAACGCTTTTTTTCTGTGTTTCCAAGCAAATTATTGGTCATTTTGAAATATATTTTACATATTGACAATATATAATGCAGTGCAGTGTTGATTTAAAGAAAATAATCTTGAATTACACCAAGAGAGCTAAAATTTTATGGGTGAAATGGCACCATGGGGTGACTTCTCTTCCACCCCAATGCCTTCTCTTCTTCCTTCTCCTCCACCCCCATTCTAAATCCCATCATCATCACCACCATCCAGGAGCCTTCTACATACACACCTCAAAGTAAGTGAACTTTTCTACCATTTTTGTTGAATTTAGGAAATTTTCGGTGAGCTGGAACCAATTACCCAAAAACCCATTGAAACAATGGTTTCAGCTAACGAACTTTTCGGTTAACGAACGACCTTCTGGAACGGATTGAGTTCATTAACCGAGGG